TAAAGTTATTCTTAAAAAATAACATATTTATAAATATAATAAATTTTTTATTAAGTAAAAGGGCTGGCCTAGCTATAAAAATTTATAAAAACTACTTTTTAATCTTAAGCATGCATAAAAAGCCCTAGTAAATTATAAAAAACTAGCTATAATAATACTAGTTTACCGCTAGTTTAAAAAAAAAGGTAATAACCTTATTAAGTTAAATACCTTTTTTTTTACTAGGTTTTAAGGTTTAATAAACTACTAGTATTATTAAAGAATTATTAAACCACTATTTAATTATAACTAGTTACTTATGGCTTTAAAAAGGGGTGTAAAATTTTTTATTTTATAAAATTTTAAAATTATACCCAAGGCTATAAGTAAAGTAGTTATTTTTTTTATTTTTTTATAAGGTTTTAAGGTTTAATAAACTACAGCTAGAACACCGCCGGCTTGGTATTAAAACTTATTTTAAATTATAATTTAAAATAAAGGACTATATTTATATTAAAGTTAAAGTATTAAAAAAAAAAGAATTTTTTATTTTTTTTTAAAAAAAAAAAAATAATAACTAACTACGCAGTAAGGCCGTAATAAAAAACTACTATTTAATATTAGGAGTAAAAGCAGGGGCCTTTCTAAGTATTTTTTTTTATACCTAGTATTTTTTAAAAAAAAAAGGCGTGACAGGCTTATTTTTTAATAAAAAAATATTTATAAACTAGTAATTATTCTAGCTATTATTAAAATAGGCCGGGGGCTGTTTAGTAATAAGCTAAAAAAATTAAACAAGCTTTTATATAACTAAAACTAATATTTTTATTACATAAACCTTGGGGCTTATTTTCTTGTTATAAGCCTTTATTATTAATTTAACCTAATAACTAAACATGTCTTAATAATAAATATATTTATTATAGTTACCAGGGTTTATTTATTATAAAAAAGTAATATTTTTTTTATATAAAATAGCAGGGGGAGGCAAGTGCCCTTATTATAAATATAATAAAAATAATTACACCCGGGGGCTAAACAAACATAATTATTAAAATTATTAATTAACCTATTATTTTTACATGCTTAAATATATTTTGCATATTATAAATAAACCTATTTTTTATTAGCTAATATTTATACTAGAGCTGTTTTACTAGCAAACTAGTTAAAAATAGGGTATATTTATAAAAAAAAAAGGCCGGAGGCTAAAAAAAAAAAAGCCTAAGGGGGTAGTAATATAAAACCCATAGTAAAAATATTAGTAAGGGCAAAGGCTAGCATAGCACTAAATAAAATAAGAAAAGGTAAGCTAAAAGGCGCGGGAGCTATAGTTAAATAATAAAGCAGTTATTATAAAATTAAAAGTTAATATTTTTAATAAAACACCAGCGAAGCGCCGCCGGTTAGTAGCTATTAAAATAAAAAAAACTTACTAAATTATTACTTATAACCTTGCTATATATTTTAAAAATATTTATTAAATATAAGTTATACTAGTTATTACTATTATTATTACTACCTAAAAACTAATTAAAATTAAAGTTTTTAAACTTAAAAAGGGACAGGGGTAAAAAAAAAATTAAAAATATTAAAGGCTTTTAAAGTTAGTAAAAATATTATATTAAAGGGATTTTATAATTATACCATAGTAGGAGTGTAAGGGGTAAAAATAAAGGTATTTTAAATTACTATAGTTATAGTAAGGCGCTTTTTTTTTACTTATTAAAAAGCCAGGGCAGCGCCTAAAAAGGCTTTTTTTTAGCTATAATAAAAAAAGGTAACTTTTTATTTAGTAAAAAGTTTAATAAGTTTAAAAATTTATAAAATTATAAATTACGCTATAATTTATGCTTTTATACCAGGTATTATTAAAGTACTGCCTTTTCCCTTTTAGTTATAAATAAATATTATATTTTATTTAAAGCGCTATAAATAATAAGAATAAAATATTAAATTTAATATATTAAATAACACTTTAATAAAGTTAAAAATAGCAATAATAAAGCTATATTTAGTATTAATATTAATAATAATAATAGTGTTTTATTATTATTTTTTTTTAGTTTAGTAGCAGGTCGCGGACGACCCTTTAATTAAAAAAAAAAATTATTAAGGCTAATATTTTTTTATTTAATATTACTAGAGCTAATTTATTATTAATTTAAAGTTAGTACCTTAAGTAACCTAAGTTTTAGCTTTAGGTTACTAAGGCTTGGCATACCTTATTATTATATTAAGCTATATAACTTAACTAGGTTATTAATATTTAGGGTCTTAATTACTAGTTAGGTAAGGCTAGGGTAGGCCCTAAGTATAAGCTAAAGTAAAAACCTATGCGCAAAGTATTTAAATTTATATTTATTTTTTAGTTAAAAATAGCTTAAGCGTAGCTTAAAGGTTTATAAAGATAGCCTTAAGGCTAGCCTTTTTTTTAAATTTTTAAGTAACTTTTTTAATATTATTTAACAGGGTTTAAAATACTTCATTCTTATTAATTAGATTTCTTTGTTAATATCTTTATTATTAGTAGAGATCTTCGAGACTTGTTGGTCTTACAGTATTAAAGTATTATTAAGTCCCTAATATATTTTATATTAAGAACTTAAGCTAATATTACCTACCTTATATTTATTTTAAGCTATTTTTTTACTAAACCTATAAAAAAATATATAATAATTATTAAGCGTGTGTTTTACTACCTCCAGGGCTTTATAAATTATAAACTAGTATTTTTTAGGGATTTTTAATTACTAACTAGCTATACTAATACTAATTAAAATAGTAATTTAAAAACATGCTATTTTACCTTTAAATATATATTTTATATAAGCTTTATAATTATTAGCTAGTTTTTTAAGTATTAGCCTATTATAGCTTTATCTTTTTATAAAGCTAAGTATATAAGGGAAATATAAGTTATTAAAAAGGTTATTTAGCTTTATTACTTATTAAAAAACTTATAAATACTTAAAAGGTAAATCCCATAGCTATTATAATTTATAAAAATAATAAAAATATTATAATACTAGCTAGTAACCCCTAGTTTTATACCTAAAGTAAATATATTAATATTTAGTATTATTTTATTTAAAAAAAAAATTAAAGGCGTGGTTAATATTTAGTTTATTCTTACTAAAAAATAAATAATAAATAGTTTTACTAAGGCACTAGGGCCTAAGGTATTTAAATACTTTAAAGCCTTACTAAAAATTCTTTTTAAGCTTATATAAGTAGGTTTTTTAATAATTTTTATATTAAAATTAGCTTTTTTTATACTAAACCTATAATAACTTGCGTATTATAAAATTATATTTAATTATTTTTATTTTTAGTTTATTATTACTTTATTCCTATTTTTAAAAATTAACCTTATAATAAAAATAATATAATATTATATTATTTTAAAACCTTACCCTAGTTTTATATAATACCTTAATTATAATATTAAAAGTTAATATATTTTTAACTTAATTTAATAAAGTTCCTGGCGCTTTTTATATTTACCCGCGGGAAATTTTATTTTTAAATATTAAAATATAGGCTTACTAGTATAACCAGCTTATTAACTACCTTAATTAAAATTTTTATTTAATATTTTTTTAAGTATTAAAGCATGATTATATTACATGGCTAGTAGCCTTTAAAACCCTAGGACTTTTTTAAATTAAGTAGCTAAATAATATTATTAGCTTTTAATATATATAGGCTATTATGGTAATCTTATCCCCTAAGGGGGAAGGTTTAAAAAAAAATATTATTATTTAAAACTATAATTCCTGCTATAATCCCGCTAGCTTATACCCTAAAAACTTTATATTTAAGGCTTAATTATACTTATTATAGCTACTAGGCTAATATTATATTATTTAAAATATATAATATTATACTAACACCAAGTTTTTTAGGAAAAATTAATACTTAAAATATATATTTTAATAGGTTTAGTATACTACTATGCTAGGTAATTTATTATATATTAAAAATTAAAATTTTTAAATAACTTATTATATACTAGTTTATTATTACTAGTTAATAATATTTTTTATATAAACTAGGCCTTATTTTTACCCTTAAAATAGCTTTTACACGCTTTAATATTTATTATTACTTTTTTAGTTATAAAGGGGTTATATAATTTATAAAAAAGTTAGTAAATATACTAGCTAGCCCCTAAATTTATAAATTACTTAACTTATTATTTATTATTTAATTTATTTTAGGCTACCTAGTGCCCGAAGCTTTTATTAAAAGCTTATTATTTTATATATTTTATTATTATTTATTTATATTTTTAAAAACTACTTTGGCTTATTAACACCTAAAGCTTTTATTAATATTTATTATTTTTATTATTTTAATTACTAGCTTTTTAATACCTGCTTATAAATTATACTTTTAAAAAAGCTTTTTCCCGGGACTAATAGCCTATAGCTTATTAATTTAAAAAAAACTTTTTTATACTAGTAGCCTATAGCTTATTAATTTAAAAAAAACTTTTTTATACTAGTAGCCTATAGCTTATTAATTTAGGGAAGTTCTTAATATAAATAAGGGGAAGTACTAAAAGTAAGTGCCTAAGGCCACTAGTAACCTTAGGGCTTTAGTAAAAAAATGTTTTTTTAGCTTAAATAGCTATTATAAAACTCTTTATTTATTTTTAAAATATTTAGCTTAATATATAATATAATACAAGAGACTTCTACATACAGTAACTATTTATTCCTTTTAGTACAACCCTGGGAAGGGGTCTCGGGAGGTCTGCCGACGAGTACGAGACATACCTTGCCCGCGCAGGGAACTGGCGGAATCTATACAAAGAAGACCAGACATCTTTCGTGAACGGCACAGACACAGGCTTCGTTGGCTTCTTCCAGCCCCGATACCTAAACGGGACATGGTCGTACCAAGACCCCATTGCATGCAGTGCACTCTCGGGCTCATGGTGCTCGCTCACAAGCAACCCCTCCGAAACATTCGAGTCAAGCGTGTGGGAGTACCAGTTCTACGTCCCGCACGACATGTCCTCCCTAATCGGCACCTTGGGCGGCGACGACGCCTTCATCGCACGCCTGAACTACTTCCACACCTCGGGTCTCGCGGATATCGGCAACGAGCCCGTGTTCCTGACGGTCTTCCAGTACCACTACGCCGGTCGCCCGGGTCTCTCGGCGTCTCGTGTACACTCGTACATACCTAGCTCCTTCAATGCGACGCACGCCGGGCTCCCGGGGAACGATGACTCGGGTGCCATGGGCGCATTCGCGGTCTTCAGTATTCTCGGTTTATTCCCGAACGCCGGGCAGAACATGTATCTGATTACGCCGCCGTTCTTTGAGGAGGTTAGGGTTACGCATCCGATGACGGGGAAGGTCGCCGTGGTGAGGAATGTGGGATTTGACCCGGGGTATAAGAGGATTTGGTTACAGGAGGCTAGACTCAATGGGGAGGCTTATAGCAGGAGTTGGATAGGGCATGAGTTCTTCACGGAGGGGGGCGTGCTGGAGTTGGTGCTGGGGGAGGAGGAGAGTGATTGGGGAAGGGCGCTGGAGAATCGACCTCCGAGCGTATCGAGTGGGTAGGTATGGATTTGGCTCGGAGTAGGCGTGACGGTGCTGGCATGCTTGTCACATGTTGGGGGTCGGAATTCTTGTATACATGCTCTACACCCAACTTAGGTTTGTTATGGCTGTTGCAATGTGCACAGTCCCCGTCACGTTAGCCCAGTGAGGGTGAAACACGGTCGACGTACATCTGCAGGCATTGGGTACACGGCGTTGGGGAATTGTCTAATGGGATTTACGTCTCGTCTCTACTTCCAGAGGTGCCGGGCTGTCTGGCTGTGTTCGGCCGAGGGCAGGGTGTAATAAGCGTGCAGCTATATATAAAGCTCGCCCTCCTCTCGTTTTTAACCAAGCTCCAATTTGAAAAAAAAGAAAGAGAAACAGCCCCCCAAGTCTCAAACAATATAATCCAGGATAAGCCACCATCAGCTTTACTAGGAGTAGAAATGACCTTGCAAGCGCCTTGTTTTACTACTACATAATCGTGGGAGCCGTTGTACGGTTGTAGACGTGCCAGAGCCTGCATAGTGGCGAAGACTGCTTGCTGTTTTTTAAAGATATTATATATGTATATAAAATTGCTGCTATTTATAGAAGTCTCCGTGGCGCAACTGGTTAGCGCGTCTGACTGTTATACTATAGTAGTCATCAGGAGGTTGACAGTTCGAGCCTGTCCGGGGACGTCTAATTTTTTTTTTTGATTTTTGATTTTTGATTTTCTTTTTCTTTATCCAACATCTCCGGCTATAAACTTGGATAGGTCGGCATTTAACTGGTTGGCTTATTGCCTGCCTGCTTACCGTGAGGTCTATAGTGTCGGGCGGCTGTACACTTGCCTTATCTCGATATCTCCCTTCCCTTCGCGTGGCGCGTCTCTGGCGCGTCTCTCTTTTATTAACCTTCTTCAAGCCGCGGCACTCAACAATAGTCAGGAGCCAAACCTGCTCACAATTCGCATGGGGTGATCATAGGACAGACTGATTTGATATCAGCAATATGGGGAAGAAACGCAAAAGGCCCGTCAAGGATAACCCAACACCGCGGGAGAAACCGTCACTATCACAACCTGCTGGGAACACAGCACGCCCTTCTATTACCGACAGCAACCAAGTCGGAGATGCAGTCGAGACATGCCATCCGGTAATATCCCTGTACTACCGTCAGGTGGTGACACTGCGCCAATATATCCTGCAGCGCATACCCCGATCCTCCAAGGCGCGTCGCCGGAGAATTGCTGCAGTGGGGGGCGAGATTGCACACAACGACGCGGATGCTGCGCCTAAGACGCAAGAAAAAGCTCTAGCCGACCTTCTGGATACTACGCTGGTTGGAATATCAAAAGAGCTACCCCCTACTGATAGTAAAAGCCTTCAAGAGGACTTCAAAAGATTCACGCAATTGGTCACTCAAGCCGGCACTGATAGTGGGCCTGAGAGCTTACAGTCTGATGTAGGTCATCTACTTATCATCATATATGCTGAGCTAATGCTGGCATTATCGTAGGTCGTGGACTTCGTGATTTCACACATCTTCGAGAAACATTTTCACGGGAAGCTGGAACATGTCCTGAGCCATGGATATCGGCAAGGGAGCGGCAGGCTGCGATGCAATGTTCACAATGCCGGGGCGTGGTATCCAAATAGGAACGTCGAGAGGCTCAAGCAGTCGCCATGGACGGAAGTTCTCGCCCTGCTAGGGGGCAATGGCGACGAAATCATGATAAGGCTCCTACTTGACTGTGGACTCTTTGCGGCCGTAGACGCAAAGAAGGGGATTTACTACCAGCTAAGTGGTGCGGCGGCCCTTTTGACAAACTGAGTTTTGATGGACACTCACAAGCTATTGCCTGACCCAGGACTTGCGTTATCGAGCCTAAAACCCATCCCAACTTCACCGGAGGGATGCTCTGTTTCGAGGGACGGCAGCAACCTACCTGCTAAGAGTGCGCCGGAACAGGTTTCTGAAACTCGGGCACACAGGAAGGAATCAAAAGACAGCCAGTATCGATTGAGTCCCAACGCGGCTGTCTTCTGCCGTCAACGTATGCTATACGGTCGCCCTCATTTGAACCCAAAAGGGAGGATAGTTTTCGGGTTACCGAATCGTACGTACTTTGTATATCACCAGAAGCAGTATTCTGACAAGCCCTAGATGTCCTCAGTCGCTTTCCTTCATCCGATTCTTTGCAAATGACAGTGCATGTGATGAAGTATATCTTCCCTCAGCAGTTCGGTCTCCACAATGTTTTCACAGTCCAGCCAAGTTATCGTGAGCACCCTTTGTCCAAAAACTACTCTTCACGGGAAGAGGAAATTGCCGCAAAAGAGAAGCTAGAGCGGACTCGAGACCAACGTGCGCCTAAACTTGAAGCTGCTGCTGGAGAGCCCCAGGAATCAATTAAGATACCTAAAAGACTTCGAGGCAAGGCTCTGGAATTAGTCCGTCAGCTTCAAAACAAACACAGACGATGTTGCTATAGGGAGCTTCTACGGTACTACTGCTCAGAAGAGGTATGAAATTGCCCCAAGAATGACGCCAAGGCTAATATCGTAGCTTTCGGATCCTTGGGCTCTAGGACCACTCAGTGTTGAGTCTGAGGTATCAGCTGGTGTAATTCCATGTTCGGCCTCTGGGCCATTGATAACCCAGCCATCGCTCATACGCAAGGACGTTCGACGCGTGCCGAGGCCGGGCAATTCGGCCCCAATCTCGTATACGAGTAAGAGATCAGGTGCTACCAAGCCCAAGGTTAACCTGACCGACCACGCCACCCCTACCGCGTCTATATCGGCCTTCTGTCGAGCCGCCATCCGAAGCTTGATACCATTAGGGTTCTTCGGAGTCGGTGATCAAGGCATCTCTCACCAGAAGATAATACTCGGGCATGTTGATCGGTTTATACGCATGCGCAGGTATGAGAGTCTAAGTCTTCATGAGGTCTGCGAGGGTATAAAGGTTAGCGATCTACCCATTTTGTGTAATGCTAACTCTAATTATCCGCAGATCACGCAGATACCTTGGTTGGAACCTAGTGGACTCTGTCAAAGTTTGTCAGAAAACAAAATCTCGGCATCTGACTTGCAAAAGCGCAGAGAGCTTTTCCACGAATTCATCTACTACCTGTTCGATTCCATACTGCTTCCACTTATACGTGGAAATTTCTATGTCACTGAATCGCAGGTACACCGGCATCGTTTGTTCTATTTTCGACATGACGTCTGGCGCCGTCTTACCGTCCAGCCTCTGGCTAATCTCAGGGCTTCCATGTTTGAGCAACTGGTGCCAGAAACAGCGGAACAACTACTGTCTGGTAAAAAGTCGCTGGGGTATGGGTCTTTACGATTGCTCCCTAAGACGACTGGGATCCGTCCAATTCTTAACCTGAAACGGCGCACCCTGGTCAAGAGCACCTACGCGGGGAAGAATCATTATAATCCGGCGCAGAGTGTGAATGCAGCAATCGCACCTGTCTACAGCATGCTGAACTATGAGAGAGGTCGTCGGAGCGACATTCTTGGTTCAAGCATGTTCTCCGTTGGAGATATGCATTCCCGACTGAAGGGATTCAAAGAGTCATTAGTAGGAAAGGGCTGGAGCCAGAGGAGGCCACTCTACTTTGTGAAGCTTGATATCCAGTCCTGCTTTGATACTATACCGCAGGCAAAAATCGTGCGTCTGGTTGAAAAGCTGGTCTCCGAGGAAAATTACCACTGGATGAAGTACGTGGAAATGAGGCTCGCAAGCGAATTCGGCAATATGTGGCCGCTACGAGAAGCGGAGCAGCGCAAGACATGGTCAAAATACCTTCAAAGAATTGGCGCATTCGGGAAACCAGAGCATATGTCGGATGCTATCAACAACGGAAGTGTGACTGGTCGAAGGAATACCGTGTTTATCGACACGATCGCGCAGAGGGATTACAGCGGTGAGGGTCTGCTTGACATCCTCAATGAGCACGTCCAGAACAACCTCGTCAAGATAGGAAAGAAATACTTCCGACAAAGCAATGGCATTCCACAGGGCTCGGTGCTGTCTAGCTTGCTGTGCAGTTTGTTCTACGCAGAGATGGAGCGCAATGTCCTGGGCTTCCTGCACACCGACGACGCCATACTCCTTCGTCTACTAGACGACTTTTTACTGATTACCTTAGATTCCAAGCTCGCAATGGATTTTCTCCAAGTCATGGTCAGAGGACAGCCGGATTATGGCATCTCCGTTAACCCAGCAAAGAGCCTAGTCAATTTCGCTGCGTCCGTTGATGGCGCGCAAATCCCGCGACTCGTCGACTCGTCACTCTTCCCTTACTGCGGCAGCCTCATTAACACACGAACTCTAGAGATCTCCAAAGATCAAGATCGAATGCTCGACGGCGCGGAAACAGCGGGCGCCGCCATCAGCGATTCCTTATCGATCGACTCCATGCGAAACCCTGGCCGATCTTTCCACAGAAAGGCCCTTGCATCGGTCAAGCAATCCATGCACCCAATGTATCTCGACTCGGCGCACAACTCGCTGCCCGCAGTGCTCCTAAACCTCTATAAAGCCCTCGTCACCGCCGCGATGAAGATGTACCGATACACGCGGTCACTACCGGGCCGGGCGCAACCTCGACCCGAAGTTGTGGTTCGCACGATCCGTGATGCCACACAGCTGGGATACCGACTGATTCGTGGCCGGCACGGCCTGTGCAGGGTCACGTATCCTCAGCTGCAGTACTTGGGGGCGGCGGCGTTTCAGTTTGTGTTGGGGCGGAAACAGACACGGTATGCGGGAGTGCTGCGTTGGCTGGACGGGATGCTGGCGGAAGCGCGGCAGGGCGTCGGCAACGGTGCTTTGCTGGCTCAGGTGGTGTCGAAGGGGGACCGGACGTTTAGAGAGTGGCGGTTTTGACCTTGCTCCTTACCTTGAGTATAGCTGCGCGAGCTAAAATAGAGCAAAACTGCCCGACAGTGCAGGCAATGCAGGGCCATAAGGAATGGTAGATTAAATGAAGGGTTGTCAAGGGATCGGTGCGTATCTACGGAGTATGGAACGCAGTACTACCGCAGAGCAGGGCGGGATAACAAGGAGCAGTAGCACAATCTTGAATCGCGATTCATTCAGCTAATAACAAGTTGAGATGAGATCCATGGTCGACGGCTGAGATGCAAGCGATTGTGGTCTGAGCAGACCATCCCATGGGACGACCGCGAGTGGACGAGAAGCACAGTGGCCCAGCGGACAGGGGGTGGCAATGGATCGTAATCAATGCAGTCAACAATCAACACCGCAGCAGCTCCCTTCCAGTTAGTTACCTAGTAGGTGTTGTAGCCTTCGTTCGCTCTGGTCTCTACTCGGCAGACAGAAGACAAAGTAAGCCGCACGTGTGGATTCGTGGCGTGCCTTGGAACAGCCGCTCGCTCCTTCATCTCGACGATGGAAAACGTCGACTCCGCAGCGCCATCTCTCTAAACCGGTTTGATACTGATCGCCGCGCACAGCGAATGAAACGTAAAGTCTGGACCAAATTGGAGTCCCGATCTCACCTGCCATTGGCTGGTTGAGATAGCCTCTGCCTCAGGCGCTGAGATTGCTGGCCGGAACTAGACCCTTTTGACTGCGTTCGGCTGAGAACCTGGAATTCGTGCCTCCAACACAGTCGGTGATGGAATCATCCCAGCTTCATCTCTTCGCTCTTTGCTTCTTTCCTTGATTTTTTCTACTTTCCACTCGCTCTTCCGTCCATATTTTCTCCAACTACCTCCCTTCGTTCGCCTGCGTCGATTCCTCTTTCTTTTCCATCTCCTTTCGACCCTCCCATTCGCTCCTCCCTTTCCTGTACGATCTCACCACCGAACCGCCGGCCCCCTGTTCACCCTTCCGCTTCACTGGCGTCATAACGCGTTGTCCACCGCTGCTCTGAATACCCTGGATTCCAGTCCTGGTTATTGACTGGCGAATTTATGGCCCTGGGCCTCCCTGTGATATATTAATACAGCGCCGTTGGGGCCATCGAGTCCCCGCTAGTCCTTCGTTTCTTGCTGCCGGTCCGCACTCTTATCCGCACGACGCGAACATACCTTGCAACACCACTACGCTTATCGAACTATAACGACTATCGAACTATAACAACTGTCGCACTATAACAACCGTCGCACTATAACAACTGTCGAACTGTAACAATTATAACACGACCCTGTCGGCTTGGTCAGCGACATGGCGGCTGTTTTGACCGCACCAACTTCACCTCCGGAGCTTTCCGGTTCCAAGTCCTCTAAATCCTCGTCGTTCCGGTCCTCCTCGCGGATGTCAAGTCCGGACGGGGTGTTTACGGACATCGGAAACTTTGAAGATGTTGTTCTAGAAGATGAATCGGCTCAATATCTGGAAACATCGGTCCCGTATGGACGGGCCCCCGGAGTTGCACGGTCGTCGACCGCCAGGATGCTTGCCAAGGCACCCATCACGACAACCCGTGATTTGATATCTCCAGCTCCGAGAAAACCATATGCATCTGCGCAGGGACGATCCGGGCCGAAGTTGATGACTTCCTCCCGGGACTTGCAGGCCCCACGACCTCCGTCCAGGAATCGTCGCAATCGATCCGCCTCACCTCTGCGACCCGCTCAGTCCCCAGGCATCGCTTCATCTCCATCCAGCCAAACCCTATCTCCATCTCCAGTCAATGCTCGGCCTCTGAATCGAAAGCCATCTTGGCAGCGCAGCCGTAAATCGCTAAAGGAGTTGGAAGCAGAATATCACGATTCAGACGACGAGCTTCCCGAAGATGCCAGTTTATGGAATATTCCGATTTCCCCACGACCAGTGGAAGACCGTGCACCGTCTAGAGACCACAGTCCCAACCGCAGCCCGGGGCCGCGACCATTTCCCTTATCGCATTCAGTCTCTGAAGCTGCCGTTGCTCCAGCCTCTCCTCAACGATCGCCCGCTACTTCTCGGGCAAACCGACTGTTGGCTAGATCTAGCTCGGCTGGTCCCGAACGCGGCCAACTATCTCCTCGCAACCCCCGGCTTTACTCCTATAATAGCATGATGTCCGATCTATCCGAAGAGGCGAAGAACCTGACACAGGCTCTGGAGTTTCACGCCGACGAGAATGATCGCAAGCGCGGAGATAGCCTTCAGAGTGGGAACTCTTCGCTAAGATCCAGCGATGAGTCGAAGCGTGACTCCAAGTCCCCGATCGAATTACCACCCGTGCAAAAGTCCAACATAATGATCGATCCTTTGCCCATCAGCAAGGAGAAGGAAAAGGTTCTCACGCGAACTCGCCCCAGTTGGCTCCCTCCCAAGGATCAGAAGGAGGAAAGGCGACACCTTCGAGAATACAAGAAAATGATGGAGCAGTCTCGGGAAGCAGAGAAACGTAAAGCCGCGCAGGCGGCTTCGGCCAAGTGCGAGCGAGACAACACTCGGGATACGCTCCAGCAGATCTGGGACGATTACGTCTATCCAAACTGGACTAGGGCCATTGGCGAGTCTCGCACCCGCGAGCTGTGGTGGCGTGGCATACCCTCGCGAATCCGAGGACCGACTTGGAATCGTGCCATCGGCAACGAGCTGGCTCTATCCGATGAATCTTATAACAAAGCCCTGAAGCGGGCAAAAGACGCGCTCGCCAAGTCTGAGGGCGATTCGGGCGAGAGCAACAAAAAAATGATGGAGTGGTTCGACGCCATCCAGACTGATGTCTCGAAGGCCTTCCCGGAGCTGAACCTCTTCCAAGAAGGCGGCCCTCTACGTGAAACATTGGTTGATGTGTTGGAAGCGTACTCGATGTATAGGAGTGATGTTGGATATTCGAGTGGCCTTCACGTTAGTTTCCGTTAACATAAGACAGACCCAGCGCTAATGATTCGCAGACCATTGCCGCACTTTTTGTGCTACAATTCCCGACACCCTCGTCCGCTTTCTGCGCCATGGCCAATGCGCTTAACCGTCCCCTACCCGTTGCCTTTATGACCATGGACCGTGGAGCCATCGGTCGAACTCTCTCGTTAGCGTCTGCGACGCTCCGCTACAAATTCCCACGTCTAGCCACTCATCTTTATGACACTCTGCGCCTGTCAGATGAAGAGGTCTTTGACAGCATGTTCCGGTCGCTGCTCACCAACGGCCTTGATTTAGAGCGCCTCAGCCGTGTCTGGGACTGCTGGGTTTTCGAAGGTGACCGCATCATGATCCGCGCCGCCGTTGCAATTCTCGGCTGCCTGCAGACGCAGCTGTTTGGTTTCACCAAGCCGGATGACCAGAGTCGTCTGGCGGTGAAGAACATTCTCGCCTGGGGACCACACGATTTGGGTACCAAGCCCAAGGAACGTCGAAGCGCCCCTGCAGCACCTGTGGCTGGCTTTGCAGGTGGATCTACCAGTGCCGCCGCCGGCGACTACTGGGTCCTGACATCTGCAGGTGATGCAGACGGATTCATAAACGAGATGCGGGAAGCAGGCAAGGTCCATCCACGGGCGTAGCCTAGATTGTACACTCGTTTGGCCGGCACCTGTTCTGTATATAGCTTGAAGCATTTTTATCAAGAGATCCTACCTTAGCAACTGCATCAAGCACTGGGTCCCTCGTTCTCGTTAGCTTTGTTTACTTGTCATTATAGACTGATGGGTTTCTACAAAAGATCATTACCTTCAACTACGGAGTAGGGCATTTGTGGTAACGGGGAATGGCCAAACGAGCGTAAAATAATAGGTGTGTGGATGGACCGCCTACCTAACGCATCCTGTTTATGAACCCATCTTCATCACCTGCAGACATCAGATCCCAGTAGTCGCCGGCGGCTGGCGCTGGTAAGCATGTCGCAATCGAAATTGCTGGTAGAGATTAAGCTCATTATTAATGCTCGTACTCGTATCTCACGGCCGGCTTGGCATTTGCTTGGTAACTTATGCACGCTGACTCAGCCGCACCATGACATCACTATTATCGATAAGCTGCATCACATGATCATCGCCGGCCGAAAAGCAACTAAACCGACTACTAACAAAACGGCCTGGATAGCTACAACAGACGATACATCATCGGCCTGATTCGACCGCAGAGGCAGAGCAATCGCAAGATGACGGGTCTACCCGGCACCCGCCCAGTGGGCACAATTCCCCGATCTTATCTTTATGCGTGCGGCTTTGGGTAGAGCTGCTTCCGGGGGACCCGAAAAGAAGGCTGTGCAGTGGACCCTTTCCTGCGATCCCTGTTCGTCCATCGTATTCGTCTTGGTCCTCTTCTTCCTCGCCTCTCAAAATCTTTCTTCTCTCCCTGGTTGGCATTATACTTAGCGTCATATTTTCAGTATTCTTATTTTCTCCTGCTTGTCCTACCTTACCTCGGTCCGGCCCTTGGTCCTGGGATGTCGTCTCCATTCCCGCTATCATGTCTCTCTCACCTCGTCCGGATACCGATGCCATTGCGCTCCCCAATGGCCGTCGGAGTGCAAACGCCAGCGGGGAGCTGAGCCCCTCCGACAGCGAGGATGCAAGTCTAGGTGCTGACGTCTCACCTTATCCCAGCCCCGGCATCGGTGCGGCGGCGACTGGGATTACCGACCTGGAAGAAGATGCTGACGACGCTGACGAAGCCGACGACGTGATTGGTGTCAGCATGGGCTACGATCAGAGCCGGCTCAAATCTCGTACGACGCCTGCTGAGGAGAAGACGCGCATTATGGAACGCAATGGTGGGTTCTTTGAAGATGAGGGTCTTTTTGCGCCGGATATCACGGAGGAGCCGGAGTCGCTGGCGGAGGAGGGGGATACGGATAAAGATAGGACTCCGACGGGAAAGGAAACCACGGCGCCGGGAACTGCTGTTTCGAAAGGCCAGACCTCGCGCACTGGATTTACGAGGTCTCTCTTGAAGGGAACGCTGCCGCTGCGGCCGCGAGCGTGGTCGGGCGATAGCCATACTGGGAGTCGGCGCGGGTTGAAGAAATTCTTTCCATCGTTGCACCTGCGAACGAGCAGCCTTTCGATGTCTCGACATCGCTCGCGCAGCTGGTCATCGCGGCTCAATTTGGAGCAGGAAAAGGGCGGTGATGTGCCTACGACGTCTCGGTCACCTCGGTCACCGTGGCCGCAGCCTTTGGTTTCGGACCCAAGCTCGTCAGCGTCGAATGGGACACTGGAGGCAGCAGCAGAGGACCCGATCGGGGAGTTGAAGCCATTGCAGGCGCCGTCTGCGCGGACCCGCGGTAAGCATTCATTCGTCGGTTCCAACCCGACCTTGCGACGGTCGTCTTCGGATCAGTCTTTGTATTTGCGGGCTTCCTCTACTGCGTCCTCTCTTGAGCACCGTCCTCAATATGAACACATCCATTCGCAGGTCAACAGTCGTTTTAAAGCCATCAAGGATTCTTTACAGGACTCTAGCAGTCGGCTTTTGAGCATGCCCACGCTTCACCTTCAGGATCTGCGGAGCGATTGGGGATACAGGCAGTTTCTCTCGGATGCGCACCACCGCAGGACGGAGACAAATGAGACGGACGACACGGTCCTCTCCACGGGCACAACGGCTCCACCGCTTGAAGGTGCACCCCCGTCGCCTCTTCTGCGATCAAAGTCTACTCGCAAGAGCTTAGCTGCAACCTACCCTGTCCTCTTCGAGGCCATGAGCGAGTTATCCGGAGATGTAGTGGTCATGGGCGGCTACCGGGGTTCTGTTCTACGCTCCGCCAAACCCCCACATCGACAGCTCTGGGTGCCTATGAAAGTCGGGTTGAATCTCCGCAAAGTAGACCTAGAAGTTGGGCTGACACGAGAGGACGAGGAACGCATGGAGGAAACCATCATCCCAGACGGCGTTCTCTCCCACGTAGGCCCCGTCGACATCTGCCGACGGCTTCTCAAGCGGCTGCAGAAATGCGATAATGCCGCCCGCGGCGACTTGCGCGTCCACAACTACGGCTACGACTGGCGTCTTAGCCCGCATCTCCTCTCCCGCCGTCTAATCAAGTATCTCGAGGGTCTTCCCTGTAATGCCCCCGACGTTCCGCCACACAAGCGAGGTGCATATGTTATTGCGCACAGCCTCGGCGGTCTCATCGCCCGCCATGCGGTGAACCAGCGGCCCGAGCTCTTCGCGGGTGTCCTGTACGCGGGCGTTCCTCAACACTGCGTTAACATCCTCGGTCCTCTCCGTAACGGCGATGATGTGCTTCTTAGCTCGCGCGTTCTAACCGCCCAAGTCAACTTTACCTTCCGGACGAGCTTTGCCCTTCTTCCAGAACGGGGCCATTGCTTCATCAACAAGCGCACAAAGGAAGAGTACCGCCTTGACTACTTCGACCCAGCCGTCTGGGATGAGTACCGCCTCTCTCCCTGCATCAATCGACCCTTCCCCACCCCAAGCTCATCCAGCATCAATCTACCTCTCCGCAAACGCTTCTCTACGATCCTCTCCAACTCTTCAGACGGCAGCATCGGTGCAGACGACACCACACCTGACCACTCGCCCACCCCAACAACCGCCAGCGGCGACTCCGTCTCCAACTCGACCTCCTCAGCAGCCGCCGCCGCCATTAAACAACTGAAACCCCCCAAGCCAAAAGGCGAGATCTTCCCCGGCCCAAGTACCAACCCCAGGGGCTCTTCCACCACAGGCCCGAACGCTCAGCCCGTCACCATCCCTCCTGAAGTCGCAAAGGATTACCTCGCCCGTACTCTCTCCGAAGTCAAGGCTTTCAAACACGAAACTCTCCACAACGAGGTACATCAGAGCAGCAACAAATACCCACCATTCGCAGTTCTGTACTCCAAGTCCGTCCCCACCGTCTACGGCGCCCGCGTCAATTCAAAGGAGGGCATCAAGTATGCCGACGCCTATGACGATCTGGCATTTGCAGCTGGTGACGGCGTCTGCCTTGCAAGTGCGGCGATGCTGCCGACGGGCTATAGGGTTATCAAGGGTGGTCTTGTCAAAAGCGACAGAGGGCATGTCGGGCTGCTGGGTGACCTGGAGGGCGTGGGCGCCTGTCTGAGGGCAATTGTCCGAGGAAGGAAGGAAGGTGTTGGGATTGAGGGGTTCAATGTGAGTTCGAGTTCGAGTTCGAGTTGATTCAGACTCAGCCTTGCTCTTGGTTCTGGCTCGGGTTCTGGTTCTGGTTTTTGAATATGCATATCTGCTGCACACGCGCTTGGTTGTATGGGTGTGTGCTGCGACCACAGACCGGAGTTTTGGTTTGGATGCTTTGCTACGGAGTCCTACTATTGATATTGATACCCACCCCTGTCATACATACAAACCATATATATACTTGTATACATACGCGTCTTATATATACATGATACGCATGTACCTTCGTCTATATATTTTATTACATTCTATTTCAAATGCAGCGGATGAGGAGCATTCCTCGCTAGGTTGCTATCATCGACGATTATCGGGACGGTCGTCGAGGTCAACTGGGGCAACGGATGCCGAAGGAGAATATAGCATCACATCCGAGTTATTCTCTTTCATAGAACCTCATCTCGTTCATCTATTACTATAGTCTGTCTACCAGTACCTAGGACCGAATGGACCGACACACATACCATACCGGTACGACCCGAAACTTTTCTTGCAGCTCATGGCTCGACGATCCCAGAACCGAGAAAGAAGGAGAAAGAGACACCCGACCGACGACCTACAAACCGATAACCACATCCCAAATCCGACATATACATCGTATATAAGCGACAGAAGACGGGCAATTCTAAGTAACAAGCAGAAGACGAACCTAGTGTAGAAAGGAAAAGAAAGAAAAGGAGATATTCTATGAAATAACAACCAAGACCAACAGGAATCAGGAAACAGGTAGATCAAATCAAATCAAATCAAGTCAAGTCAAGTCATGCAAGGGAGGGACGAAACAAAAAAAAGGTCTAGTCTGTCCGCGAGTTGGTGATGCTCAAGACCAAGATATCCGTGGCGCCAACCTTGGTCAGCTCGTCCATGACCGTGGCAATCTGCTTCTTCTCGACCATCGAGCTGACGGCCACCCAGCCGTCCTCTTCGAGCGCGGTCACAGTGGGCGCGCGCTTGCCGGGTGTGATGCTGCTGGCGGTTGAGAGGCTGTCGCGGGGGATGTTGTACTGGCAGAGGACGAACTTCTTGGCGGCTAGTGGAGGGAGGCTTGTTAGTTTTTCCATCTAGATGAGGTTTATTAGATGGGTGGGACATACTGATGACACCGCGGACACGGGAGGCGATGAGGTCGACGAGCGGGTTCGTGGTGTTGCGGTTCTTGACGAGGACGGCGGTGCTCTCGACGACGGTGTCGATGGCCTTTAGCCCGGCTGCGCGCATTGTCTCGCCGGATTCTGGCAGCCATTCGTCAATTATCTAGTCCCAGTAGAGGAACGAGTTTTGGAAACATACCGACAAGGTCAACGATTCCATCAGCGACACCAAGCGCGCAGGCTGCCTCCACACTGCCGCCAACATACTTGATGTTGGTCTTCTTGTCCGCGCCGTTCTCCTTCTCCAGCTTGGCGAAGAACTGCTCGCTCAGCGCCGTGAAGCTCGTCACCACGTTCTTGCCAATGAGTTGCTCAACCGTCTGGACGTCTCCCTTCTCCGGAACCTGGACCTGCAGCTTGCACCCGCCGAATCCGAGGTCCAGGATCTCCTGCACGCCCGAGACCTCGCCCTCGGGGAGGTGAAGCTGCGCATCGTGCTCGGCGACCTGGTCGCGTCCCGTGATGCCGAGATCGACGCGGCCCTCGCCGATGAAGGTGGGGATGTCGGCGGCGGGGAGGAAGATGAGCGCGATAGGCAGGTTCTTGACCAGCGCGATGTCGAGGCGGTTTTCGCGGCGGAATTGGATGTCGCAGCCGGAGAGGAGGTCGAGGGTTGCTTGTTGGAGGCGTCCTTCTGTTTCCGAGCGGGTTTGTTAGTTGTTGCGTCTCTTTGAACTCTTTGTGGCCTGAATTGAAATGACTCAGGTTGGGGGATGGGCGGATGGGACGGGGGACTTGCTCTTGGGGACTGCGAAGAGGAGTCTTCCTTCGAGGCTTTATATTGTCAGTTACCGACCTGAGATATACGCGATCCGAGCAATTGACTCACTGGTTAACGAGATCCATTTTAACGGTGGTTGGGTTGATTGACCGCGGGGTACTCGGAGTTTTTGGGGATGCGAAGGACGCGAAAGGTACAGGTGCGGAGGTTATCGGAGGTGCTCAATGGAATGAGCGGTATATTATAGAGTCCCAATTCGGGAGGAAGAGAACGCGCGAGTCAATCGTGTAAGGTGAAGGATAAAAAGAATCAAGATACACCGAGGACTGAATGAATCATCAAAAGTTGGCAGCGGGGCCGGGCGCATGTGCCTGATGTATAAGGCAACTACTTCGGCCGCCGAGCACGTGGCACAAGCCGCCATGCCCTAGCTGAGATGCATCCATCCAACGCTGGATATCTTCAGCACCTTCGGCTGAGCGCAATCGGTCAGCATGCTCAACTGTCATGTGAGGGAATTATATTCAAGTCTATCCAGGTTGTGAGAGCAGCGAGATAGAAGCACCATGATCCATCACCCCCAGGTCTGCTGTGTCTGGATTCCCCCAGGCGTGACTATACAGACCAAGACGATGTCTTCTACAGGAGATCACTTGGGCATAATTTGCGGCTGTCTGCGCCTATCTGACTGAAGGATGCAGGGGTGTGGATCGCCTGATTTGGGTAGTAGAGTCATGGCAATATATAGTTGAACCCCTAGTAAGATGAGCCCGGGCAGGGTTGCCGAATATATAACCCGAGAGCTAGGGTACATGTTGCAAGCGGCACAGTGCATACTACATATGACGTACGTACGTTGGGATAATCTGGAACCTGATCACAGACATGAGCACGATAAGCAGTCACTGAACTACACCATGGAGGAAGATCAGGCCATGACAGTGTAGGTGCATTTTGACCAACTTAACTGGTGCATCATCAACCTGCGATTATTGTCATCGGGAGCGAAAAGTAAACAGCCCAGAAGGACTGACTACATATAGCAGGACTATGGTTGATTTTAATTCATAGGAGATGATACAGCAGAATAGAACACCATTTGTTGCTTGCTACTGTTGAATGGGCCAAGGTACCGACTGACCCCTGGCAGAGTTTCAATTCTGATAGTAAGGAAATTTTACTTAAAAAGTAATGCTGATAAAAAGATAATTCGTCCCCGGACAGGCTCGAACTGTCAACCTCCTGATGACCATTATGAAATAACAGTCAGACGCGCTAACCAGTTGCGCCACGGAGACTTGATGAGAGACGATGGTAAAATTCTGCCACTAAGTGGGAACACACAATTAGTGATGTACTGCATGGAATACGTGTTGAGTCTTAACTGATTGCACCACAAAGAACTTGCTAACAGCTGGCAGAAAGCAAGTTGCCAATTAGTTTCAATTGGCTGTTTGTTGCAGGAAAATAGGTGCTATCAGCAATACACAAAAAAAGATTTACGTCCCCAGACTGGATCAAACTGTGGATCAACAACATTCAAAAAAGTTGTTGCGTCCCCGGACAGGCTCGAACTGTCAACCTCCTGATGACTATTATAGAATAACAGTCAGACGCGCTAACCAGTTGCGCCACGGAGACTTGCTATATACTGACCGTAGATCTGCTGGCACTATAGACAGCCCCAAACAGACGCTCTTATGTCTGACACATCACACTTCTTGCGCAGAAGAGTTCCCCGATGTATCCATATTTGATTCTAAATATGATGAGTTGCCCAAACAAAATCATATTTCACTATGTAGTCTTAGATAAAAGGTCAAGCATTATCATAAATGAGGTGAGCTGAGTGTTGCATGAACTACAAACTGCACGGTCCACCAAAAAAATAGTCGTCCCCGGACAGGCTCGAACTGTCAACCTCCTGATGACTATTAAATTTAACAGTCAGACGCGCTAACCAGTTGCGCCACGGAGACTTCTGATTGGCCAAAACCAGCTCCTGGTAACTCTACAATCCAAACTTACAATAACATTCCATACTCCAGTTTGACAAGGCCGCACACGGGTTGCAATACCATATCCTTCCAAATGTTGGGTGATAGCAGTTTACGCTATGGGGGCCTCTGCCATAGCCACAAGAGCAGCTGAGGGGAAACGAGCCTTGTCGAAGACACTGTATGTATGTGACGGGTACATCCATCCCGCGATCATCCAGGCCAAAACAGTGCCTCTCTCAAGTTGCTTCGTTATCCGGGCCACGATGGTGGGCATGTATTTAGCATGACACTGGTAATTCTCGTATAGGTGCTAGCCAGTGGCTGGGTTTAGTTGGTCGCGTTTCTAAGTAGAGGTTGGACTAGTCGTGTTGTATGTCTGACCAGACTATAGGTACTCCGTATATCTCATTTCGACTCATGGATAGCCGCAGCATATGAGGTCCGCTTGGCCATTGTGATCCCCAGCATCTAGCAGTGAACAGCCATCGGGCGTGCCCAGACCATATACCGAGAGGCACACTGCTCCTTATGCTGCCAATGATCCCAAACAACCACACGTAGGCTAAAGTCATCAACAGATATATTCAGGATGTACACAATCCGTGCATATTGGACAAGCCGCTCTCTGATTGCCAGTACATGAAGAAACCAGGACAAGCTAATAGAGGGACCGATGGCCCGAGAGCCCGTTTATGCAGGGCGAACACTGACAGCGTCGGTCCACCCGTAGGCATCATCTCCAGTTTCTCTACAGCATCCAAGTTCGGAGAATCTCCTCTCATGCACATATGTACTATGTAAGGCTGCTCGGATCACGCAGCTCGATTAACAACCATGCGGACAATAATGGGTTTCATACCCCTGGCTAACATGTGGCTTTCGTGCGGCTGCCGGCAAGGCGTCGAGTAGCTAGAACTAGAGTTCGCAGCCACAGATCCGAGCGTATAAGCACTTTAATGTGCTGCCAGTGCTTATCCTTCCCCGGCTGACTTGAGAGCCAATGTGAGATCTAATCATGATAATTAGGGGAAGGAAATGACATGGTCGCGTCGACGCATTTCAAGCCTTGTATTGTCTGGGGTCAGCCTTATTGAGGCGCAAAAAGTATATCTGTCCTGAAAATTGGCAACCTGACACAGTGACACAAGTGACACCGACACCAACTGACAACATCGCGTGCCAAGCGCACTGGTCACAGATATTCTGAGCTTAGTTAGTTGACCAGAGTAAGGCAACGACTAACCTGTTAGAGCCAGAATTCAGGAACAGGAACAGTCTCGGCCGTTTTCTGTCAGTGTCAGAGACGCAAGAAATTTCAGATCCGTGGGCCGGATGCTCGCAGCTAGACCTTAACTAGAGCTAAAGTGCTGCTAGACCATAAACTAAACATCCGTGTCTTCCCGCTTGAAGAATTTTCGTGAAGAAAATCTCTGTTGTTAAATGATTGTTGATCTGCTTATATTTTCACGGCCGGTGACTTGCTGATGACTTCGGGACAGACCCAGGATCCCTGGAATTAAAGGTTGTGGGATCGCGTCTCCACTCCCAGCATGGCCCAGGCCTGCGAGGAACTGCGTCCGTGACGAGCTCCGGTGACGACGTCCATGCTCTCACCCAAGGATCCCGACTGAGTGGATGATCTTGCACCAGAAGGGCAGGAGTGGACATGTCCGAGGTAGAGGTGATGCATGAAATATAACCGAGTACAGACCTCAGCTGCTGGAGGAGTCAGATCGAAAGCCAGAAATTTGTCACCATTGATCACAGGCGCTTAGAGTTTGCGAACCCAAGTTTGTTAGAGCCCCCGCTAAGTCCCCGTAGAATCCCCGTAAAATGAGGTTAATCAGGCCCAGGCTGAATAGCCTACTGCCTGACAGTGAGGCAACCATAATATTAAACGAAATAATAGATGGGAGCCGAGAAATCGCATCCTGGCTTCGTTAATTTTACTTCAAGTTCTAGGCTCTGACCAGGGCCGTCATCAAGAATCGATGGATCGATTAGAGTGGAACAGCATCTACAATGTCCGGCCCAATCATTCTCTCTGCCAAAACGCCTCTGTCGTCGGATTTCTTCCCTGCTTGCGAGCTAAAAACCTGTTTGAATATTGAGCACTTGTTTGATCTGAATTGTTCGCAGTGAATCGAACTTCGGATCGGCGATCTCATGCTCTTTATCATAATCCCGGTGGACCGGACTCGGCGCAGGCCAGATGAGGAATGAAACAAAGAAAGCCGAGCATCCTTTGTCTTGCCCGAGGTTGGTCCATAGATGCCTCGTGAGCGACGGAAATGGCGTAAACAGAGGCTTTCAAAGCCAACATGGCTGTGTAGTGATGGAGGGCTTCCCCAAGACGATCGCCGTTTGGAAGTGAAACCATGCGCCCAACTACTAACGGACTGACAGACGCCAGACGCCAGACGACAGTAGCTAGATACAGATGGGAATGTAGTCCAAGAGTGGTAGACATGCTAGAAAAGTCAAACAGGGCTGCTGTGGTGGCCCACTCGCTGTCTCCCAGACTTGAGCTCGCCAGTGACGCTGCAGTACGTATTTCCATCTGGCCTGCCCATCATCTCTCAACCCATCCATCTCTACCATCCTCATTAATCCCTTCGCCCATTCCCAATAACCCAATAATAATCCTAATCCCGACTATCCTGACCAGTACTGCCGCGAATATTGTTCCTCGCTTCCGGTCCAACCACTTTGACCTCCAATAAACCCCTCTCGGCCACGGCCCGCCTGTGACGAGCCCAGATCCCCTCCACGACCCCCGTCTGGACTGGCACACCTCCCCCTGCTCGCTCCTAGCTAGCTCTCGCCAGTCACCACCCTCGACGCCGTGCAAACGTCCTTACTCCGCCGTCTTCCTCCTCATCTCCCCGATCGGCTTATCATCCTTCTTCATCCTACGCCTCTCCCCACATCCGACCGTCCTTTGACCTTCGTTCCTAATCGCCGCACGTCTCTGCTTGTGCTGGGACACAGACCTTAGATCACCCGCCGGAGCTTGGTGATCTTGACCTGGACTTTGAATATGCCGCCGTATTTGGGTAGTACTACCCGGTGACGATTGCCTTGTAGTTCTGGCTGGTCCATCTGCAACACTGTGGCCACCAGCCGTGAACAACGCATCGCAGACTAGCATCCTTGAACAGAAACGATCTCCGCCAACCATTTCTGTTTGAAAGCTTTCCTCTGGCAAATTAAAAAAGAAAATCAACTGAAAATTAATCCAAAAAAGAAGGTCTCGCTCCATGTATCAAAAATGTCCGGCAGCGATGTCGAACACGTTTCTGGCTTCGTTGACGCCGGCCCTTCCCAAGCTCGGCGCCTCTCCTCCTCCAGCACCGCTGATTGCTTCTACGACGCTCTTTCCGATAGTGGCTCCCACAATCCTCCGCTGACTCTTCCATCCTCTCGACCGACTTCCTCCCGGTCAGGTACCACATATACCACCAAGCAAGGTGTCTCAAGGCCACAACCCTCCGCGTCACCCGCGACCGCTGTTCCGAACGGCTATCCCAACCGCCACCATCGATCCTCCCCCGACCCCGACGATTACTACCGCTCACATTCACCGACTTTGCCTTTGGAAGACGACTCTCGAGCCCGGACAGAAACTGCGTCGCTATCCGGGACGTCGAATCCAGTTGCGGACGCCCGCGCGATACAAACAACACAGCGAGTAACTTCCGAGCCCGCCTATCCGCCGGGATTATCGAGCGTAGAACGAGGACAGTACCGCTCAGTGTCCGATACCTCTTTGCGAGGCCGGTCTGGTCTCCCAAGTGGTCTTGACTCCGTGCGACCCTTGGCGGTGCGCTCGAAACAAACTTCCTTCAAAGATCTTGTCAACAAGTTCAACAACAACGTCGATCAAGTCCTCCCATTTCCTTCCGCTTCCCGAGACCACTCAAGGGCCTCCAGCCCTGTTGCCGCCGATCGTAGTATACAACCTGGAGCCGCGTCGCGTAGGCGAGACACCGGTGGCTCGATTGCGCAGAAACAACAGGCCTCTAGGTGGGACTTGATGGGAAACTCAGCGCAGGAGGCCCCATCGCACATTGTTCTACCCCCGTCGAACGCATCGGACTTGAATAACGGTTCTTTGGATAATCATCAACCGTCGAATCTGCTTCCGCGACGGCGTCTTTTCGGAGAGCTGCTTACAGTCGACACGGATTTCCAGGGGTATGGGATACCGTCTCACTCCCGACGTCGAGGTTCTGAAGGAAGTATCCCTAGTCCAAACCCTGCGCTTCTAGACCATTTCGATCCGTCGTTCAACCAAACACCATTGACTCCGACAGCGTGGTATCTGGGGCGAACGCCATTCTTAGAAGCAGTTAGCACCGGGGAGAGCTCGAGTCGCCATCGAAGGACAAGGAGCGACATCCCTGGGAACTCGCCCGTGGGTGCGAGCACGCACCCGTCTGATTTTCACATGGCGGTCCCTGGCCCCTTGCAGCCTGGATCACGAACGTATTCGGCCAGCCCGCATTCCAAGTCACGCATTCCCATTTCCTCCCACCGCCTCAACTCGCCTTCCGCTTCTGATGACTCGTCACCCTCTTCGAAGGCCCAGTCTCCTGACGGTGGCCGGTACAATGTTGAGATCCCTCTTCCACCCAAGGGATTGAGCCGTCTCCCCAAACCATCTCCAAAATCTCCCCGCGACTTGGTGCCGCATGGCAAATCAGCGTTTGCTACAACCACTACTCAGACCCCAACTCGTGGAAGGCGAGAAACGGGCTATGGTCGTTCCCGGACGAGATTAGCTGATAAGAGTCCCCAGCTTGAGGCCTTCATAGCTGCGCCACCTCCAAAGAAATCGCCTCCCTTGCGCAGCTCTCGACCACGCCAGCCCGTATCGCATACTGCGCCTCCGACATCCAAGTCGCGAGTGGGAGAGACGGTGTCGAACCTTCAAAAACAGATCCACCGTGAGCGGGAGCTGCGGAACTCGAGGCCGCGAGAGCGGAGGCTACCCGAGCTGGGGACAGTTGACTTTGCGACACGACGCCAAAAGATCCAGCAGGCGTTCAACCGCACGGTCAAAGAGAATGAAAGGAGAGAAGAGGAGGCAGCTGAGCTTCGCCGACGAGCCTCTGAGCATGAGAATATCTCGAAACACACGAACAACCTGCCGTCCGATTTCGAGCCAAGTGAGCAGGAAGCAGTGCCTGTTGTTCAACCGGATGATACTGCAACAGTCATAGAAGATTCTGCCGAAGTCTGTGAGGATGAGTCGCCCGAAAATGGAGATGTAGAGGCCTTCCCGCAACTTCACATTGACACCAATGTGCCGACCGATGGTCCACGTGCGATGACCATGGATTCTCCCACTTTAGGGCATATTGAATTGCCCCGGGATGAAGGCGATACCAAATCTTTCATCTTACCTGCCACCTCTTCGCCGACTTCATGCTCCGAGGATTCGCCGGTGACCACCTTTGATCCAGAACTGCAAGCCGAGATACCCCAACAGGACGTGCATACGTCACACAGAACCCTATTGAGTGAGATCATGCGCTTCCGTGAATCGAGCCCAAGTAGCTCCTCATGTGATGAGCAAGAGTTTGGGTTCTCTGACAATGACGATAAAGAATCGATCCCAATCTTACTGAGAGACAAACCGGGTTTCGACGATTTGACCCCGGACGATTTCACCACGTCTAGGATCGGACCTTTAGAGACATCGGATGCTGCTGGTGATATATCGAACAGATGGAGCATGAGCTCATGGTCTTCGTCTTTACGCCATCAACATTCCGACCACGGTCCTTGTGATGGAAGTGGAGATGATCTCTCTCAGCTGCAGCAATCAGTAGAAGATAGTGAGCTAATGGCCCAGTCGTGCTCTGCTTCATCAATGACTCCATCCGACCCCGGCCAGCTTCCTTCAACAATTCCTGTCGACCCTGTACAGATTACGAGCTCTCTTGCGCATGATTCTGATGCGGGACCTGATTTGAGACAAGAAAATACAGCCCCTCGCAAACCTTACGGACACTCCAAAACACCAAGCTTAGCAAAACTCGGCGGCTGGGACTCAAGGAAGATTACCCAGCTTTATCTCGAAGAGCTTGCCCGTGGCGGTAGAGACCACAGCCTTCCGCTTGACGTTCACGTTCGCGCTTCCCCTGAACCACGATTGCCGAACCTTTCCCATAATGACCCAAGAGCAGACGGGAGGACAGATAGTCTGACCGATGACCCTGTTCTGGTAACCACGGTTGATGGTGCTCCTGGGCCAGGCCCGGACCGACTCTCTCATACTGCGAGCCTGGTGCTACGAGATGACTGGGAACATGCATCCCCATCGATTATGGATTGGATGCAGGTCGCGGCCGATGATGCGCCCGCGCCTGACACGAGTCCCCAGAATGACGGTGTGCCGACACCAACGCTTGGGACTACCAAACCCGAAGATGACAATACAGGCCTCGGCCTGGCCATCAACATTCAGTCACCACAGGAGCCGGCGGCTCATGATACTAGCATTTCGCCAGCCCCTCGTCATGAACCTACCCCGCCCCCACTAGACACGCAAGTGGATACCACGGTCATCCGAGGGTCACTGGAGCGCCCTCGCAGTGTCCGACTTGCTCAACAGCCTGCGATCACTTCAGAGACCAGCGGTTTTATGCCCCTTGGCCCTGTTCACAGCACTGGAAGCAGTCAAGACTCTCTTGGGCGTCATGATCACGACCCTTCTCCATCTCCCCAAGCGAGAGATTCATCTGTTACTTCGCTAGTACCTTCGAGCTTGGAGCAGCCTCGCACTAGTACATCCTCTCCTTCCCCCGACCATGGCCGCCTGAAGAAACGCCGACATGTGATCAAAGAACTCGTCGACACCGAGTACACATTTGGGAGAGATATGAAAGTTGTCGATGATATCTATAAAGGAACCTCCAGTTCCTGCTTGGATCTGTCCGCGGAGGATATCAAGACCCTCTTCGCCAATTCTGACCAGATTGTACTTTTCTCGATGAATTTCCAAGATGCGCTCAAGGACGCGGCCAAAAGTGTCTACGTTATGCCGAAATCGCAACGGTGGAGTAGTAAGCGCAGTGGACGGAATCCTCACGTTTCTAAGAACAACTCAGACATGCCCGATGGAACGGGTCCCTCGGACCTGGAAAAAGACAAAGCTACATCCATTGGCCAGGCCTTTATAGTACATATGTCCCACATGGAGAAGGTCTATACCGAGTATCTGAAAAACCACGACGCTGCCAACAAAAAACTTCAAGCGCTCCAGCGGAGTGCGAATGTGACAATTTGGCTGAACGAGTGCAGGGAGTGGGCGTCAGATCTCACAAGCGCTTGGGATCTCGATTCGCTACTCGTTAAACCGGTGCAACGGATTCTCAAATATCCCCTTTTGATCTCTGAGCTCATTGACTCGACATCCTCGGACCATCCAGACCATGGGTCGCTTGTGAAGGCTCTGGAAGAGGTTACCAACATTTCCGTCCGTATCAACGAAATGAAGAGACGCGCAGATGTGGTTGGACAAGTTGTCGGGCGAAAGAGGAAAGAATCGGACGTGAGAATGGGATTTTCCAAAGCATTCGGCCGTCGAACCGAGAAACTGAGACAGCAAGTTGGCCTGTCAGACATGGTTGCCGATAAGGATTACGACGCCCTCGCTCAGAGATTTGGCGACAATTTCTTCCAGCTACAAGTGGTCATGCGCGACGCCGAAATGTACACTCGTGAGACGCAGGGGTCATTGGACCGTTTCTTCGAGTTCGTCACCGCTATTGAAGCGTTCATCGATGTGTTCCAGTCCAGCTACCCCGAGCTTGAGGGGAAGTGGCGCGTTTTCAAAATTTCCATTCAGGACATTATGGCGGCCACCTTGCCAGAGCATGTGAGTAGTTCTTGACAATGATCAACGGAGTGTTCTTGCTGACCCGATATTCAATGCAGCTCGACGTTGTTAGGAAGAGTGTAATCGACCCAATGGTCACCTTGCTCAAACTCCACGAAGGACCGCAGATGGTCATGAAGAAACGCGACAAGCGCCTGATGGACTATGCCCGCTTCAAGGGTATCAAAGCACGAGGAGATAAGCCTGACAAGAAGACGGCCGAACAAGCAGACCAGTTCGTTGCGCTCAACGAAACCCTCAAAGACGAACTCCCAAAACTCTATGCTTTGACGGCGAAATTAATGGAAGCTTGCCTGAAGAATTTTGTTCAAATCCAAACGACGTGGTACATTGTTTTGCAGAAGAAGATTGGGCCCTTGATCGATTCATTTCCCGAGGAAGTCCAGAAGATTGTCGATGACTGGACTACGCGGTTCAACTTCTCGGAAGCTCAGGTGCTTTCTCTTGGTATCTGCAATGGCTCCCTACTCGCTGATACCGTCAACCTTGTCAACTTCAACACTCCCTCCACAGCCCCGGGGGTAAGCTCTCCCCGTCGTCCCTCAACAGTTCACAGTACTAGCACTCGGGCTATGGATGAGTCGCCCAAGGCCTCTTATGATTTCAGCGCTAGCAACCATTCCTTCCAATCCCCCAATTTTGATGCTCAATCTCAGGTGTCTCTTGGGCGTCATCGTGCCGACTCGGCTTTCTCTAGTCGCCCTGCGCCTGACACTCCGGAGCTTCCCCGGACTCAAGTGCTGCAACAGGCTCACAGCGCATCGACGTCATTTGCCCCCCCTTCACACTCGCAGTCGGAACCTTTCCCTAGACTTCCCAGCATCAGCCTTGACACTCCATTCCTGGCGGATATCATTCCACCTTCTAGCAGCGACGGCCCAACAGATGAAACCCGTCCCAATTCGTCTGCGGGTCGATATTCGGGCTTCTTCTCGTCAGCAATGCCCATGTCCGATAGCCCACAGGAGATGACCGATTCCGAGGCCAATGTGGCCAAAGAGGCTAAAGAGCCCACTGTTCTTTTCCTTGCCGCTAGCATTTACGAATTCAACATAGATCGAGCCCGACGTGAGGCTGGCTATCCATATCTGACCTATGTTGCGGGTGAGATCTTCGACGTCATTGCTGAGAAAGGAGAACTCTGGCTAGCCCGAAACCAAGACGACGCAACTCACCAAGTCGGCTGGATATGGAACAAGCATTTTGCTAAGCTCTCAGCTTGAGGTTCAGCCGCTGTTTTCTGCCCTGCTTCATGATATGATATTGTACGAACCTTGTCCCTTTTCACTGGTTATTTTTCTATTTGCTTCCATTTTCGAGTTCTATCCATTTGGCGAGCGAGTTGATGGTTATTTGCTTTGCGGGAGCCGGTGTTTGCTTTAGGCCGTGAGCATGGAAGAGAATACTGAAAGATCCGCAAGGATGGCCGTGGCATGTACATCTAGATACCCCTTAACAATAAGAGTCTCATTACTTCACTACTAGCACAGTTCTCGTATTCGTATCCTTGTGGCCTTGGAATGAAGGTTGAAGGTCGCCAGTCAAGCCACAGCGCCACAGAGTGACGTTCCTTCTGCGCCACGGCTTTCCCCAGAGTGGCACCAGCCTGATCGTCGTTTGTCACAGGCAGCCAACCCTTCTGCTTCTCTTTCCTTGCTTCCAGTCACTGTCCCTGCTCGTCAATCGCTCACGACTACGATCCTCGTCGGCCCACTATAGTTCTTTTGAAACCCTGCCCAGTGTGATTCCGTGGTCGAAGTGTTGATCCAGCCGCCAATACCCCCGCTTGTACCTCCCTCCCCCACGTCACTACGAACTGCAGCGACCTGTTCCAACACCGGCTTGTGGACTTCTGGGATCACTGTCGCTCCGCGTACTCTGCCCAGAGCCTTGCAGAAGCTTCGTGCTCATCGCAAATCTCAAGTCACTATTGTGTTAAAGTTCCGCGTGCTGGTCGAGACAATAAAGTTCCGCGATTAGACTACCGGTATCGGATAAGATGCGGGACGGGGGGCTCGGAAAGCTCCAGAAACGGATGAGGCGGTTCGGCGATACGGTATGTCTTGCAATCATTCCTTTGCTGGGCTTGTCGCCCGTTGATCTCAGGACATGGATTAATGGGCGCGCAGTTGAATCCGGATGACGCATACCTTAGCTGTGAGTCCCCACGAGAATTTGCGTCGGTTAGTTACAGGATCGAGGCGTTCTGACTGGGTTGGAGCTCATAGATCACGATATCAGGTGTACGTTGGGAATTCTACCCTGCTTGAAACGGGGATTGCTAACCTCCGGCCTGGGTCTTAGTGACAAGAGGCGATTTACAATCTCTCAAGGATGACTGGCTTACAGACAATGTTCGTTTGACTATGCTTGGACTGTGTGCTAGAGACCGAAGCTGACCTGCTGGTAGATCATCTCTTTCTGGGAGGAGTAAGTCCGGGGTTTCGAGATGCACGGTGACCGGCGCCATGACTGACTGGCTGACTTGTGCCAGGTACCTGGAACGCGAGTTTCTCACAGAATACAAGACATCCAATATCGTCCTCCTACGACCGAGCATGTCCTTTATGATCTACCAAACCGAGAATCCGCATTCCCTGCGAGACGCATTACCGGATTTCACCCGCACAACGCACGTCTTCCTCCCTATAAACGACTGCCGAAACGTCACAGAAGCCGAAGGGGGCACACACTGGTCTTTGCTCCTGATCTCGATAGTCGACGGGATAGCGTTCCACTACGACTCGTTACCACCGGGGAACTACTGGGAGGCGAAAACGGTCACGATGAAGTTCGGCGCCCTCCTCAACCGCCCGATACGATTCGTCAACCTCGAGGATTCACCGATCCAAGAGAACGGCAGCGACTGCGGCGTCTTTGTATGCTTGAACATGCGCCAGCTCCTCCTGAAACGACTCCTCCGCGCAAACTCCAACGAGAAGGTTAGCATGAGTCTGGGTGGCTCCAAGGTAGACGCTCGCTCGGGCCGCAAGGAGATAGCGAAGACGATTGAGAGTTTCCGGAAAGAAGGCGAAAGGCGAAGATCGTATGTTCGCCCTCTTCTCTGTCTATTTCTCCTTCTGTTGCTGACCGTGCGTCGTGCCCCAGAGCCAGTTTAAGCCCTTCCGGGAAGAAATCGAGGAGCCCGCCGCGCATTGAATGATTGGTAGACATTGGCCACGTCTACCGTAGATACATGTATACCTCTGTCTTCATGCCCACTGGGATGGATGTGGATTGCTGAATAATTAGTTGCATTGGGCGTAATGAGGTTGGTTTGGATGAATGAGATGAGATGATGAATTAAGATCGGGGACATAAACATGAGCATGTGTTACGACGAGCCGGGCTTGCTGCTGTATTGACTGATGCGCTTTGTTCTTGGCCATCAATATACCTTTCTCTTCTGCATTCATTTCGTCTTATTATCTTTTTCCCGTTCCACGCCATGCCGGTTCTCTTATTGCTTATGTGGATAGCATTGCTTCTAGCATCTTCATATATTAATGAGCATTGCATTTTTCGGGGCATGATTGATTAACACTGGAATACTGCATGTATGCACCACAGCACTATATCTGTGTCGAGGTTTGTTCATAGGCCCTTGGACATATTAACTTCTACTGGTAATCATCCATCCAGTAGGGGATGCAAAGAAGTTCTGTAGTAAATGGCGGGTGACTTTATCATTGCATCTGTTCACCGGAGCTGCCAGAGGAACACTGCAGGTCCGGTTATGTTTATTCCAAGGTTCAATCAACCACTTACCTGGCCAACAAGACTTCTAGATAGATGCTTACAGAATTACGCACTCACCTAGTACTGATCAATCCCCGCGCCACTTCTTCTTGGACACTGGGACACGCACATGGCTGCTAGGAAGAGAAGCCATGCGGGAGGGTTGAAGATGTTTCTCCACGCGGTCTTCTCAACTTCAACAAGTGCTGTGTAGAGTCGTAGACTCTAGAGGCCCGTATTTGAAGGCCGCCATGCGCTCTGAGAGTGAGACACTTGCCATTGTGATTCCCGGTGCCGGAGGTGGTGCTGCGATGCTCGTTGCTATGGCACCATGCGGCAGCGTCTTTTCTCGAAGACTTACCTTGAGTGGAGCGCAGCGCAGTAGTGAAAGAGCCGATTCAAGCTCGTCAAACCAGGTGAGGTGTCTCAATTTGAGCCCTCGCGTGTCGCTTTTTGGGAGGCCCATTAGCCTGGTTGACTGGACCAGCGCGTAGAAGGTATTCACTGTAATCCGAACCCGTAGGGTCACTCCCAATGTGGACATCGACGAGCTTCTCCGGTGTTCTGGGCGAATCCAGGGAGCCTGGAGTGAATGGTTGCTATGGTTGTTGCTATGGTCGAGGAGTTTCTTCGGTGAATGTGCTCAAGCTCCGGTGTTGTGTTGAGTGTGGGTATAAAATCCCCCTCAATCCCCCCTCCAAATGCTTTTCCTCTTTTCTTTCTTTCCTCTTCACACCTTTTGGTTGTTTCGATTGCTAGTACCGTGCTTTGCCCACGCTGCGTTTTCATCGTTCCCATCTGGTGTATTGCTTTCTGGCTTCTGCCTTTTTGCTTCCCTGCTTCTGCTTCTCTCCTCCTTCACCCATTTCTCTCTCTCGCTCCCTTTCCCATTTCTTCTCTCTCTCTCTCTCTCCCTCCTAAGTCGCAATGTTCCGACCAAGCGCTTTGGTGAATCTTGTTGGTCGGGTGTTCTCGACTGCACCCAGAGCACCCAGACCGTCTCCTCTCAACCCTATTCCTGTCGGACCGATTCGTCTCATCCGTCAAACCCCTCGCATTCCTCCTCCTTCTCTGGTTTGGATACCTGTCGTTGCGTGTTTGATAGAATTGACTGACTCCCCTCCACAGAGTGATAGCCAACTCAACAAGTCTCCTGTCAAGATGCCAAAACCGTCGACTCCCGTTCTGGACGGCACAGACTTCTGGCCCAATGAAAGTGTGAAAGGTCCACAACGGCGGAACCCTGCACGCTCTGTTGGATTTACTCAAATCCGGTCTGCACGTTCGGGCAAGAACACGCAGCTGAAGTCAATCTTGAAGCCCGAAGGACGGATAATTGTGGCTCCCAAAATCAAGCTCAGGCCTTGGGTTAAGCGCAAGGGCGTCCGGTTTGATCAAGAGATCGAAATCATCACCATCGATAGATGGATTGACCCATTGGAACACTTGCACTCCGCTAATTGGGATTTAGAAACCTTGCATCGTCACCGAAAGGCGCAAGAGATCGCACAGAACGCTAAACTCGAGAAGGCCGAAGCCGAAAAGGCCCGACCTCTCCGCTCGGCCATGGCCAAGGGTAAAAGCACTATGAGAAAGTGTTACGATGCTTTCTTCAAAGTGAAGCCGACCAAGCGCGTTCAGTTTGACGAGTATTGCACCGTGACGGAGTTCGAGCGCCACATCGATCCCGAGAAGGACGTCCATCCCGAGAGCGAGTTCGGCAAGGGTAAATACCTGACGGCTTGGAAAGTGAAGCACAATCCCGAGTACGATTTCGAGATGATCGGCGGTCGACGAGTGATCTCGAGAAAGGATAGCCATTACACGACATGGTGGAGTACTGCTCCCTGGGGCCAGATGTATCGCCACATGGAACCCTGCCGCCAAGGGACAATGTGCTCCTGGAATGAAATCGCCGACCTGCAAAACCAAAATCCCGACTGGTATCCCGCGGATGCAGTGGCAGTATGGCTAGGCATTCGGAAAAGGCTCAGGATCAAATATGGTCCATTCTGGGCCTGACTGCCCAGTCAATTGGTGACCCCTCCCCACCCGCGTTTCGTTGTCCACTGACATATCCCTCCCTTCCTTCAAAACTTCTATATGGCCTGCAAGGCCACACTGTCTACGCTGATGATTTATAGATCGGGCTGGCGTATCAACGCCGCAGCCAACGTTTTCTTTTCTTGCGTGATTCTCAGCCACCGGGCTTGTTGGAGACATAGGAGGGCGATGGGGGTAAGTCTTCGTGCTTGGTTTAATCAAGGATAGAACAACGCTGACGTTCAGTAGTTGGTTGGTGGGAGCATCGCCTTCACTTCACTTTCCTTCTTCTAGGTTGATCGATAGCCACCGGGCGTGTTGGAGACACCGGAGGGCGATGGGGGTAAGTTGCCCTGATTTGAACCCCGTAGGCGAGCATCGCTAACCATGGCAGTTGGTTGGTGGGAACATCGCCTCGACACGTTCTGGTGACTGCCGCCGGGCTTGTTGAAAGGACCAAAATGACATGGTAAGTTCCCACCGAGGATGTTCAATTGATGATTGAAGCTGATGGTCTAGTAGCGTCTTGGTGGGAAGGTTTGGAGGATGTTGTTTCGAGGGCTGAGGTTGGAACTTGGAAGTCGGCGGTCTTGGCTTGACTTGGCGGTGGTTGTGGAGTGTGGACGGGCCGGGACGGAACTACAAATAACGCTTATATAGACTCCTGTGCCGAGATTCGTTTGTTTACTGCTGTCTGCACCAAACTCGGTCTTTTGAAGACAGACAAACTCATCTACGACCTCTGATACTGCATCAAAGGGGCACTTGCTTCCAATTGATTATCCCATGCCCGCCATATAGGTGAATTAGCGCCAAGCTGGCTGAAGACAACAGAGCAGAATCGAATCAGTCTTTGTCAAGTAATCAGGACGCCCAACGTACATGTAGGTAGAGAAAGGTATAGGAGAAGACGCCTGGCCATGGTCCATAAGCTATAGGTAATAACAATGTCACTGGAAAATGAGCAAAAGAAGAACAAGAGAAGAAAGTCAACGCCCAAAAATGCCAACCAACGTGACGTGTGAATGCCGATATGCGGTCAACAGACAAACAATAAGCGCAGTACCGGGTTCGGTACTAAGTCATTGTGTACATGGCAGGTATAAAAATAGGCATGATATAGGTAGGTACGCGAAACAGAGCCCAGGGCAAAGAAACCGGAAGTGGTGTAATGAAATGAAGCAGGTATAATGCTGTCCACAGGACAAGAGATTGAGGGAAAGCCAAGACAAACCCGGGCAGAGGAGGTCTATGGATAGAACGAGATAAGAGGGGAATCGTCGTGGCTTGAAAGACAGCAAGCAGAGAAAGGCATCAAGAGGGGTATGCGATGCCATCCAGATCAGATCAAAATCAACTGATTCATGAAAGCGGTAGTAAGTGGGGGTGAAAAGTAGAGGATGCGTAAGGAAGAGTTGGATGTCCACTCGACATCATGGCCCTATTCGGACATGTAGCGCCAGATCTGCTAGTTCGAGGCAGTTGGGGAAAGAAACTCGGCTCGGCGGGCTAAAGGGCGCAAATTAATGATATAGTAACCAAGCCGGACTATAGATAGGTCGACTAATGATGTCTTATAATGATAATGTTTCAAGGCGGCGTGCTAGTTTGGCGGACTTCAGGATGCGCGCGGGAGCGCATGTACATCTCGTCCGATCCCGATCCTCGTGTCATAAACCCTGCTTGGGGTTGCGGTTGATGTTGCTGCTGGGCTACAATTTCCCTGGCATAGAACTCCACCAGCATGGTTCCGTATGCTTCAAGTTCCTCGACCGGAATTGAGAGGCGGAAGTCGTTGAGGAGGAGAAACTGGAGTTCGAGGTGGTTTAGCTCAGCTAGAGGGAGACCTCCGACCTTATTGCGAGTTAGCCAAAGAACAAGAATGGGGTCGTGGAAAAGGCACCTTTGCGTATCGAGAGTTGGTATAGAATACATCAGAGAAGAATTTACTAGCGCAGGTTACGCCCGCAATGACTAGCCGATGAATGTTGAAGCTATCCACGACAAAAAAGTGAGAGAGATGGTCATCTCCTTGCGGATTCATGGCTGGAGAGATAGGTGATGACGACGCCGGGTCTTGAGCTGATATACCAGCGGACGGCGGCGGGGTTACCATGGGTGAAGTATGAGCCCGCTGCGCGGCGGATGATTCAGAAGATCTGGGTCTGATTGTGCCGTCAGACTGCAGGGCGTCTGTACGACTGTAGCGACCGCGTAGACGGTCTAATTGACCTTTATTGACCATCTCGGTCATGCGGTCGAAATACACTAGTAAACTGAGAAAAACTTCATAGGTCGTAGGACAGTACTTGTGGATCCTGGTCAAATAGCTCAGTATACTTATGCTCGGGACGTTTTTGCCATGGAATGCAAGCACGCTGTGCGCTTGTTGGGTCAGGTTACTTGACCCATCGACAGGGGGCATTTGTCGATGAACCTGCTCATGATGTGAATCGTTGGTGCTAGTGATCTTGGTTAGGAGGCCTGCGACCATTTCGATGATGTCCGTGACCGGCATGGAACTGATTTCGAACTGGCGCTCTTGAGCCCAAGTTCCGGGTGCCCGGCTCCTCTGTGGCTGAGCTAGAAACTCTTCGCTAGCGAAGCTCTGAATGTGAGACAGGTCACGGATCTTGATGCGGCTGGGAGAACTAGCTTCTGAGCCTCCCAGTGACCGAAGAGACTGTAAGGTCGGTCTCAGCCGCGGAGACGCTGGGGAAGAATGACTCGCCGTATGCCGGCCTGCAGAGCCAGTGCCCGGTTGCCCGCCATAACCAGTATGCACGCCAGATGGCGGGTTCATTGATCCAGACTGCTGTTGTACAGGTATAGGGGTCGGCCCGGGCGTGACTGTTGAAGATTCCGAGGATTGCGAACTGGTATGAGATGATTCCCTGATGTAGGCCGGAACATCTTGGGATGAAAATCGGGCTGAACCTGCGGCAGATGCCGATGGCGGGGCTGGCAAGGTGGGGGTGTTATTGGACGAGGTAGATATAGAGCCGGTGTCAAGATTCGATGACGGCTGAGCGGGTTGACGTGAAGAAGGTCGATAGACAGGTTCCGAAGGGACGGCAGTTCCCAGCATGGTGTAGGTGCTGTCACTATGGTTGGATTGCGAATAGTTAAGAACGACCGATTCCATGCCCAGGCTGTTGCGATGAAGACGACGGGATAGCGTTAATCAATAATAATATATTTGAGCCACAGCGCTCTAAGCCAAGGTCAGCGACAGTACTGCATCGACAGATGCAATGAGGGGGTGTTGGAGGCTTCAGGTAGGTACATGGGGTTGAGAAAGAGGCGCCGGGGGGTAAAGCAAGCAATGGCATGAGATAAGAGACGCGGGGTTGGATACAATTAATCAATTATTACCAGCGGAAACGGAAGAGCCCTCGGTGAAAGCGATCGCGATGGGCCAGAGTACTTGGGGGTGCACTGTGCCATTTAGTGCGCAGCGCACTCCGACCCGGCAGACAGAGTTGAAGTGGAAGGGATTCACGAGCGAGAGGCAGCAATGGAGCAATTCATTGCAGTGGAGAAGCTGATAGATCGGAAGGAGGAAAAATGTATAGTACAGAGCAAGAACCTCCAAGGGAAGCAAGGTAGGGGACGGGGAGAAAAGGAGAGGGAGGGAAGCTAACTCGGTGGCGGAGGAGAGGCCTCGATAGCCAGGAAGTGATGATGGCGATGAAGATGACGGCAAGGCTGGTTGACGGACGGGCCTGGGTCCACCGGCAGTCGGCGACAGTCAGCAGAATACTACCGACACAACAACAACAACAAACACTCTGATATCAAATCCTGCCCAACTGTTCGACGATCAATCGCCTAGATTTATACAGGACTCCGCCGAATCACCGTAGAATAACGGCATGGTAAGGATCGGCTGCCTATGCGTATCAAGGAGAATATACCTCAGATGCATCATCGCTGCAGTCTTGGTACGGTGAGTACGCACTTGGCATGTCTTTTATTTGCGTACTTGCTCTTTCCAGGTGCTAGTTCTGTTTCCTTTTTTCTAGCAAACGCCCCTGATACCTTGAGCCTCCATATCACTGGTGGCCGCGATTCCACCTGAATGTTAGCTTCCGAATTCAAAGGACAGGTATGAAATCCAAGATCCAGGACGGGAGACAGCAGGATTCCTGCCGGACATACAGGGACTGGAACGGGCGAATGGCGGCTCATTGGAAGGGCACCTGGTGGTGATGATCGGATGATTGGTGGTCGCGGAAGAGTAGTCGTGATGCCGAAACCCACCCTCACTGACGGCCCTCACCCCGCCCCAGCAGTCTATATACGGCCCCGGACGACTTCCGGACCCTGTCGTTTGAACCTCAACCGGATTATTTATCTCTCTACTGCTGATATTGCATGCGAGTTACCGACTGTCTTTCTGATCACGATTGCCCTCTGCCATGCAGCGAAAAAGCAATGCGGATCTCGCTAGTCTTACTGGTACAACAAGCCGCTTGCATGACCTCTCATTTAGCGATATGACGCAGATCTGTTCAATGTACGTACAGCTGAGAGATCGCTGCGGGTGCATGAGCCAGGTCCTTTGATACGTCGCGGTAAAGCGAGATTCGAGAGCTTGAATCGCAAGCGAAACACCGAAAAGTAGGAGTCATTCACTTGATAACTAGCATGCAAATATAGTCATTGCCATTTGCGGATGGCTTTAATTGGTGGTACCGGGCGCGGTGTAGCCGTTGTCCGGCAGGTACAGGTGTCGTTGCGCTCCATCCTTCGTCAAGACTACCATCCTGATAACGCCGCCTGAGCTGCCGTCCCATTTAATCGCCTCCCGCAGTGCCGATCTGACAAAGTTGACGCCCTCCTCCTCAGTCATGTTCTCCTTCCAGTTCGCATCACAGTAACCGTAGATGTAAGTCGATCCAGACCCGCCGATTGAGTATGCCTGCTTGTGCAGCGATCCACCCAGAGGTATCGAGTACACCTGGCCGCCGTGTCGAGGATCATAGCCCGCGATGATAATTCCGGCACTGCAATGGCAAGTCAATCAATGAGTTCATTTCGAGATGGTACATAGATGGCCTACCTTAGCATGTCCTTGTTTTCGTAGCATAGCTCCTGGAACAGCGCGGCTGCAACCTGGGTGCTCGGGGGCTCGTTGTTGACGATAGAGTACATGTTGAGGTGGTAGGAGACAATGTCTGCCACAGCCTGTGTATCGGCAGCGGAGCCAGATCGACAGCACCAAATGGTATCATGGACTTGCGTCAGTTTATCCGTAACTCGGTTGGCGATGTAAGCTCCGGTTGTTGTTCGGCTGTCCGCGCCCAGAATAACGCCGTCTTTGAAGTTGATCGCCATGCTGGAGGATCGTATGTTAGTTGAATGGATCTTGATACCGCATCGAAGTCGCTTACATTGATGTTCCTAGGCTGGAAGAAGTAGTGTTAGATCAGGTCATCAAGCGCGAATCTGGATCCATGAGACTTACTTGACCTCCCCTTTCTTCAAGTGATTCATATCAATGTGAATTCCATCTAAGCAGCATATTAGTGCTACCGTAGGATATATTAGAGCAGTATGGAGTAGCTTCTAACCTTCTCCGAGCATCCCCGTCATACCGTGACTGGCGACCATGGTGTTGGCGGATGATAAGACGTTTCGTGTGAAGATTGGCCGAGGATCAAAATTTGGCAGCTGCGTGAGTATATCTTCTGTGAGCAGAATTAGAGGTGATTGTAGGGGTGTGTGATGAAAGTTGAATTGAGAGGTGATGAGAGCAGCTTCAGAGCTCAGGCAGGCGAGCCTTACGTGGGCAAGCAAGCTGGAGCTGCTTCCGCCAGGCGGTGTAGGCTGTATGCCCTCCCATTGGTCAAGCTTCCCGCCGTCTTCTCCCCGCAACATGGCCCGAAGCCTCCTGAATGTACATCATTTCATGCGACCAGCAGGCTTTCAACTTTTTATTCCTCCCCCATCTGTTACAGTCGTGGTGGCTGGACTTGCTATCAGGCTGATATAAGGTGCCGATCTTCTCGCACCTCACACGTTTGGAGCACTCTAAGTCTGCAATTACTGTCACTCTTTCGTTCCCCGTGCGACACTCATCATGTCGGAATCTCCGCCGCCCCCACCGTCATGGAGTATAGCCAGTATGACCAACAACGCCGTTCAGTGGATGCGCCTTCCGATGCTGGCATCGTCTGGGCTAGCTGTCGTTGCCAGTGGTCTCTTGTACTTCAAGCAAAAGTTTGTCCCACCTAAACTGCAATTCTGGTGCAACTGGTTCATGAAATTGACAACGTGTGCAGTGAACTGATATATCCCCGAAACATCCCCACGGACGCACGCACAAATGTTCCTAAGCCTCGCCAGTTTGGTATTGAGGACTATGAGGAGCTTCAGCTTCGCACGCCTGATGGCGAGTCTTTGCATGCCTACTTCATCCGTGCTCCTCCCAAACGAGTAGACCAGAACCTTACAGTCTTGATGTTCCACGGAAATGCGGGCAATGTGGGCCATCGGATACCGATTGCGAAAATTATGCAAGAGTACCTGGGCTGTCATGTTATGATGTTGGAATATCGTGGTTACGGGCTATCCACCGGTGTGCCGGATGAGAATGGGCTAAAGATCGACGCCCAGACAGCGCTTGACCACCTGCGACAACGGGGAGAGACGGCGAACACGCGGATTGTCGTATATGGACAGAGTCTCGGGGGTGCCGTGGCCATCAACCTTGTGGCTAACAACGAAGACAAGGGTGGTATCTCCGGGTTGATTCTCGAGAACACCTTTTTAAGCATCCGAAAATTAATACCAAGGTACGTCTCATGGGGTTTAATCAGTCTCGTGTTTTTACTAACAAGATCCAGCGTCTTTCCTCCCGCGCGATATCTTGCTCGTTTCTGTCATCAGACGTGGACAAGCGAGGATGTTCTGCCGAAGATTACCAAAACTCCTATACTCTTCCTCAGCGGCCTGCAAGACGAGATTGTACCGTACGTCTTCATCAAGTCTCTATGCATAACATCAATAACTAACTTGTGGCAGGCCATCAAACATGACGCAACTTTTTGCCATCTGTAACTCGAAGCGCAAAGTATGGCGGACCCTGCCTAACGGTGCACATAACGACAGTGTCGCCGAGCCAGACTACTTCGAGCATATTGAGACCTTTGTCACGGAAGAGATACTCAAACACAACTAATGACCTTTCTGTCCATCTCACGACTCACGAAAGCGCTACATGACCGCGCCAACTGGGACCCGGAACAGCACGCGATAATGCCTGAATCCCCCTGTTTCATTCGACGGCAAGGCATCAGCGGCTTAGCGACTCATACCCCATCTTTGTTTTATCTTTCTTGTACTTTACCGTGGCCTACTTCCAGACACGATCTTTTGGACGTGAAGATCCACTGGAGGTAGTGCTGGGCGTTTTTCAGATTGCTTCACCGTCCCTATTACGCATACATTCTTTGAGAGGATTTCACCTCTTCGGCGAGCACCATACACCATAATAATAGCTGTAATGCGGATGCGAAACGGGGAGTTGATGGGCCAGGCTTCGGTTCTACGTTCTAGATTGGCGTCTGGGTTTGGATTTCGATTGAGTATATTATGGAGGCGCCTTTTCTATATCCAGTTAATACAATGTACCAGGCTTGTCACTATGCAAGCCAAGTTTTTCACCGTTCTTCTGCCCTACCTACCAAGATTGTTAGACCAAAAAAAACGTCAAATGTTATACAAGAATGCTAAAGTACACGTAACGCATGATATCTATCTAACCTACAACTTCTCCGCCTCGGCCATCAACTCTTCAATCTTAAAGTTCTGCACATCACCCTGGGTGAACATGCGCAGCAGCTCGCCCTTCCGCCCACTCGCCTGGCCACCGAAATCATAGAAACGCTGCACGCAGCTAACCAGCCACGTAGCCTCGGTTGTCGACACCCCAGAATCAGGCATAACCTGACCGTGCATAAGAACCAACCCTTTCTCATCCGCAAGGTCCAGATGGTGCGTGATGGTCGTATGCGGCTGCGCATAAGCACCATGCAGCTTGTACGCCGCCAGCGGGGTAAAGATCACGGTCGAAGTATGCGAGTTAACGGCCGAGGGAGCCGACGCAGGCGGGTGGAAAGCCCATTGTAGGAAATGGATATCCGCACCGCCCTGCTCCTCGGCCGCGGGGGCGCTAGGCTCCGCACCTTGCGACTCGGAAGCGGAGCGGGGAAGCGGGAGAATAAACTGCGGGTTCTGGCGCGCAGCGGAGACAATGCGCTGGTATGTTTCCACCGGAATCACAGCGCATATGGAAGTCGGGTTCGAGGCGTGGCGGAGACGCCAGATAGCTTCGATTTCCTTCGGGGGGAGGGCGCGGACTTTCTCGACGTCTAGGAAGGAACTGAGGGGTTTGATGCCGGTTGAGGAGGCGGATTTGGCGGCTGCGGCGACTTGTGATTGTGCGGAGGATTGGGGAGTTGGAGGCGGAGGGGGTGTGTGTGGCTTTGCGGAGGGCTTTGGGGGTTCCGGGGTGAGGATTGTTGATGCTTCGCGGCGCAGCTTGTCAATCTTTTCTTGGTGCGCTTGTTTTAGGGATTCGACGGACTCGAAGCCCTCCCTGTGATTTTGTTGTCAGAACTTGTATGAATGGGCGGTCAAAGCGCTCTGTTAACTCACTGCTGGGCCTTTTGGTTGAGCTTCGATCGGTATCTATCGAGGACCTGGTTGGGATCGCGGTGGGTTGCGAGGAAGCGAACATCGTGGACTTGAGCCCATCGGCGTTGTTGAGAGCGGATAAATGGGGTGCGGTTCCGCGAGAGGGATTGGAAGGCGAAGGACCGGACAGACGCCATCTTGCTGGTAGCCGAGCGGGTTTGGCGATGCGGATTGAGAACTTGAGGCTCGGGAGTCGGTTCGAGGCCGAAAAATGGCGGCCGCAGGGATCGGCATCGGGGCGTTATGTAATCTTCTCCCCGCATTGAGTTGGAGTTGACTTCGGAGTCCGGGCCCCAGCATTTCAAGGCAGCAGCTAAGTGGGCTAGTAAACAGGTAGGAGCAGAAGCTTTGGACGTTGCTATATAGACATATATTATAAAGGACCTATCATGCGCCCAGTGCAACTTTCAATCGATTGCGTTGTAATTTATAGATCCTGACATGAGCACATTAGAATAGTGACTAAGCATGGTTGATTCAGTTTATGCATCCACGTGGGCTACACCATTTCCAAACAAAGGCTACTCTGTACCCCGTAATTTGCTCAGGCTCAGACCACTTTGCCCATGCAAAGGCCATGAACTGTGGCTTTTTGGTCAATATCACCTCTCAGTCTCTCATTGAATACTAACCATCTCGGCACTCTCTTTAGTCTTGATGTTTTGATGCTTTCCTGCTCTCTCCGCTAGCACTCGGCGACTCGAATATCGCCGCAGGGCATGCTTCTCTCGCCCCATTTGACCAGGGAACCGTGACTCTTCTCCTAATGATGGCCAACCGCCAAATCACAAGGCGCATTCTAATCAGCGCTTCTCTCTTAATCTTCTTCCTTTTTATTTTGTTCATCCAGCCTCACGGACCTCCCAGTCCTGCAGTCCGAGCTCCCGGTCATCTCGAGAAATCGACGCCCATCAAAGATGATTTAACGAAGGGAGACATCGTGATGCCTCGCCTAGGCAATGAGACGGCAAAGTATGAAGTCCAGGCTTAGACTCAGACCGTGCGTTAATCATCCACAAGAGCCGAATTAGGTCGCGCAACATGGAAGTACTTCCACACCATGCTCGCTCGATATCCCGAAGACCCCACTGAAGAGCAACAAGAGACGCTCCGTTCATACATTTACCTTTTTGCGCGACTCTACCCATGGTATAGTTTGCCACTGTTCGCTCATTCGGCGCCCGGATGCTGACAAGCAAACTAGCGGTGAATGCGCGTCTCACTTTCAAGGACACCTGAAGCAGTACCCTCCGCAGGTATCTTCGCGTAATGCGGCGGCGGGATGGGGATGCTTCATACACAACGAGGTCAACGCTATGCTCGAGAAGCCAGCGTTCGACTGCAATAAGATCGGCGACTTTTATGACTGCGGCTGTGGAGATGAGGCAGGTGGAGACGGGAGCAGTGGTTCTGCCAGCGAGCACAAGCCAGCTCCCGGCGAAAACAGCGCTGAGGATGGCAGTATCTCGCCTGTAGAGATATCTCGGGAGCCGTGAGTGCAACCTCTTGCATCACTCTACCAACCTTGACTAAAAGTGAATCTTCATCTAGCATCACGCGCGGTGGGTAGACCAACGTGACACGAACTGAGTTGTCCGTGCGTACTTCTAGATACCCAGATATCAGTGCATATAACCAACGCTGGCGTTGGATGTACAATAATCTCTGTTCGAATCGTTGAGCTATAACGAGCAATCAGAACTCCTATATATGAGCACTCGTTTACCGAGTACGCGAAGGGTCTCGTACAAGTCCGGATACGGGAAAGACTGGAAGGTTGAAGCTTCATAATATGAGCCGTAAACATGTGGAGGCCCTCTACCAAAAGCGACACCAATAGGCATAGCTGTGCGCGTGACTGTTCGCTTGTAAACGTTGCTGCCTCTGTGACTCGCGCAGGTGACCCGAAATTGATGGTGTGTTGACTTTTTCGACTTGGCTCTTTCGCCGTTGTGATCGGCTTTGTATGCGCAAGTGCAAATATACCGCTTGACCCAGGCCTGACGCGCAGCCAGTATGGTGCTACTGTATCGTTCAGTAGAGATTCGGTTGAGCAAGGTTCTCCGCGAAAGGATAAATTCGATCGCAGGTCTATCTGAGCTCAGCGAACGACCCAATGCAGGACATGGATCGCGAGCAGCGAATGGATCGCGAAACCTTGTCTCACCTCGAATGCTTGCCCGGGTCCCGGAGTATTCCGTATACTTTTGTATATGCTTTGCTGCAAGACATTTATGCTAGCGGCACGAACTGCCCTCCATGAGCGCCGAACTAAGAGCCAAATTGAGGGGCGATCCGCAAACAAGCGCCCATTATCTATCCTTGGCTGTGCAGTGTGCGCCAGAGCGAGTCTCCTGACAGGCTCACGCTACTTCAACCACTGTTGTTGGCGAAGAGCATGCCTACCCTCCTAAAGGTGGAATCTGTCGATCGTTGCTCAGACTGCTGAGCGACCCTGGCTCTTCCTGGTTGCAAGAATGATTCGGTTCAAGTCTTGTGCTCAGGCCAATGGTTGCTGTTGTTGGTGCCATAGTCGTAATTTGGCGTCTTATCTACTCGGGGAACCGCGCCTCGAGTGAGATTGCCTTTTTGAGTTTCCAAGAGGTGAGACATAAGGCGGCAGCGTTTCAGCATCTTGCAAAAAGAGACGATAGTTGGAAGTTGGAAGTTGAGACTTCTGTCAAGCATCAAGATATGTCAACGAGATCTACGTCCGCGATGGAGACCCGGGGTTAGCGCCTGGTTTCCGAGGCAGAGACTGCGGATCCTGTTCGTCCCAGATAGGACTAGCTCGGTTTACCCACTGTTTCCACTTTGATTTCGTCTTCATTTTTTTGAACGCGCCAGAAAAGAATCCAGCAAGGAAAGCGCAAATCGAAGAACGCTCTTGAAGGACAGGCGCGCTCTTTTTTTTTGGATTGCTTGGGCTGCTGCGCCGACTTATCGAGTCGCCTCATTCGTTCTCATTTCCTCTGTTGCCTACTAGGTTGGCTTCTGTTTCTCTGTCAACAAAGACAATTCGACCGACCTTTCGACCTTCTTCGTCCTATCGTTTGCGCGGAGAGTCTCGGTCTTAATTGAGGAGTCGCACTTTCATCTGATATCTCTATCATCTGTGCCAGGAAGGTTGTTCTTGCATCTGCGCTGTTAAGCGGGTTATAACATCGCGGGGCCTTGTCAACATGGTGTCGTTTTCGTGCGAGGTGAGTCGATTGTGCATTTTGGCGTCGAAACACGAGTCGCCGGGTTAGAGACTATATTATATCAAGTGCTAACCGAGCTTTTGCTTCTAGGCGTGCGGTGACATCCTCACCAAGAAGAAGCTTGATCCCCATCGCAACCAATGCCGCGGCGCAAGCTTTACTTGCATTGATTGTATGGTCCACTTTCAAGGAACATCTTACAGAGCTCATACGGTACGGATAACACTGTTATGATTTGCTCTCATTGTTGGTGTTTGTATCAGACTGGTTGGGTGGCCTGATTCGTATTCGCAGCGCCGGTCCGCATGTGGCGCTTGACCAGGCATTGGCCTGTCGACAAGCGGCGCCAACACAGCAGTGCATGTTTGTGACTCAGGATTCAATGCTAACGGTCTTCTAGTCATGTATGAGCGAGGCCCAGAAATACCAGGGCGCACTCTATAAGGAGAAGCCAGCCAAAAACGGCCGCAAAGGCAACAACAACAACAACAACAACAACAACAACAATAATAATAACCAGAACGGCAACAAGAACAATAACAACTCGAAGACGAATAACGGTCACCGTGCTCCCTACGTCGAAGACGCCCCCGATTCTCAACTCAACCTTGCCCCCGCTGCTCCCACTCCTCCTACTCCGAACCAAAACAAGTCGGCCCCGGCTCAAGAAGGCGGCAAAGTCAATGTATTCGACTTTTTAGTTGACGAAAAGACACCGAATGCGTCCAAGGTCTCTATCGCCGAACCCAAAGAACAAATGAAGATGAAGGATCACGCGCCTTCGGTTTTCAAGGCGTCTCAGACGTCGGCGCGTGTTAAAGACAATGACGGAAACAAAGAATACGAGGAGAATGGGTTCTCTTACGGCTCCGGGCCCATTCAGCCACCAATGTATCCGAACAAGGATGCTGCTGCGTCAATGGAGTTCATGACTCCTGCCCCGAAGAAAAAGAAGGAACGTCGTGGAGAGAGGAAGCAGTCACCCCCCACTCTGGCGACGACTGCGAGCGAAAAGAAGCGAAAGCGCCGGATCGACGACCATGACATGGAGGACGCAGATACTCCTATGCTTGAGGCCCCATCTAGTGTGGTTAACCACCCAGGAACCCCGATGCTTCATTCCGGTCTAACAGGCGGACTCGACCGCATGCTTCGATCGCCTTCTCTAGATGGAGAGGATGACTTGGAAAACCCGCGCCGACGGTATCAGGATCCTTCGTCGCCTCTCAAGCGCACACGGCGCGACGAGAAAGAAGGCCACGGAGACGCAGGCTTGGGCATCTCAATTAAGAACCGCGCTGAACGACTAGTTTCTTCTATGTTTGCTGGATCCAGCGTTTCCGGAAGCAGTGTTGCTGGCAACGAAACCGAGCCTCGCAAAGCGAAAAAGACTCACAAGGTCCGCCATGACGATCAGGCCCCCTCTTCGGAGGCCCTGAAAACTAAGCGCAAGAGTAGTGCGCAGGCCGACGGAGACCGTCCGTCGCGCCGTGCTAAGAAGGTCGAGTATCCCGACTCTCCTCGAGACGACGGCCGCGAGATGATTGTCTACCGACAAGAAAACCACCCCGACGAGTCACAGCGCCAGATGGCTGCGCACTTCATGTCTCTGGTGACAAAGGGACCTGAAAGCACCCGAGGATTCTCTGTCAACAAAGTTCTTAAGCGATTCCACAAAGACTTCTCGGACGAACTGGATGGCGATCGCGGTCGAGGCCAAGGTCGTAGTCGCGCAGACCGCGAACAAAGAGTGGATGATGAAAAGGATCTGTGGCGAACACTGCGTCTAAAACAGAATGAGCGAGGGGAAATCGTGTTGTTTTTCTAAATGTCTATATAATCCTGATGTTTAACGGGTTGCATGGGTGGATGTCTAGTCGCCTACTATTTCCTCCAGTTGAGGACCGCATAGCGATGATATTTTATGGCGTTTATCTTACAAGCAGCTTATCTCACATGTTCAACATCTCGTATGCACAGGTCCACTATGAGTAATGGTGATGATGACTCGGGCGAGGCTTGTCTAGAGCGTATGAGTCACCACCAGCGGCACTGCAAGATGGGCCACGGCCAGGAGATGACTGTGAATACCAGGAATCCATTCAGTGCTTTGTTAGATAATGAAGAAAGCAGAATGTGACAATGAAGTACTGCAGGACTTGCAAGCAAACGGAGCCACCTTTGCCACAGTCTTATTAAGGCCCAGGAACTGCCCGCTTTCGACTTTCTTTGGTCCCTGGAGTTCCATTCTCTTCCCTCGCCTCAGGCTTTGCTTCCTCGCCTCAAAGGGACCTTTCAATCTCTCTCCCTTTCAACCTTCAATTCTTTGTATTCTACGTCTATAAGTTCGAGGTCGAGTCCCGTGCGTTTCAGCGTTCCATATTCGTGCATGAACCCAAGTGCACGTTCGAGTTTGCCGGTTCAGACTCCACTATCGCCAATGTCAAGCTCAGCTACAATGTCAAGCTCAACTACAACCACCACCGGGGACGGTAGCGCTCCCCGGGCTCCTAGGAATTTCAGACGTGGAAATCGAGGCCGTCGAGGAAATGCCAATCGACGACAACAACAGGAATCAACACAATCTTCCGAGGCGCAACGACCGCCGCAACCACAATCGCAACCGCAAAATCGGCCCGTAGCTCGGGCGCCAGCGCCGACGCCCTCCGTACCCCAGTCTCAGAACACACCGCAGTCAAGTGATTCGACGCCTTCGAATACGACGGGTCAGCGATCAAGGCGCGGTCCGAGGCGGCGGCGGGGTGGCCGAGGTGGCGGGAATACTTCGGCGGATGGAGAAGGACAGCGACAGAGTCCGGTGCGGGGTGGTGATAAACAAATCGGCTCGGGAGCGTCTAGGCGGACATTTGGAGGACGATTGACGAAGTCGCAGGAGACTTCGGAGGATGATAGACAACAGGCGGCGGAAGATACAGAAGACCCAGGATTGAGGGCTAATGCGCCGGCGTTTGTGCCTGGATCTGTTCCGCCGGTCAATGGCGAGACACCGTCCTCGAGCAATGCTGCTTCAGCAAAAGGCAAAGGGAAGGCGAAGGCTCCTCGACAACGCGCGCCGAAGGTTACTACGAAATCAGAGGCCGAGGATATCACTACCCGGATCCATGAAGATATCGCGCATAACCTCTACGAGTGTCCGATTTGTACGAGCGAAGTTGGCCGGAAAACGCGCGTTTGGTCGTGCGGGCTCTGTTGGACTGTGTTCCACTTGAGCTGTGTCAAGAAATGGTCGAAGAACGAGGGCGCCGCGGCGCAGGATCCGTCCCGGAACGTCGGTGAGAACGGGGAATCTAGCGGGCCTCGTGCTTGGAGGTGTCCCGGTTGTAACCTCGCCCAGGAAGTTTTTCCATCAAGCTATACTTGCTGGTGTGAGAAAGAGGTTGATCCGCGTTCCTATCCTGGCCTCCCGCCTCATTCTTGCGGGCAGACTTGCTCCCGAAAGCGTAAGGGCTGCCCACATCCCTGTGATTCGACATGCCACGCCGGCCCATGTAAGCCATGTACGGCGATGGGACCGACCCAAGATTGTTTCTGCGGTAGGAACTCGTCTACGAAGCGCTGTCAAGACACAGACTACGAAAACGGATGGAGCTGTGGCGAGATCTGCGGTGATCTGCTACCATGCGGTGAGCACACCTGCACTCGACCATGCCATGAAGGTCTCTGCGGGGCGTGTGAAGTCAAGATTGACGCGCGCTGTTACTGTGGTAAGGTAGAGACCGAAATGCTCTGCAGCTCCAAGGACGAAGAACTGGATAGTGAGTTGCTTCAAGAAGATGGCAATGTTGAGGAGTGGACTGGATGCTTCAGTTGCGGCGATGTGTGCAGTCGTTCTTTCGATTGCGGCGTCCACTCCTGCCAGAAAGGATGCCACCCTCAAGATGCCCAGGCAGCTCATTGTCCGAAATCACCGGACGTAGTGTCACATTGCCCTTGCGGAAAGACATTATTAGCCGATATTCCAGGATATAAACCTAGGTCATCGTGTGAAGACCCAATTTCTAACTGCTTGGAAGCCTGCGGCAAGACCCTGCCATGTGGACACCCTTGCGAAAAGATCTGCCATACTGGACCTTGCGGCGCTTGCATGCGGACGGTCTCCATAGATTGCCGCTGCGGACGCAACTCATTCAAGAGCGTCTGCCACCAAGGCTCGATCGAACCTCCTCAGTGCTTCCGGGTCTGCAAGGCAGGCTTGCACTGCGGGCGACATGCATGTGCCGAACGATGCTGTCCTGGCGAACAGAAAGCGATTGAACGCCAGGCTGCGCGGCGAAAGCTAAAGTCTCATCTCCGCCCTGTCGACGAGGACGTGGAGGCTGAGCATATTTGTACCCGGATCTGTGGCCGCACGCTGAAATGCGGGCGCCATACATGCCCGGAAATCTGTCACAAGGGCCCTTGCAATACCTGCAGGGAAGCCATCTTCGAGGAAGTACACTGCAACTGTGGTCGAACAGTTTTGTATCCGCCGTTGCCCTGCGGGACACAGCCCCCGGCTTGCTCGTTCTCTTGTGAACGTCCCAAACCGTGCGGCCATCCTCAGACGGCGCATAACTGTCATACAGATGATGAATCTTGCCCCAAGTGCCCCTTCTTGACAGAGAAAACTTGTCTCTGCGGTAAGCGAACTTTGAAGAATCAGCCCTGCTGGCTGGCAGATGTCCGCTGCGGACAGATTTGCGGCGAGCTGCTCAAGTGCGGCTCCCACTACTGTCAGAAGGACTGTCACCGGCCAGGCGACTGCGAAGACGCCTTACAGCCTTGCCAACAGGCATGTGGAAAGACGAAGACGATTTGTGGGCACCCTTGCACGGAACCGTGCCATGCTCCGTACCCCTGCGCGGAGAAGACACCCTGCGAGTCCACAATCACAGTAGCATGTGGCTGTGGACGCCTGCGTCAAGACCGACGATGCAACGCGGCGAAAGCCGTGACATCAAAGGGACAGCTGCAGCAACCGCAGCGCCTCTCCGCAGTCACCCCACTCTCATGCGACGACGAGTGCGCCCGTCTGGAGCGCAACCGTTCCCTCGCGGCTGCTCTGGGCGTCGACATCAACCCATCAACCACTCTCGCACAAAACGCCATCACCTCGACGAACCTCCCTTATTCTACCGAAACTCTGGACTTGTACGTCCAGCTCTCCTCGACGTCATCCCTCTCAACTCTCCAATCCCACGAATCAACACTCCATTCCCTCGCCACGAGCACAAACCCAAGCCAACGCTCCATCCGAACTCAACCCGCCAAATCCTCAATCCGAGCCTTTATCCATTCCCTCGCTACAGACTATGGCTTCGTCAGCGAAAGCTACGACCCAGAACCTCACCGCCATGTGTTTGTCCTCAAACCCACAACCTGGACACCACCCATCTTTGGCCTCGGCAACGGCGTCTCAGTCGGCATTGGCGGCATGAGCGTCTCCGAATGTGTCAAGCTCCGCGAACGCCAGCGAGCCAAGGAGCGCGAAGCCCAGCGTCTCGTAGCAGCAGAAGCCAAAGCACAGCGCGACGCATCCAAAGCCCAGGCCAGCTCCGAGGGCGGATGGGCGCAAATCGCTGCGTCTAAGCGGGGTAATGGAGTCACGGGGAGCGCGAGGAGCACGCCGCTTTCTCGCACACCCGTGGGCTCGGGGTCCTTCTACACAGCTCTTGCATTGAACGATGACGGGAGCGGCTTCAGGAAGGAGAAACTTGTCCTGCGATCGGGCGTTGGCGCGGGTAAAGCGGCTTCACGCCGTCCGTCTCCCCCGCGGCCCGTCGAGGTCGCGGATAGCTGGGAGGAGGAAGAGGATAAAGAGGAGAAGGAGGAAGAGGAGCGCCGTGCGAAGGAATCTGAGGCTGAGGCTTCTAGTAGCGCGGGGACGAGGACCCCTGAGGTTGTTGACGTGGATGCTACTGGGGGACCTTGAGGCACTCCTCTCGACACTGCACAAGTGAGGACCAGAGATTCCAGTCGGTCCCGCATGATGCCATGATCAGCTCATGATCCTTTTCTTTATTGGAATGTTTTTCGTTTTTGTTTTGTCTTTTTGTTTTTGTTTTACATGCATTATGCACTCATTTTGTGTTGTTCTAGCATAGCGAGTCTGAGTCCTACGGGCTGTACTGCATTTGCATACATCATGGGTGGCGCAACTGGTTTAAGAAGAAAAAAAGGAATTCACATAGTATAGAATATTAACCATCAAATACCATAATGGAAATTTATATTCCTCAAAATATTTTTCTTGACACACTTCTCAGTATCTTCCCTATCTTACTTAGCTGGATCGCTTTATATATTCTAGCCCTAACTATGACTTAACTCGGATCAACCGAGTACACCTTTGATCGAGAATTCCCTCGGTCGTGGGTCTTAAGTTGGGTTAGCACTAGCAATCAAATCTGAAATCACTGCTGAAATAAGATCGTTTGTACATACATTGGATTCACAAATTCAGTTTCCGGACACACGTCTAGTTTTGTTCTTAGGCAACTCTACAGTAGACTAGTCTAGCAAATGAATGATTCGTGCCATAGCAGTATTTGAACATGTCCATGTCTTCGTTAAGTATGTAATAATCACAATTCCTCCATACTACGAACCAGCCGCTCGATAACCCCTTCATCAACCGAGCCCGACTTAACCACATCCCCAACAGCGGTAACAAGACCCGCAAGTCGTCGGCGGCGAATCTTCTCCTCCAGCTCGGCACTCTTCTGCTTAGCCATCTCCAAAAGCGACACAGGGAGATTAGCCAGCCTTGCAACATTCAACCCGTAGCTACGATGCGCGACGCCTTCCCCAATCTCGTAGAGGAAGGTGATGTCTTCGTCCGTTCCGGACCCCGACTCGCTGAACCGCATGTGTACGTTGCGCAGCTCGTTATCTGCGAATGAATGGACCATGGCCGAAAGGTGCTGGTAGTGCGTGATGAAGAGGGTGAGGCTGCGGATAGACCGCACCGTGTAGTCGAGGACAGCCTGCGCGATTGCGACTCCGTCGTGGGTGGATGTGCCTCGGCCCAACTCGTCCAGGATGACTAGCGAGCGTGGGGTTGCCTGCTTCAGGATGTCCGCTGTTTCGGAGAGCTCGACCATGAATGTAGACTCGCCTGCGAGCATATTGTCGAATGCGCCCATTCGTGTGAACACGGCGTCTAGCATACCAAGTTTTGCAGACTGCGCCGGAACATAGGAGCCTATCTGTCCCATGATTGCGATCAACGCTACCTGGCGCACGTAGCTGGACTTTCCACCCATGTTAGGCCCGGTCACTAACAAAGCGCGCGTCTTGTCGCTGTCCAGGTCGATGTCGTTGGGAACATAGCTGTCTAGTAGCAGTTGCTCCACCATCGGATGGCGTCCCTGTTCGACATGAATGCACGTCTCTTCCGTATATTCAGGCTTCACGTAGCCTGGCTGACTGGCTATTGTGGCTAAGGATAGCAAACAGTCTAGCGTCGCCAGAGACTGCACACAATCTCGAAGCGTTTGGTAACTGGCCGCTATCTCGGCTTGGAGGGCCAAAAATGCCTTGTCGCACGCTGCGGCAAGCGCTTCTCTGTGTTGATCTCTCTGCCGGATCATCTTAATCACATCTGGGGTGTGAAATCGCGACAACTTCTTTGTGCCACTGATTTTCACCCATGATGCTGGCACTCGCTTGATAGCTGGTGAGTTGTTTTCGACTTCAATCAGATATTCAATGCCTGCAACCGTGGCGTAGGTGACAGTTCTCTTCCCCAGGGCCTCTCCAGCTACAGGTCGATGCTCCTCAAGCTCATGCTCAATGGCCCCAATCCCAAGCTTGTGCTCGCTAATCTCCTCCGTCTCTTCCTCCTCACGGAAGAATTCATACTTGTCATCGTTTCGAGCCGCGTGCATATTGATCTTGTCCAAAAATGACACGACGTCTTGCAGAATTGCAGGTAGAGACACAATAGCTTGGCTGATAGCAGGAGAAGAAAATCCAGTATCCGCTGGTGACTTGATATCCGCAAATTCCTGGGCTATCATCTGCATCATTTGCAATATAATCAACAGCTCCGGTCGGGAGCACTGCAGCCGTTAGAACATGCCAGAGGAATACTGACCGTGATACTTACCTTTCCGTAATATATCCGGATCAAGCCCTTCTCTAGATCATGCTTGATCCTTCCGAGCAAGGCTTTGATCCGCTCAACAATCACGACATTTTGCGAATCCTTCAGCTCCTCCACGGCATTGACCCGATCCTCAAGCTGGCGTCTATCCAGTAATGGCCGCCCGACCCATTTCCGAAGCATCCTCTGCCCGAACCGGGTCTGAGTGCGGTCCAACGTCCAGAATAGACTGCCCTTGGAGGAATAATCGGTCTGGTTTTGGTAGACTTCAAGGCTCGTAAGGGTGTTTCCATTGAGGAGCATATGGGAGCGTGAAGAGAAATGCTGAAAGTATTTTGTTAGCTGCAGGACATGTTCCAGCCCATACTCGGTCATGTGTTTGATCATGGCAGAAAGGCAAATGGTAACTTGATCCGGCAGGCCGAGCACTTTCTGGAGTAGATTGCTAGCAACCTCATCATCTATGGCGTCTGCAGATTTCATTTTTCCGGCGTAGAAGCTCGAGACTTGATTGTGTGATTCAGCAGCGGCGGTTTTCTCCTTAGGCGCTCTCTCAACTCGGACCTCATCGCCTAAGACATTTGTCTTGCTCCCGGAAAGATGCTGCACGAGCTTTTCTGTCGCTTTGGATAGCTCACCAACTATGAGCATTTCACATGGCGCAATATGGAGCAATCTCGTTTCTATCTCGCTCCGCATGAAGCCGTCATCGAACTCGTCGTAGACAATATCCCCAGTAGTCGGCTGCACGGCGACAATTCCCACATGCACTCTCTCGTCATTTCCCCAGCCTCGTGCATTCGTCTCTGTGATGCAGAGGATATAACCCGTAGATGAAGCACCCGACGTCCCAGCCGTAGACCCTTCGAGGCCCTCAATATCGTCAATATAGGTGCTTTTCGTGTAAACATTCGTCAATTTACGAACAAACGGTGCATTGCGGTTATCTCCGGCAGCTTTCAGCGCTGCAGTCTCCAGTTGCCTCACGACGCCCACCTTGTGTCCAGCAGTGACGAGGCGCTTAACATGCACATGAAGTCGTTGTACAGGTATGCTTGCCGACGCAAAGCGGTCGAGATGGGCTTCCGAAGGATCTAGACAGAAGTCAGCAACTCGCCACGGCGTCGAACACAGGAAACCCACGCTCATCATATCGGAACTTGCCAGGGATGCATACAATGCTAAGCTCCTTTGCAGCGACCCTTGCATCTTCACCGAAGAATCGAAATTTGTATCCGACTTCGACGAGTAGTATTGTGTCCATATGCTTCCTCTTGATTTCAATGACCTGCTTCTCCATCGGCGTGAGTTTACCTCCGCCTTTCTTCCCCGCAGCTCTCCGATTTGTTTGTACTGGTTGTGGTGTCTCCTCATCCTCTTCACCCTCCGCAGCTTCCTCCACTGGCGCAGTCTCGTTGACGCTATTCCGTCCGATTCCCAACAAGCAATCTGCCCCGCCGAGTTTTCGAACAAACTTCTGGTGTAGCTTCTCCCGTTGTTTCTGCCGTGCTTTCGCTTCCTCGTCGTCTAATTCGACCGTGCTATCTGCCCCCAGCTCAACAGCAGGGGAGCTAGCGAATTGCGAGAGTTCGGTTCGTTGGCTGTTTGAGGCCTGTGGCGCCTCCGCGCGAGCCACGGGCTTCGCCTTTGGGCTTTGTGGCCGTTCTGCAAGAGATCCATTCGACTTGGCGCGCTTCGGGGCAGGAGCCACTATGTCTTCCTCGAAGTCTGCAGCTTTATTGGGGTGAGCAGCGGGCGTACTGCTGGCTTCATTTTGAGGGGATTGCTGTGATGCGAGTGGCTTCTTCGTAAAAAAACTGGATATCGTAGGTTGTTTTCTCTTGAGGGTTGGAGACGACGATGCAGATGACTGTGACGATGGTAGGGGCATGTTGTCTTTCGCTAAAAAAAGGAATGAAAGGATTCGAGATCGTTCGGCAGAAGTAACAATCGCGTTTCGGTGAAGATATGCGGTCTATGCACGCTCCAAGGGCCGGATTATAACTGTCATTGTATTCCGGAGTAAAACAGGACAAGCTAGGTAGCTCAGGGTACGGAGACAACCGAGCTCGTATGGGGAACAAATTGGCTCTCAAGATTGACAATGATAGGAGCTTGACGCGTACGGGGCCGTGACGCGTTGACCTGCATCCGCGGGTGTTTAATTAGATTACCTAATCTGGCATAGACAGCCCTGAACCCTTGGATACCCCACATTTCGACAGAGCTACGGGTTGCAAACTTGCAATCTCTTGACGTTGTGAATATAACGGATATCATTCCTTTGCCCTATACTTCTACCTCTACCGAACAGATAACAGAGTATAAACCCGCTTTGGAACTGCCAGGTTGACAACCTGGCCAGGACCCATGCAGTATAACAGCAACAGAAACATATATAATGGGCCACGGCGTACTTATATGGTAGGAACGATAACTTCGATAACGCTCAAACAAGCACGGGTCCAAGATTAACCTTTGCTCGCAATACTGTACCTTGGCTTCTATGAATGCAACAAAACAACCATCAAGAGCGAGACGCGCCGAGCGAAAGGGGGAGCGGAGATCAAGAGCTCCCATCCATATAGAGGCGGTCGAAATCATCGTCTGCAACCTCGGAGATTGTCGCGTCCGGCGAACTAACACGGGCTGCGGAGGGAGCTTTTAACGCGTTCTCAGGTTCGGCTGCATATATTGGGTTTTCATCCGTGGCCAGCTTCGTGAGAGATCCGGCTAGAGGGTTGAACGAATAACCCGATGGGCTCTCTTGGCATTCGAATGGGCTGTATCCGACATAATGTGCATCTCCCCCGAAGAGAAACTGAGGGGACAGCCCTCTATCGGTCCGCTTCATCACGGGTGAATGCCAACCGACCAGGGGATCGATCCGACCAAAGGCATTGAGCATCGGCTCCATGTTCTCCTTGTCAGCGCTTGTGCGAGAGCCTTTCTCGAGTAGGTTTGAGGAATGAGTAGCATGGCGTGGTGAGTGAGGGTCGGCATTGATTGCAATGTCTCTTCGCAGGAAGAGTGGCTGCGAGGCAGCAGTCTCCCCTTGGACAAATCTATGCTGGTCCTCCGGTCTAGGTTCTCGGGGTACGGACATATCACGGAATATCGTGAACTTGCTGTGTTGTTTGAAGTCATGGTCACGGAGGGCTAACGCAAACTCCTCCAGGTTGTCCCCGACAGACATCTGACCCCCAAGGCGACCAAATGTTTGAACCGTAGCTCGTTCAGGGGTATATAGATGGGGTTGATCAACTTCGCCACCAAAGGAGTCGCCGTCTCGCCTGATATTCTTCTTTGCTCTCTTTCCATCCACTTCGCGTTGAGCGTTTGGGTCTAGCTGAGCAAGCACGCGCTTGGGACGAGTGGCCCGCTTCTTCGGTATCGGCGTCTCCCCCTTCAGAGGACTGCTGTCTTCAACGTTGCCTGAGATCACGCGCTGCTTCCGCAAGACACCAGTCGGTGAGAATACCAGTTCAGTCGGCTCCACTCCCATCGATGTCCTCTCCATCATCTTCAAGATGCTCTCGTCCTTCTTTTGATTGCGCTTTCGTTTCATCTGTTCGGTGGCGGAGTCAAAAATGTCCATTCCGGGCCACAGAACACCCTTGAGTCTTGAAATCTCATCCGCTCTGTCTTTGTCCACCTCGCTACCATTCGAATACGCAAGGCTATCATTGTCGTCCACGAAAGGATCGTAAATGAAGGGCCCGTTCAAGGATTTCGCTTCCTGACCTTCCTCTGACCGGAGAGGGTTCGGCCAGCACGGCGTGGCTTGTGTTAATGATGGAGATGAATCGTCCTCGTTTTCACGCTTCCAGTGGTCAGGTACACTTCCCACGGTCTGCTCATGTGGTGATGGCGTGGGTGCCTGCGGGTACCCTATTTGGAGACGAAAAGGTCAGCAAATCGCATGATGCGGGCCCACTATAACAGTACTTCCTTACCTGCATTGTTTCTCGAGCTCAAGAAAGGGTCCGAGAGGCGTGGATCAATGTAGTCCGGAAGGTTGTTGTGTGGGTTATCGGTTGGTAACGGCGTGATCTGATACCCGTTGTCCCTGTCCGTAGGCCCAACCGTATCTGGCACGGCATACTTCCCCTGTGATTTTCTCCTGCGTGAGTCCTTGGACGACATCCGATCCGACAAGAGCTTCGCCAGGTTGTTGGCCTTGTACCATTGATTGTAGTCCTCGAGTAAGGCCTCGGCTTGTGGCTCCTGGTGGCTGCGTACTTGAAGCTTGAAGTAGTGGGAGAGGTGAGCCTTGGAGGCAACGTGAGTTAGCAGATGCGAGACATCGCTGAACTTGGGATGCTTCGGGCAGATGTTGCACAGCAACGCTGTGGCATCCATCGTCGGCAGGATCGCCTCGAGGGCTCCTGGTTCAATGCACGCTGGCAGGCGAGCTGGGCAGAAGCTGGGGAAGCAACAAGTTGCAGGTCGTGGCTTTCATGAGAGGGCAACAAGGCACGCGACAGGAAACCAATATAGAAAGACTGATCCTGAGGATAGAGACACCGACTTCCTTAGAAGTGGAAAGTGAGGCAACTGAGGAAGGGCTATCAACTGGCCGGGGACTTGCCTGAGAGTGCCATTGCCGCCGTGGCGGGTAGGAAGGGAGACAACGTAGAGCAGAGTAGAGCTGGGAGTCAGAAGCAGGTGCAACCCTCGGCCTCGAGGAAGGCAGGTGCCAACATCGGGCCGGGGTCGGGGAGGCTCAGCGAGCGCCATATATCGATCAGTCATTAAAACACAAATGTACTAGAAGGAGGTAGTGTTAGGCCGGGGAAGCCAGGAACCAATGACTACTGCTGCTGCTCATCGTCCCAACTGCAGTACAGCTGGGATATGTCCAGTCTTGACAGTGTCTACCTACTCTTCTGCCTCTCACTCTAGTGGATCGTTGGGCAATCTGCTAGAAAGGAAGTTGGTATAGATAAGGTGCCAAAGGATCGTGACAAAAAAGGTAATGATATAGAGTGGTCTCGCTCTTGACACTGGCAAGTTTCTGGCTCCCGGCTTCGTGGTCACTACCAGGCCCTTTTTGCACTTAGTCGTTGAGTTCCAAGCTGCCAATACAATAAAAAAAAATACATATATAAAAAATTCGATGGGATGACCCGGGGTCGAATCGGGGACCTCTAGTAGATACCTGAGGAATGTTGTCTTCAGATTGTAGCCCAGTCCTGGTAAAAGATGTAGGAATTGAGATACAGAACAGACAGAAGTAGATGTTCATTAATAAGGTATTAAGTACTTCATGATTGTGCCACTGTGTCTTAACGGCCGATGTCCAGGCCATTGTAGAGGGGTGAAGCGGAAATAAGTCACAGTGCCTGAGATCCAATCTTCTCCCGCATTGTATCCCATAAGCCACAGAAAGAAAGAAATATGGGTTATTAGATTGCAGGAGGTGGGGGTTATAAAACGAGATCGGAAAGGAATCCCCTCTCGAGAACGATGTGTAGGATAAAACATCATGCTACGCAGACAAGACTTTGCTTGTGATTGCTTTCGGCATACAACTGAACGACATGGTCAGCATGACTGCCAGACTCATGACGGCTTTGGGCTACTCACTAGACGGGATCTACTTCCTCAACACCTTCGAACCCAAGAAGGCTTAAGCCGGCCACGGCAAAGTGCGTATGGAAGACATCGACGGCATTGTCGGGACGGTCGGCAAAACCACCAGCCTCTGGATCCTATGGAGGGTTAGCTAAGCACTCGTGCTGGATTGGGGTTACAAACCTGACAGTGTAGGATGTAGGCAACAAGTTTAGGACCATCAATCCAGTCGAGCTTGTCAATCATGGCCAAGCTCGCTCCAACCCACCAGCTATAACAAGCGTCTGCTAGTTTCTCCGGCCGCCCATTGAGCCCGCCGTGTTCGAGCTGTCGCTCGCTAAGCCAGCCACCTAAGCGGTCCTTGTCGACCAGATCTAATCGCCCGGCAATAGCAAGTGCTCCTACACAGGTAAAGACCTGACCGGCGTGCGACTCCGCACCGGGAGTGACTCCGTATCCTCCATCCAGATTTTCGCATTTCTGGACATATGAGACAGCCTTGGTAACATCAACCAAGTGCAAAAGCCCCAGGAGAGATAAGGCGTTGAGCGCTCCATAGAGAAACCTGGTATCCAACTCGCCCCACTCGTCACCCATGAAAGAGCCAGACTCCCTGTCCTGTAGCCCTGCGATGACTGAAAACACTTAGCCAGGCGCTCTTTACCCAGGTGCATAAGGGTCATATCGTACAGGATCCGACTTTCTGCTTGCCGCCCAACCCGCGCTTTTCCAGCTCATCAACAGCGTCCAAGGTCACCAGAATCTGCACAGCAGACACTGTGTACAGCAGATGTGCATCGTGGCCTGGTGCAGCACCGAAACCACCATTTTCTTGCTGGCATGAGAGGACAAAGTCCACAGCGTTGTCGCGCGGCAAGCCGTCCGGGCACCCAAGGAGATGCAAAGCCGTCAAGCCCCAGTAGACTCCATTAAGTCGCAGGTGCTCTGTGAGCCAGTATTCCAGCTCATCTTTCCGCTACCAAAACCTGTCAACCGTCTCCTCGCGAAGAGAAGTGGCACGGTAGGAAAAGGACGACGCACGCTATCCAGTTTTTTGATGTAGTCAATATGCTTCTCGGCGTATAGCTTCTGATCGGCAAGCGTCCCAGCGGCCCTGCCAGGGCCTGAAGCCAAAGACATTTAGGCGTAGAAGTATGAGGTTAGTAACTGACAAAAGACCAAGGTCCAGAATGGCAATATTCGCCGTTATAGGACAACTGCAGGAATTCCGGCCCAAGACCGAGTTGAAACAAGCGCCTAGCTGATTATTTCAGGTTAGCATGACATTGCTGGCGTTAAAAAGGACGCCGGTGCGCCACAGAATAATGTGGTACCTAGTAGCCTTGGGCTCGGCACGTGTCCAAAGTTTTTGCAGGGATGCTGACAGGGATTGTGTGTCGAGAGGCCCGAGCGCACGTGACTTAGCGCATATCACATAAGCAAGTGGATCATGTTTCAGATTTCGAGAATAACAGGCACAAGTTGCATAAAGCAACCTTGTGAGCAAGCCTGAATCTGCTCCCGTGAGGAGAATTTGATACTGAGCCATGACCCGACTGGCCTCCGCTTGTCTAAGTTCTCACTGATGGTTGATCTGCGCGACATGGGCCTAATTAAGCCAGCGATCATCGAGGTAGGCATACTCCGTAGTTGGACAGACACGAGATGATCGATCCAACCTCCCACGTGTTTCCAGATGTCGTACAGGCAAAGTACAAAGAGTACTAAAAAAAAGCAGTACGGAGAAGACCGATTTACTTCTCAAGTTCTTAGTATTCCGTACAGGGCCTACAGGATTTTGCGTCTCTAGGCATATTCATTTCGCTTACTCCCACTTAAGGCTCCGGCTTTATAGGCTCGGTCTATTTATGGTTCTCAGCTCCCAAAATGCCATCAACGCTTGACGATTCCGGAATCATGGAAGCAGCTAGATAGGCCGTACTAGAACCCTAAAGTACCCCAGTAGATTAAACCATGCTTGTCTTCTTGATTGAACAATCACCATGCAAACATTGCCGCCTGTTCTTGTAGATACGGCAATCCCAATCTAATAGACGCTCGGTATCTGGCAGTCCGGCCAATTGGTTTACTATACGGAGTATCCCCTGATGACTCGAAGATCCCCTCATGCCACTGTATAATATTTGACAATAATTGCTGATTATTACTTTTAATATCTGGGTTATCAATGATATTGTCGGTGTAGCCTGGTCCAATTTTTTTCTTTTCAACCCCACTGGCAGCCTGGCGCATCAAAAGGCCCCCGAACCTTGGTTGACGACATCAGACAATCGTAGGGACTTGGTCAGGCGACTGCAAGACTATGAGGACGACCATGGTTGTGACTGCGAGGATAAAGGAGATGCTGTAAATAAGCACATCAAGATGATGATTCAGCCCTAGGGTGGGTTAACGGTGATGATGCTCTGACCTCCTCAGCCTCGTCACTCCGCCAGGTACTCGTGTCGCCGCTGGCCGGTGATTTGTTGGTGCCTTTGGATGCCCCTCGGGCGCTCTTCGGTTAGCCAATCCGTGGTCTCCATCGGAGGTCTTAGCTGGCACTAAAGATATCATCCCGCCGAGGATGCGCTGCTCGAGCCACTCGTTATCCCGCCTTGGGTCTTACTCTTGAGTCTTGCCAAACTTTCGGTGTCCAAACTGTGGTTCACAAAAGGTACGGACCAGAATGCATAATGTCTATCCTTATGAAACCGAGGTCAGAGTGACGAGATAAGAGTACGGAGTAGAACGCAGGGCACAGTCTGACAGCCCCCAGCTTACGAGGCCCCCAGTCTCCAGCCGTCAATCATCACTGTCATCAAGCGTTGCGCTCCGATCAGACTCAGTCTGTTCCTGGGACGAAAACACTCTAAGGAAGCCTGGGATCAGCCGGTGGCTTCACCAAGACATCAGCGACCCCCGACCCATGGATGCGCTGGTTCCAACATCCGGCGCCAGGGAGGAACCGTAAAAGATTGTATTGCGGCTGGGTGTCTAGAGTGTAGTGCACGTCAGGTAGAAAGCTCTTATACAAATATTGTGGCCATTCTCATTAAAATTTGATGAGATGGCATCTACTTATCTCCCGGCGTATCTTGCAGAGCTGCTCGGATAGGCTGTCATTGTCAAAGCGCTCAGCAAGCCACTTGCTCCGAAACAGTTCTCCGCCATCCCCACTGGTGGTTCCCCCCTTAAAGAAGAACGGAGTTTAGTCTGACACACAGCCGCGCTTGCATCGCGCTATCAAGGAATGTGTCGTCGCTACGGCTTTTAGTCCTGGACACCTTCAGAACCGTGCGGGATTCACTTTCTCCTGTTGTCTGTCGATTATTCCTCTCCAACCGAGCCATCATCGCCTGCCTTTTCTTAGTCCTCTCGCTTTGTTGCTTTGATCCGCGCCCTTCATTGTCACATATCTTATTTTGTCTTTCTGCGAAATCACTAGCGTTGTCAATCTCCTTGCCACACTCCCTCCTGCCCCGACCGCCCGCGAACACTCCCAAAGAAGAGAAGACGAGGAATTCATTCTGTGCAAACCACCCAGCGCCAATTTATCGACTGAAAACTATTGTCGACATTGGACAACATATAGAAAGAGAAGAAACCCTCGGAACGCCCTCCGGACTCACGAAATAGTATGAGCGGCGCGGCTTGGTATGTTGACATCCCCGTCTACAACTCCTGGCGGCACAGGTTTCAGACTTCTAGTCAGGCACTCACTGTGCTCTGAAACGATTTCTTCAGGACTGGGGGCTGGGTCCAATCGCTCTCTCTGCGACTTGGAAAAGCCCACCAAGGATCCATGCATCGGATCGTTGTCCACTTCGTTTCAGATCTCATTGTCCCGCTGTGCCTTGGATCTGTTAATCCTGGAAACACCTGCCGCTGCAGATGACCCGAGTCCTTGGGAGAAATAACTAACACTTATGATGCAATCGGCTGCAGATTCAACCGAACCAAAAGATACTCCGAATACCGCTTCTTCATCATTCGTTCGTACCTGAATATACAAGATTGGCGAGGCTGGTTCTAGTCCAATCACCCTGGCTGTGACCCTGAGCGATTGATACCCACAAACACCGAGATTTCTTTGCGTTTTGGAACGTTGGAGGTATTGGACGCAGTATCGCAGGCCGGAGTGAAGGTGCTGGGGATTGGTCGGATGTTCATGGTCAGTCCTCGTCCGCGTATTGTTGACTCATGTCCTGTTGACCGTTGACGTGTGAATAGGCTGATATTGCCCGACTGTTCCTTTGAAGCCGACCTCTTTATCTGCGTTTGGCACTTCCGTCGCTCAAATCGTCTCCTACCAACCCAAACCAATACATCAACCATCGCCAAAATGCCTTCGAGACACTCTGTGGTTCCGAACCTGGATCTGAGCCCATCCACGCTGCAGGCGGGAACGAAGAACTCCTCTCCTCTGTCACCTGGTGCTCAGAGCTCCGACGGTCTCAGCCCCCTGACGCCTCACTCGCCAAAGTCTTCCTCCAGTTCACAATTCTTCAAAGGGGCCACAATACGCCCCGTCACTCAAGACTCAAACCAGACAACCGATAGTCCAACGTTCCCTGCATCTCCTGGTGCCGCTACAGAACCACCAACTCCAGGTTTCACAGCTATACCGCAGTACCCGCCGTCGCCTAGGGAGTCGCCCAAGCACACGCGTGATCCCTCGCGGTCCTTCTTCGCCAGCCTCAAGGCACCAAAGTACTCTCACAAGGCACAAAGATCGGACGGTTCGGGAAATTCTGCAGAGAAACCGAAGAGCCGCGGTAGCTCTAGGGATCGCAGGGCGCAGGTGACGTCAAAACTTTATGAATCGTCTCCTGATCTCCCAGCGATGATCGCTCAACACGAAGCCGGTAGGTACCAGTTGAGCGTTGGCATTCCCAAGGTGTCCAAAATTAACTCTAGTCAAGATGGCAACCTCCCCGACGAAAAGCACACCCAGACTCAAACGACAGAGCTCAAAAAGGTGGGAACTGAATTGGATGGGTACAGCTCGCTCAAGAAGACGAAACCACGATTCGCCAACCTTCTATCCCGCTCCCGGTCGATCAGGGTGGACGACTCAGCAAAGAGCCGAGCACCGAATAGGCGTCCGTCTACCAGTCTTTTGAGACTCGAAGAGAATTGCAAGCCAGAAACGCAGGAGTCTGCAAAATCTCGACAAGAGCGTGGGATAAAAACAGCTGGAAGCGGCAGTACCAGGGGATTGCCTGTCGAACGACCTGCGGAATTTGGCAATAACTTGACGGCACGGAAGGGGTCACTGGTGCCTTCGGCGTCCTTGAGCCAAGTGTCGGGTGCTTCGGCCGCCATATTCAACAATCTCAAGCAATCTTCCAGCGGAGCAGCCGATCGATTAGGAAAGGCCGGCAAAGGCTTCTTCGGCAAGATCACGAGGAGTGGTAGCACTAACGAGCGCGAGTTGGTCGCAGATGATAATTATGTTTGTTCTGTCATCAACCTGCCCTTGATCGAGCAAGCACGCCGGACACGCATCGCCAAACGACTCGAGGACTGTAGGGATAAGACTGAGTTCTGGATGCCCGCTTTGCCGTATCGTTGCATAGAGTAAGTTCTCAGGTGACTTGACGAGGCTATCGATTACTGACCTGAAACCAGTTACCTCAACTTTAAAGGATGTGAGGAGGAAGGGCTCTACCGTGTGCCAGGAAGTGGCAAGGAAGTAAAGCACTGGCAAAGACGCTTCGATACAGGTAGGTGTCTTGCTCATTTGCTAATCTGACTATGTGCTCACCAAACCTGCAGAGTTGGATGTAAGCCTCTTTGATGAACCAGATCTTTATGACATCAACACTATTGGCTCCATGTTCAAAGCTTGGCTGCGCGAACTACCGGACGAACTATTCCCCAAAGAGACTCAAGCCATGATCGCTGAAAAATGCGAGGGTGCTACTACGGCACCACAATTGCTAAAAGATGAGCTCTCAAAATTGCCTCCCTATCATTACTACCTTCTCTTCGCCATCACCTGCCATCTCAACCTTCTCCACTCATACGTCGACCAAAACAAAATGGATTACCGCAACCTTTGCATTTGCTTCCAGCCTTGCATGAAAATTGATGCATTCTGTTTCCAATTCCTGGTTTGCGACTGGAAGAATTGCTGGCAGGGCTGCTGGACGGAGAAAGAGTGGCTCCAGCGCGAAAAGGAAATGGACGAGCGAGAAAAGGCACCCGAAGGAAAAGAGACTCAGGCGCCCAGTGTCGACGAGAGGGCCGTTTCATCTGGCAGCAGTCAAAGCAGCACTTATGAAGCGCCGCCCCGTCCCGAGACGCCAAAGCCTCACAAGAAAAAGCCCCGGAAGATTGAAACCTCGCATACAAGGAGCGTATCCCAGCTCCCCGAGCTTGGTCCCCCTCTGTCACCGATTCAGATCTGAGGCGCTCATTCTGAAGACACGCTCTAACAAAGCAGACTTCTGACTCTGCGATTTGAGCGCCTTGGCCAGGCAGTCTGAGTAAAAAATCAGATAGGCTGGCCTATCCTATACCATTTGTCATTTCGGCGCGAAGATCGCGCCCTACGAGATCTTCGGCGGGAACCGTGGATCAAGCACCTTGGTCGAGATCCGAGATTGTACATTATCTCGTGCGATTTTGTCTCTTTTTGCGAACGTTTTGCCCATTCATTTCCCTACGGGGACTGGGCTTGTCTATGTTTGAGTCTTATCAGTTTTCGAGAAGTCGTTTCGTTTCCCCCCCCTCATCTCGCGAAATTGCATGTCTGGCGCGTTTGGAGTCTGGTCGCTGTTTCTTCACCTCATTTTTGGCTGTAGAGATTGTTTCTCTTTCATTTACCATTTGCTATTGTGTTTATGTTCTCTCCACCTTAGAGTTGTTACTTGACTGCCTTGAGCGTTTGGCTATCGAATATTATTGCACAGGCCATTTTTTTACACTTGCATGTATGTGTTTTGGAGCCTCTGAACCCGGTCTATCGTTTTCACATTGGAGCCATGTCGCGGCATCTCATAGCACTCAATCCACTTTTTCTAATGGATTTCTCTTTGCCTTCCCCCGTAGACTCATAGGCTGAAATGAGACAAAAAATATGCGCATCGCCCCAAGGCTATTTGAGGTTTTGTAGCGAATCCAACGAATTAGAAACCGACCACTATCCGAACGACATGCACCCAATAACAGCGCTCGTCGAAGATGCAAAGCAACCATTTAGCCAGCTCCTGGAGCGCTCGGAAGAGATATGCTAACAGCTTCACGCCAATGCGCATGTACAAAGGCAATATTGCTTTTAACCCTAACAACAGGGCAACCTATAAACTCAGAACCTGATACCACTCCAGACGCCCAGATAAATCCAGCACACCAGATATCATAATCCCCAAGAGAAAGTTTTAACTTGATGTGAAAACCCCACGAGACAACAATTTATCGTCCTCCGCCGTTCTTCCTGGTATTCCGCTCATTCGCCCTCTGCTTCCTCTCGTTTCGCCGTATCCTATCCTTCCGCTCTGCCCGCGACATACCACGGATCGAGCTGCCCTGGGCCGCGGCCTCCTCTTCCTTCTTCCAGTCCTTTTCCTTCACCTCAACCAGCCACTGATCATCATCCTTGTTCTTGCCCTTGTATCCCCATCTTGGCACCCACTCGCCAGACTCCTCGTCGTAAACCAGCTTCTTGCGACGTTCCTTATCCGCCAGCGCAGCACCGGGCTTGCTGCTGTACTTGCCGATGCCCTTCTTGCGGGCGAACAGCTCCCATTTGGTGGGTGGCTTGGGTGTGGGGAGGGGCTTGTGGCGCGGGAGAAGTGTCGAGGGGGCGGGGAGGTTGAGGAGAACGCCCTGTTGCGAGGAAGTGATGGTGCAGGTGGTGAGGAGTTGGTTGAGGAGACTTTGGACGCCGTCTCGGGCGGTGGCTTTTAGGGATGCATTGAGGGGTTCGGAGCGCGGGAGCTCGAGCGGGTTGGGGTCGTTGGCGAGCAGGTGGCCGAGGTCGAATGTATATGGGGTTGGCTTCGAGACCGTGATAGGGCTGTTGCTAGGTGAGCGGATGTCCAGAGACATGATGGATATATTCGGACTTACAGTCTCTCGGGCTTGGCTTTGGAGGCAGATTTAGCCTCTGTCGTTGAGTTCGCCATCTCTGATATAGAAACTGTATGGCTACAGAGTAGTGACTTGGTGGAAACGGAAATGTCAACGTTGGAGATTATCCAAGCGGGAAAACAGAAAAAAAGTTCGGGGATAATTTTGGAGTGCCGCTTTTGCGGGCTGTGCTCCATTATACCCAGACCGCCCGCTAGAGCGGCCACTGCACTAACCGTCTACAGAAACCTGAGGAGCGGCCAAAAATGTGCTCCGACCTTCCAGTCTCTCCCGGCCGGCGACCAGGCTCCACGATCCCATTCGTCCTCTAATTATCATTGTCTGTTCAAACACTGGCCATTGCGCCGGTGTATTGCATCACAATGACTTCCGCTTTTTGCTCGGGCTGCTTGACGCAGCTTCGCCAGACACCTCGCGCCATTTTACCACCGCCGTCCACAGCAGTGCCCCGAACAGCGGCCTTCCACACATCCGCCCCTCTCCAGAAGGTGGTTCAGAAAGCCAAGGCTTCGGGATATGAGGGTCCTAGGTACCGTGTTGGGGCCAATGTCAAGATCAAGAAGAAGGGCAGACCCCAGGAGAAGTCGCGTCCTCCGCCCCCCGGAGAGCGCAAAGCCCTCCGCAAGCGGATTGTCCTCAGCAACCCGAATGCCCTCGAGGTCGAAGGGATGCAGGAGCTCAACGGAGAAACGATGGTGGATTCACGTCTTCGCGGCTCAGTCCTCGCTCTCCCCGTGCCGATGATCGATCAGTTGCGAGCTGTCCAGGCGTTCAAGACTAGCCAGGGCTGGTCGATTTTCCGCCGCCCCGGGACGGTTTCGCGACGGGAGACATTGGAGATGGGTAGACTGTTTGATCAAATCTCCAACGAAAGCGCGGGCGATAGGAGTTCACTGAAGAGAATTATTACCGGGCAGAGGAAAGCGGGAAAGAGTGTTCACTTGTTGCAGGCTATGGCGATGGGATTCACGAAGGAGTGGATTGTTGTTTCTGTTCCGGATGGTAAGTTTTATTATCGACTTGGGTCTTGAATTCCAGGCGCATTGTTTCTGACTGAGCCATTAGCACGGGATTTGGTCGTCGGGACTACCAGCTACGCGCCGCTGTCTGAGGCCCAGCCCAACTTATATGTCCAAAACGCGGCAACGGCAGAGTTGCTATCTCGTACTGCCACTGCCAACAAGAAAGTTCTTTCTAACCTCCTTGTCTCTCAGGAGCATGCCGCCCTTCCTACTGTTAAGCCTGGCATGACTCTGGAAGACCTCGCGAAGTTCGGTATTCAGGACCAAGCGAACGCATGGCCTGTTTTCCAGGCGCTGTGGGCAGAACTTACAGCAACGTCCGCGACGCCTGGCCTTGAGAAGCACTTTACTCCCCGTCCTCCTACACTCGTGACTGTTGACGCTGTCGGCTACTGGATGCAGAATACCGCTTACCACAGCATTAAGCATGAGCCTATCCACGCTCATGATTTCGTCTTTGTGCGACACTTCCTCGACTTGTTGAAGCCTGGCAAAGGAAAGTCTGCCCTGCCCAACGGCGGAGCCCTTCTTTATGCCACCTCATCCTCCAACAACCCGTCCATCTACGCCTTTGACGTCGCTCTCAAGCAAGCTGCAGCTCGCCACGCTGGCGTGAACCCCTCATCTTCCGAGTTCCCTCTCCCCGAACCATACAGCAAACCTGATACCCGCGTTCTCGAGGCTCTCAACTCGCCGAAACCTACCGTTTCCAAGGAGGGTATGCTGAACGTGCAGGAACTTGGTGGGCTGACCAAAGAGGAAGCCCGCGGCTTCCTGGAGTACTTTGCCCGCAGCGGTCTTCTTCGGGAGACGATTAGCGACGAATGGGCTAGCGAGAAGTGGACGCTGGCTGGTGGTGGCGTGGTTGGAGAGCTTGAGAAGCTGGGCAGACGGTTGCGTGTGGCTGCATAGACTTTTCCTCCTCCTTAGAGCACAATCTGGGTGTTCTTCCTTATCTTCCGTGGTTCCGGTCTATGCTCGCCTGTATTCACGGACCTCCGGATTTACCTGTATTTTACTATTTGGTTTTTGAGTCTGTGATCTGTATGCATATAATGAAATGGGTATTGTCTCGAAATTTAACTCATGGAGTCTCAGCTTTATTCAGGGCGGATTAGCATAGAAAGACCCAAGGGTATTGATGATATCTCATGTGATGCTGGCCATCCATGACAGTCAGGCGGTGCACTATAAGCAATGGTCAGCCTGTGATGGAACAACCTAAAAGCTCAATTCTTTGCATGCACTAATCGCTGCATCATTAGAGAAACAAAGAATCGATCATCAGGGGATCTTGGAGTTGAGAGACGAGCAGCTTGACGCAAGTTGGCCGCTAAGCCTCACCCCCACTCAACGCTGCGGCCACTTCTGCATCTTCTCTCTCGCTCCCCTTCGAACCAAGTTGAGCCTTATAGAGCCTCGGAGGCTGTGTTTGCGCCTGACACACTCAGCGCTCCATTTCCATCGTTGAATGATCCGGGTCCTCCTTCCCCGCACCGCATCAACAACAGCACCCTGCTAAACGCCCGTTCGCGACAGCGCTCCCCGCGCTCCGAGGACTCGTCTCGAGACGATGCCCAACTCGTATCAATATACGAACTCCAATCGACCGCCTACCTCCGCGCCCCCTGCCCCAGAATGGCGAGTCCCGGCAGCACCACCGAGGCCATCAGGGCGCCCAGTCGCAAGCCCCCCACCACCGCCGCCTCCTCCGTCCTACAACCCGGCAACGGCCAGCTACGGTCCGAGTCCTAGTTACAGTCCGATTCCAGGAAGCGCTGGCGCAAACGTGCCCCCGATCTCTGGCTTTGCCGGCGTCAGTACCGCAAGCTGGGGCGTGAACTACAACAGGCAGAACTATATGCAGACGCCGCCTCCTCCGCTGCCAGTGAGTTGTTTCGGTGCGCGGTGTAAGACTTTGATGTTCCCTTGCTAAAAGGTTGTTCTAGCCTCGACCTTCAAGTACCTCTGGCCAACAGCCCAATGCCCAGTCTCCGATAGTAAGCCCCGCGGATTTCTACCAGCCTTCGGCAGCCGCGGTTCCGAGCTATGGAGGTCAGGCACCGACGGGAGATTATCACCAGCAGTGGAATTCGAATCCTGCCTATCCGCTTCAGCAGCCTGCTACTTCTTTGACACCTCCGCCACCACCTCCGCCGCCTGTTCCGCCAGTGGTCGATACACCTTCCTATCAGAACAATCCGCCGGTAGCATCGCAGACCCAGCAGTCCTGGAATCAGCCACCAGTGCCGTCATATCACAACATTCCGCCGAATTATCATTATCCTCCCAGTACCAGTCCTAGTCATCCAAGCCCTCCTCCGGCTCAGCCGGCACCCGACTTCTACCAGAATCAGAATGTTCAGCCAGGTGGTTCATTTCAGCCAGATGGGACAGTGCCACAGTCTACAGCGTCTGCTCCGCCTGTGCCTCCGAAAGCTGGTCCTTCCGTGTTAGGATCCGGAGGCCCCTCAGATTGGGAGCACCTCTCTCCCACCGCGGGTGATATTGATGATGTAGCTGTTTTCAGACCCAGGCTAGACACCCCGGTAAATGCCGGCTACGGATTGACTTCGGATCATGGGGCTGGCACTCCGGGGACTGTAGGAAACGGTCACTCGCCAGCCCCTTCATTTTCGAACCTAGACTATACGAAGCCAGCAGTGAGCGCAGAGTCATCTCAGCATTACTTGGGGCAGTCACCTACCAGTCCAGGAACTCACTATGATTTCCAGCCGCCTGCTCATCCGGTCAGGATGGACACTGTCGGGTCAGATTATACCGCGGTGTCTGTTATTGCTAACTCCGAAAACATCGACGGCGTTATTGAAGCATGGAATAAGCCCATCTCAGCGGATCACAGATCTTCATCGATCCAGCAGAGCCCTAGAATCGAACCAGAGCCGATCAATAGACCGTCGTCAGTACAACAGAGCCCCAGAGTTGAGCCGGAGCCGGTCTCCCTTCATTCGACACCAAGTCCGGTAGAAACTCCCTTAGCAAAGCAGCGGGAACCTGCAGCGCCGGGAGAAAGGGCTCAGATTGACCGAGTCGGTAGCGTGAAGGGTGTCAACGAATCTGTCAGAACAACGGAATCTCCTCGGCCTCCATCCAGGCAAGTAGATCGCTATGACGATCTTGATTCCTGGTCGCAGTCCTCTTTAGAGCGCTATGTGGCCATGTTGCGGAAAGAGGCTGTTGCTGACTCCGATGAGGAGCGCTTCAAGATCTTCACAACTTTTATGGCCAAGGAAACAAAGCTGCGTGAAATCTTATACAGCATCGAACATGAGGCCGACGCCGCTGCAAGTGCCCCAAAGCAACCGCCTACAATCCAAACTCCGTTGAAGGAGCCAGAAGATGTTAAGCCGAAACAGCCCACTCCCGATGAATCGGGCTTGATACCCGTCGAAACTGAAGAGGGATATTTTGCGCCGGCCAGCAATTCGGACGATGTGGAAGACGGCAGTTATAGTCCAGGCGGACGCCCTATACTTCCCAGGCTCCATACCCCTCACCCTGCAGCTCTCCATAGGTCAGCATCCAACCCGGGAGGCCATAAGTATACCGCAAGTCACGCTGTCGCAGCACATGCGCTACGGTCTACATCGGTACCGCCCAACGAAGGTCCAGTATACTCACCTCTCTCAACGAATCCACCGCAGCGAATCTATACGCCCTTTAAATATACTGAAGGGCCTCAGAGAGGCTCTGACAAACTACAAATCGAACGGCCAGCGTACCAAGCTTACTCTGCTTTGCGTCAGGCACAAGCAGAAAGTGGACGTGTGATGGCGGACACGCCGGCGCCAACTGAAGGCAATCGGAAGCGGGCTACCTCCGGTGCTTCTATCCAGAACGAGATGGACGAAACCTTTGTTGGTTTGATTCGAGAAAAGAGTGTCACGTATCGAAAGAAACCCCCTCAGACTTCAACGCCTCCACCCCTGCCACTTTCTCTTCGACAAGGGAAACCGCCCGGTCCAGTTGAGGAGCTGCGCACTGTCACCTCGTCGCCTGTGAATAGGCAGTCTGAAAGCTTGTTGCACACTACGGTGAGAAGGGACCTGGAAAAGTATCCTAACGACTTTAGTTGGGTACGTGAGACCGGTCGAACCTGGGAAGCGGCTAGTAAGACTCGCAAGGAGAACCTAGACAAAGAACGAGTCAAACGTCAGGAGGAGTCTGAAAGCCATATTGATGCATTGTTCAATGGCAAGGAGATTGGCTATGCAGATATCAACATCCTCGAGGAAGAGTTTCGCCAAACGGAAGCACGTACCCAGCTGGAGGAGGAACGAAAAGAACTCGAGGACTTCATTTCCAACGTCTATGAACCGGTGGATAAGCGGTTGAAAGAGGAAATATCTACCCTACAAGTCCATTACGACTCTGCACTCACCCAGCTTGACCGGGAGAACAGCAACAATCAAGACGGCGCAGACAAGCAAAGCATATCTCACACAATGAAGATTGTGAACGAGATCTATAGTCGACTTGAGATGAGACACCACAAGCGTCTAGAAATTGCTTTGGACCGCGAGCGTCGGCGAAAGAAGGCCGAGAGACGGCCTCTTGTTTTCATGGGTGATTCTGCGGCGCTGAAAAAGCTCGACAGCGAGTTTGATCAAATGGAAAAACAGAATGTCCTAGAGGCCGCACGAGCCCGGGATGAAAGGGCAAACAGGCTCATGGACCTATTCGACGATGCCATCATGCGTGGACTCGGAGAGAATCAGAGTCTCCTCGATGAGCTCTCAGCCAAGGTGACCCGAGTCGATGAAGCCGCCATTCGCTCATCCGGCCTCCCAGACGCAGAAATCGAACAGATCCTCAAATCCGTACACAGCTTGGTAGAGTGCCTTCGCAAAGACTCCGAGTCCAGCCTCCACAGCTTCGGCGTCGCCGACTCGGCCCTCAACAACGCGGACTACAGCGTATCCGTCGCCGAGGCCCGCTACTCCAATGCAGAACCCGAAGTGTTCCGCCAGTTAGATGCCGAGAAGAGGAAGGAAGACGCCAAGATCCAGGATAACCTGCGCACCAAGCTGCAGAGTGTCCGCGTTGGACCTGCAAAGATCACCGTTGCAATCAACGACGCCCTGCGCATACTAGGGAAAACGCCTTTTCCTGAGCCGCCGGTTTCTGCGGACGTCATTCCTATCGGTCAGCTTTACGATGTCTCCCTGCCGAACCCTGCTGTGCGACCTGCTAGTACGGTGGGGATAGCGGCGAGGAAGATGGAGACAGACCCGGAGCATCGGGACCGGCTGCGCAAGGCGCTGGAGGATGCGAAGAAGCGCAATGCGGCGAGACAGCGCTCGCCATCTGCGGCTGCGAAAGAATGATTATACATACAACTTACGACTCACGAATTTCTTATGCCGTTTATACCCTTTACCTTTCGCGATGCACTTGTTTTGCCTGTGTTTTTTGCATGTCGGTATAGATGGGTTAGGGCTTACTCCGTAGTTTATAGTGATAGCGATTAATCTATGATTATTCTCGTTGTATACTACCCAGTAGATGTACAAGAGTACATTAACAGAAGTGGTTCGCAGAGAAGTAAGTACGAGGCTCGACTGACCACCGCGCCACATCTACGCCGCAGCCAGCGAGTGGTAAACAGAGCACCACCCTTCTTCCAACAGCGTCAACGGGAAACTGCCTCGCGTGCGCCCTGCTGCGGCTTCAACTTTCTCCCCACAATCATTCCCACCTCTCTTCTTTCCCACATCTACTTGAGCATGCGTCAAGCTCCGTTTGGCCCATCCCACCCAGATGTCGTCATGCGGCGCGAAGCCAAACACCGCAGACAACGAACCGTGCCTCCTCAGCTCGTGGGTAAACATCGATTGCGCTGTCCTATTCTACTCAACTCTCGATAGCGCCGCAGTGTGCCCGACATTGAACAGAACCCCAGGGAGAAGGAGACGCTGAAGTGAAGACGAAGAAGGTCCGACCCAGTCTTATCTTATTTACGAGCAGACCCGCACCATGGCCGCGTTTTCTGGTTTCGTCCTGGGTCTGGCTTCGTGGTCTGTTCTGGCTCGGGAAATATCATCCAACAGAACCCTACCCTACCGCGTACCGGTCCTTTTCCTGACTCTGGTACGCTATCCACCTGGTAGGCTGGACCTGTTGGCAGATAGTTACGTATCGTCAGCCGCGGACTCGGAGTCTCAAAGCGAAGCATCAAAGCTGGAAGCTCAATGTCCACGCCCACGGGGCAATTCTCCAGTCTTTCGATTCATGGGAGAGCTGGACGTGGGCAAGGGCGAGGGCGAGGTGTGGGACAAAGAGAGTCGTCAACAATGACGGACCTGACCGCCGTTCAGGCCTCGTCTGGCTTCGTCTACGACCTTCGCAACTCGGGCCTTGGTCCTGACACCGAGGCTAGGGCGCTACTTGGCTTGACGACGGACTTTGACGTGCTGTTTTGTGAGAGAGTGAGGGAGGGTTATGAGTTTGTTTTTGCGGAGAGGGTGCGCGTGCGGATTCCTTTGATGCGTCGGGGTCAGACCCAAGGCAGCCTCGATGGTGAAGGCGATGGAGTGGAAGGGAACGGATATGGCGATAGCTATGAGTGCACCTGCGCGGTGTTTCGGGGGAAAGATGTGGCTTGTCAACATATCTTTGTGAGTTTTTCTACCCTTGCCTCGAGCAAACCAGTCAGGGCTTGTTGCGCAATCTGTTTTGCTAACCGGTTTGAGTGAAATATATAGTGGCTTCTCGATCAAGTTCAGGGTCAATTACTTTCGGCCTCTCCTTCCCCTTCCCGAGTCCCTTCGAAGATCCTCCTCTCGAGTGACGGGCATGCGCAGGGTTTCCCACGCATCGAACAACTCCTTTCCAGCCATATAACCCTAGAATCCCTCGCAGACCAGCTGGACTGGCCATACGTCCGCTCCGCAGTGGAGGAAGGCGGGTTCAGCCGGACGCAGAGGGTCCGCGACATCCTCTCTGCATTCAGCACGGAGATCCTCCCCGAGGAGTTTCGGTGTGACCTTGCCGAGCTTGATTTCGATCCGGAAGACAGTACGGGATATAGCCACATATCAACCAAGGAGAGGAGAACACCAGAGCAGTGCGTCGTGCAGGGAGACATGGAAACGACCGTCTTTCGCCTGGCCGTGAACGATGATAACGTATTCACGAGTCTGTGCAAGGCCATGCCACCTGGTGCTTGCGCAGCGATCTACTTTGATAAAGCGCTGGAGAGGTCGAGGAAAATTCTCTTCGAATTTGACAAGTACTGTCAAACACTAGGAGGACCAACCGAGATCAAAAACCAAGACGAGACTGGATACAAGGGCGCATCAAGTGTGGCTGCATTCATCCAGGCCCTGAAAACAAACACCATCAACATCCACAAGAACATCCATGCCCGAGCCCCCCACGGCCTCCAAGGTGCCGCTGAAGCCCTCACCACCATCCTCGAAGACATATCCAGGCGCAACAACGATGTCCTTGCTGAGAACAAATACGGCCGCGTCTCCTTTTCTCCCGCCAACACGCCCGAAGACGAGGACTCTCGCAATCTATACCAACAGCTCATTGGGAATGCAGACGACGAGGATGAGGAGGGAGTGTATTTCGTCCTCGATGCGTTGGCGGACCTACCCGGTGAAGATCTACACCAGTTTCGTGAGAGATTGGGCACAGTGCTGCGTAGGGTTGAGGTTAACCGGGCGCCGAGGGGATTTATTATGAAATTGGCGGGAATTGTTCGTGTTGCGGAGGCGGGAACGGGGACTGCTATTGCGAGGAAACGGGCTGGGGAGATGGGGGGTGAGAGGGGGAGGAAGAGGATGAGGTGATGGATCGGTATAGTTTAGATCTGCTTTTCTGCGTTCTGTTGATCTTATCGTTGCTGCAAGCGAGTGTATACTGCATACCGTACTGCTAGCGTTCCATTCATTACCTAGGGTTGATTGAGCCCAACCACGAGGCTAGCCTCGGCCATGACCACATAATGAGACAAGCAGGGAAAGGTTGAAGAACTTCGTCCCGGAAGTCGTCATTAGCATTAACCATTAACAAAGCAAGCTACTCCATATACAATCGCTGCGCCGAATCTCAGATCCGCTAAGAAAGATCAAGAACAACCCGCCCCTGCAACTTACCCTCCTCCATCTCTTTAAACACTTCCGTCAGAGCCTCCATCTTCTCCTCCCGATAATGAGTCTTGATCACACCCCTAGCTGCAAATTCCATGGTCTCAATCGCCTCCGTCCGATTGCCCACCGCCGACCCCGTGATGTGTATATGCTGCTGTATAAACTTGCTAGGGAACGCAGTAGCTATAGCCTTCGGCTCGTTCTCGGGAATGCCCACGCAAACGAGTGTGCCGTTGTACCGGAGGAAGAGCAATGACTGGGCGTAAGCGACATTCGACGCTGTACAGACGACGACTGCGTGGGCACCTAAACCCTTCGTAGTGAGCGCTTTGACGTGCGACGAGATAGCGGCGAAGTTATCGTCTGTGGGGAACTTGGTGATGTCCACGAAGTGTTCGGCGCCCGAGGCTTTGACCAGTGCTTCTTTGCTCCCGTGGTCGACGCCAATCACGCGTAGACCCATGCCCTTGCTGGCGATCTGGACGGCCAAGTGGCCTAGTCCGCCGCCTGCGCCGGAGATCACGATCCATTGGCCTGGTTGGGCTTTGCTGCGTTTGAGGGAGGCGTAGACTGTAACGCCTGCGCAGAGGAGGGGCGCGGCTTCGGCTGAGGAGAGGCCGTCTGGGATTGGGGTGACGTATTGGGCTGGGCCGAGGACGTATTGCTGGAATGTTCCGGGCGTGTAGTAGCCTGATACTTTCTGGTTGAAGCAGAGACCGTCGGCGCCGTCCTGGCAGGGGGCTTCACCGTTGTTAGTGAGGATATTGGAGAGAATTGTATTGTACGTACGGCACTGCCCGCAGGCGCTGGAAATCCACTTGATACCGACTCTGTCTCCGATCTTCAGGCCTGATGCTTCGGCGCCAGCGCCGAGCTTCACGACCTTTCCGACTCCCTCGTGGCCACCAACTTGCCCGGGCTGGGTAGGGTATGGTAGCATTTTCCACTATAGCATGGGGCATTAGATTGTGATTCGCCGGCTTGAGGGTCTCTATGGCAGTGGGTGCATACCGTGTTGGTCATGATGCCAAAGTCCGAGTGGCACACGCCGGAGTGTGTGCTGTCAGGGTCACAACATTAGCAATTGTTACACGTCAATTCTCCGATTCAACTTGATCTTTCCGAGTCAGTCAAGGTTGCAGGCATGTTTCACATACAGATTAATCAGGACTTCATTATCACCGGGCTCAGGCACATCCACTTCGACGACCTTGGTAGAGACAGTGCCGGGGTTGTCGTAAATGATAGCCTTCGCCTTCTTAGGAATCTCGGGTACAGCTGCCATTCCGGTAGGTCTCGATTCCTCTTTTTCCTTCGGTAGATTGGAGGTATAATTGCTTAAATCATGTATAAAAGAAGCGGAGGAAATGAGGAAACAAGCTCTCTAGGACGGATCATAACCCTCTCTTTATACCCCTCGAGACCCTAGCGCAAGGTAACGCCAAGTCGTCAATCGTCTCTCGTCTGACCTTTGGCCTCGCAGAGTAAATACTCCGTAGATCCTCCGTCCTGATAAAGAGATGAGGGGAAACGGAATCTCCGCCCTGGGAGGGGAAGGTGGCCGACCCAAGGCAATGCAGTGGGCCTCAGGACCAGCTCGCGGCAAGAGCTCGAGGGTAAGGTTTCAGCATGACGCAGCTAGTTCAGGGCATGGAACGTGTAGATGTGATTCATCCAATCAGTCTCGAGACAGAGTGAGGGGTGTCGGCGACCGAGGAGGGTCTGCGGTGGAACAGCCTCGGTTACGGTAGACGTGTGTCATGGTCTTGGTGGTCCAGGGGGACAGAGAGCTGCTTTGAGAGGTTCATAATGAGCAGTCTGCCAATGGGCACTCAGCGGGCTCAAAGCTGGAACGGAATGGATGCGGAAGCCGGCGATGGATCTGATGGAGTCGACGGAGTTGCTGGGAGTCTGGGAGTCTGGGAGTCTGGGATGGCGGGGAAAACGCGGGGTTGACGACATCCGCACAGGGAGAGCTCTGAGCAGTAAACATGCCCAGGGCAGGTCCCTGGCCTTATATCTCTGGATGTCTGAGTACCCTGGTCTCCAAGCATTACTTACATCTCCCATTGGAGCTGCTACGTATCGAGCTATGCCAATGATATGCAACCATGACGCTCATCATCGATTCGGTCTGAAATCACCCGACGGCTAATTTCCACCGCGGATTTACCCCCGAAAGCGCACCTTATAGCAAGGCATCCTATTCAGCTTCACGGTCTTCATCATGTCCAAACCAAAACCTATTTCAAGTTTCTGGACCCGAAACCACTCAACATGGCCTTCCCCATCGTGGACTCGCACATCCACCTCTTCCCCGAATCCCACCTCCCCACATTATCCTGGCATACACCGGGGTCCAATCCGCTCGGCTCCCAACACTCAGTCGACGAATACCGCGCGGCAACGAAAGATTCCACGTCCCTGCGCGGCTTCATCTTCCTCGAAACAGACCGCCTCTCGTCCGTCGAAGAGGCTGGACCGGACAAACATGGCTGGGGACACGCCCTGGATGAAATCTCGCTGCTCGCGCGGATCGCGAGCGGGAATCCTCTGCCCGGGGAGGGCCACAGCTCTGAAGACCGCGGTCTATGCTTGGGAATAGTCCCCTGGGCGCCTGTGCCTGGCGGACCGGATGCGCTGGAGAAGTATATAGCGTTAGCTAAGGAGAGGGCCGGGTCAGACGAGGTATGGGGCAAAGTGCGTGGGGTGCGATACCTGGTGCAGGATAAGCCGGCTGGAGTTATGCTGCAGCCTGCATTTATTGAGGGGCTCAAGTGGCTGGGGAGGAACGGCTTGACCTTCGATTTGGGTGTCGATGCCAGGCAGGGCGGGATTTGGCAGCTGGAGGAGGCGGTTGAGCTGATGCGGAGGGTTTACGACGGCGTTGAGGAGAAGGATAAGGTGACCATTGTGATCAGTATGTTCTATTCTCTCTGATACTTTTGGGCTCTGTGATTTGAATGATTGAAGATCGTGCTGACTTATATTTACAGACCACCTATGTAAGCCGAATCTCCGTCTACCGGCTACATCCACAGACGCAATCACCACCCATGCCGACTTCATTCAGTGGAAGTCCCAAGTCACAGCCATGGCGCAACATTCATCGACATATATGAAGCTCTCCGGCGCCTTCTCAGAGCTCCCGCCCCTCTCTATAGATTCCGAGCTAGACATTGAGTCTCTGGTGGACAAGATTCAGCCGTGGACAGATGTTGCCTTTGATACCTTCGGCCCTGAGAGGGTGATGTTTGGCTCCGACTGGCCTGTCTGCAATGTGGGAGGTGGTGGCAATGCAGTTACCTGGAGCCGTTGGAGTCGAGTAGTCGCAGGTGTTTTGCAACGGAGAGGATTAAATGAAGCGCAAAGGAGGGGATTCTGGGGGCAAGTCGCTGTAAAGGCTTATGGCGTGACACTATGAGCTTAGACCACTCAGCTTTAAAATCAACAAATGACCTCTTCCCCGTTAGCGAACCATGGAATGAAGTAAAGAAATTCCCGAAAGTTTGCAGACTACGTGTATACTAGTAGCTGCCGTCAAATAACCCTAATGAGCGCAGGTACAGAAGCCATTTATCCCACGATGCCTGTTCGCAGACACAGCGAGCAAAAAGTTTTCGAACGGACAAATAAAAACGAGCTCGTGAGATGTCTCAAAAACAGATCGCGATAACCCAGTCAAAATCTCGGGCCCCAGAATAGCATCTCGTAGACATTTTCAGCCCTTCGCGCCACCTGAAGGGGAATCAAAGCAGAAAAAAAACACGGTAAAGTTACATGATCTGATCCTGTGTGATTCCACCGGTAGGCTGGGCATCATCCATGGGGTCGACCGGACCCTGAGACGGGGTCAAGTACTTGACAAAGGTGATACCAAGGGGACGACCGCCATACTGGTAGCCAGTGAATTTGGCTGCAACTGTGTTAGTGATATCGGCAGAACCTGGCGGCAAGAGAAACGTACCGATTGAAGTCTCAGCCATGTCGGCGCTATCAAATTGGACTACACCGGTCCCACGAGACCGGCCGTTGGGCTCATATTGGATTTCGGCGCGCTCAACCTTTCCGATGGTCGAGAACAGGTCCACTAGATCATCGTTGCAAGTAGACCAAGGCAACTGCTATGCGTCAGAGGCTGTATCAATATTGCTGTTTGTCCACGATACTCACGTTGCGCACGTAAATTACATCGCTCTTCTCGCCGCCGGAGGTAGCATAATCGGTGAAGGGGTTGGGAGGCACTGAAGGGCCGCTCTCAAAACCAGGACCACTGGGAGGACCGCCGTAACCACCGCCGAAACCTCCACGGCCGCCGAAGCCACCGCCGAAGCCGCCACGGCCACCAAAGCCTCCACGGCCGCCGAAGCCACCACGGCCACCAAAGCCACCACCAAAGCCACCGCGGCCCATGCCGGGTCCAGAGCCTGCAAAGCGGTCCTCACGGACCTCAAGGGTACGGCCTTGCCAATCGTATCCGTTGAACTGCTGGATAGCATTGCGTGCATCCTCGGGTGATTCGAAGGCGACGATTCCAGAACCCTTGGGACGGCCAGTCGCGTCGGTGTGAACGTCGGCACGGATCACGGTACCTTGCTGAGCTGTACCAAATACGAGCGTCAATCTCGGGCCATATTTGGACTTCGGGGAAATAGGTAGACGGCAGGGAACAGCGGAAACTATTCAGAGTGAAGCCTGGCATCCTGAGCTTACCTGCTTGGCGGAAAAGATCCTTCAAATCTTGCCAGCCAACGTTGAAAGGGAGCTATAGATCGCATCATATCAATCATCATTCCCGCGCAGATGGCGTCGCGTCATGTTAAATTGGAGCGAGAAGACTTACGTTGGAGACGTATAGCTGTCTTCCTCCACCACCGGGACCGCCGCCGCCACCGTAGCCTCCAAAACCACCGCGGCCGGGGCCACCAAAGTCCCCACGGGCAGGGCCACCCGAAAAGCGAGGCTCAGGTTCGCGGTCCTACCAGTGAAAAAGAATCATAATTAGCCTCCCTGCTGCCGGATATATGGATAGGGTATGTACCTCGCGGACGTAGACTAGACGGTTCATCAGGTTCTGGTTGCTGAGCGTGTTGACAGCATTTTGCGCTTGCTCCCTGGTTGCGTATTCCACAATCCTACTGCATGGTCAGCGTTGTGTGGACAATGTATAGCAAGGTTTGAGTAACTGACCCGCATCCCTACAATAATCCCGGACAGCCAGGCCCAGCCCGTCAACCCAAAATTCCAAGCAGATCAAACCAACAGGGGTAAGAAAAGAAACCAGAAACAAATGAAATAAAGAAAAGAACCAGTCACGCTACGCATTGGCGCCCACCTTCGACATTCCATTGGGAAGAAGCAAGACGTCGGCAAAGATAACTTCTCCAGCTGTAAATCGGCGCGGAAAAAGGATCCCCCAAAGTCAGCCACATATTCCAATCCCATAAATGCTCATTGCCCTGCCGGCACGATATGACCCTGCTCACCCTGTCTCATAAAATCTTTAAGATGATGCCATTTGACATCGTAGGAAAGGTTCCCAACATAGACTCGACGGTCCTGTTGGGACGAGTCGCGCACAGATTGCATCATTTGTTCTTTTGCGACTGCTCGATCTTCGAATGACCTGGGCGGAGGCGGGTAGCTGCCACCGCGTCCACTGTATCCCGAGCCTGAATGACCTCCTGCTGGGCCTTGGGCAGTACTCATAGGAGAACGAGAACGGCGATCGCTGCGGCGGTAATCGTCACGGTCACGACTCCGAGATCGACTGCGTGGCGAATACGAACGGCGGCTTCGTCGCGGACTGCGAGATCGACGACGGGGAGATCGGGATCTCTCACGCTGCGCGCGGTCAGTATCGTATTCATAGTCGCCGTAAGCCATTGAAAAGAGATGTAAAAATGTTTAAGGGGATAAATAAAGAGACAGGATAAGAGACAAAGGATGGAGTCGGGAAAAAGGCTGATGACTAGTAACTGCGAATCTGCGACATCGATCTGCGCAACGGGCGTGAACCTTGGGTGCGCGATTTCGGAGCTGAAGTCATGTGACTGGAATGGGGCAGAGCTCCATAATTGTGAGGTACCGCAAAGAGGACCCGGGGGATAGATAGGGCATCCGAAGCGGCCCTAGCGCAAAGGTCCCAAACTGTATAAGTGCAACAAAGAGGAGCTCATGGGGACCGCAGAGGAACAATGGATAACCGAGTCACATGCCCGCTAATGTGCGCAGAATGAAAAGTCGAGGTAATGCCACGCCCAAAGGAGTCTCAATGCCTCTAGCTATCTACCATATCCATGGTAGCAGTAGGGAGGGGGCGGGGTAGATATCGCAGTGGTGGGAGAAGCACACAAAGAAGATTGCCAAGGGAGAGGGCATGAGATGAAAAGAGGATACTTACTTGGTATGGTCGATAAACGTCGGCTGGTATTCGCTTCAGGTGTAAGCCACAAGTCTAGTGCGTTCTAACAGAAGCAAAAGGACAACAGCAGGACGACAATAAGAATAGTGAAGATGGAGTGTTAATAGGGAACACACAACACCACAGGAAGAGGAGGGGAAGGGATGGGAGAAGGAGAGGAGACGAGGAAAAAGAGAAAAGATCTAGGGCCAACGAGGGAGAATAGCGGGGGAGCGAAGGGGGGTGCAGCGAAAAAGAAAGCACAGCTACAGACGAGCTGTGTAGCTGTGTCTGACAGGCAGCTCGGACAGAACGCACGCCACAAGTGTGATTGGTGTTCCCGTGGGAATCCGAGATGCAGCAGAGTAAGGTGACTGGCTGTGTTGGAGTAGACGGGCCGGGAAGAGTAGGAAGAAGAGCAGATGGATGAATGGAAATATGATGAGGTTAGAAAGAGGAGAAATTGCAGAGAACGAGACGAGATGCAGCCCAAGGTCCCCGTCACATCAGCTCCCGATGAGAAAGCAATGGAGCCAAGCCATTAGGAAGAGGGGGGACAATAATAAAATGGGGGAGTAATAATAGAGAGCAGTAATAGTAGGGGAGTGGGGAGGGATCAGGCTGGGGAATGGAGGAACCAAAGATGCAGTCAGATCAGAAAGTATGGTCTGGAGGTACAATGGATGCGAAAGTAGCCACATAACGCAAGGAAGTAGACGAAACACAGCAGGAAAGACGCAGACATACCCATGTTGAAGACGCGGTCGGGGAATCCAAGCGGAAGAAGCTGAAGGGCGAAAGAAGGGGAGGAAGAGGAGGGATGATGGAGAGGGAGAGACAAGAGAGGCGGACGACGAGGCTTGATTTGACGCCAGAGATGGTCTGGATTCTGGATCCTCCCGCAGTCACAGCATAGAAAGACCCAATTGGTGAAGAAAAGAGAAGGGAAGAGAGGCGGATGGTTGGAGTGGTTGGAGTTGGGTTGGAGGAGGAATTGGGGCGTTTAAAGCTGCCAGATAAGATTCTGGATCTGTGTTAATGAAAGGGAGCGGCAGGCAACCTGGTTTGTGTTGAAACTACAGTCAAGCGATATAGGACCGCTTTGAGTGAAGATAGCTGCGATTGAGTCCAAACACATACTCCATGGGATCAAAAGCAGTTGTCATGAAGAACTGGGGTCTCCATATAGAGCAAACTGACAGCACGTCCCACCTGTTCAGTTAGCCATCTTACCTATAACTAGATTTGAATTTGACTAACGAGACATGTGGACTTTCTCTATATGCAGGTACTACCAGCTAGGTGGCTTAGGATACAGATACAATGTCTGATAGCCCGACGGACATATGTATTGGCTTTTTGGTCAGATGGTTAAGCGGTTAATGATAGCCTCAAGAAGTCATGCACTGTTTAGGAAGTCATCTGGTCTAATATCAAGACCAAGTACCTATAATGCGACCCAAGTCTTGCGTTTTTCATTCCTTGATGCAGGATCTGGCCGGATCAAATTCAATTCTTTCGTAGGTGAAAAACATAGACATAGTATTGAATTGAGACCACCCTATTGTTCTGCGGAGACTTGGTAGATACTGTCACTATTGTTTTTGCGGCTCACGGAATTTCCACGGAGATATAAGTAAACCGCCAAAAAACATCATCCGATGCTATCCAGAACTCCGATCCCTCCACAACCGACCAAACCACACATCAGACCAAAATGGCCCGTCCAGCGCTTCGCCCACTGCGCATCTGTCGCAACTCCCTCCTCTCCTACTCCTGCACCCCCCAGAGATCCATTCTAGCAACAATCACCGCCACAATCCCCCAGAACAACCTCCGCCAACCCGCCGCTCTCCGATCCCATCTTCCTACCCAACGTCTCTACCACTCTCAGCACCATCCCGACCTCCCACCTCACGAATACACCAACTCGCAAACAACCATCCTCTCCGCAGCCCTTAAGCATGTCCCCGCCCACGGCTTTACCAAGGACGCCCTCGTCCTCGGCGCCCGTGACACCGGCTTCCTAGACGTCTCCGTGCAGCTCCTCCCGCGCGGCGAATTCGACCTCATCCTTTTCTGGCTCGCCAGTCGCCGCGGTCTTCTCCGCGCAGCGGTTGAGCAGAATGGTCTTCTGGCGACAAGCGACGGGGTCAATGCCATTCCGGCCTCTGTGGAGGAGAAGACGAAGACACTGATCATGAAGAGGTTGCGCATGAATAAGGATATCAGGCATCAGTGGCAGGATGTATGTTTCTCTTTCCATTTACTTATATTCCAGGAGGTAAACAAGTCTAACAATATGCGGATAGGCTCTAGCGCTAATGTCATACCCCTCCAACATCCCTCTCTCCCTCTCCGAACTCCACGCCCTCTCCTCGGACATCCTTCACCTAGCCGGCGATGCCTCAGTCGACGCGTCTTGGTATACGAAGCGTCTCTCCGTCAGCGCCATCTATGCCTCCGCGGAGGTCATCATGACCCGGGACTCGAGCCCTGATCTGGCGGCTACAGAAGCGTTCGTAACGCGGCGAGTTGAGGATAGCAAGGCTATTGGAGACAAACTCAGCGGTGCGAAGCAGTGTCTTGGGTTCATGGGTTCGACGGCTGTTGGGCTGGGCAGGAGCTGGGGTTTGAAGATTTAATTCGATGTCAATCGTAATAGGAAGCAAAGTGTGCACGGTGTATTTGTGGCTCTCGATGGTAAGCGGGTATCGAAGGACTGTAATTGTATATTATATCCACGATTATCATCATTTTAAATAATCTTTGCGCAGGTCAGACTGAATAAAGCAGCGCTCATAGATTGCCTCAACGCCAACACCAGATAGTTTGAACAAAAACACAACCGAGCCGACCCATTGGCTAGCTATACTATAACACGCGGACCAGCACAAGAAGGACGAGTGCCCGGAAACCTACATCCACAAGCAAATTTTTCCACTCGCCGTCCCACCAGCAACCCAGTTCTTACTTCTATGGAAAACGGCCACCGCAGGTACGGCAGTGATACCATCGCCTCCCAGTTGGGCGAGCTGATCGCCAGAGCCACTGTAGATGTCCACGAAGCGGTTCATGTTTCCGATGCAGAAGCGCTGGATGGCTGATTGTGGATTGAGTTGCCATTGGGGGCGTAGACTAGAGAAGTTAGCATGATGCGCGAGGACTCATCAATACTGGTTAGGTGTATAGAGAACGTACATAGTGACCCATCGACCAGTTTGGCAGTTATGTCGTACAACGGTGTCGGGCTTCATCTCCGAGTCATCAAGGCTGTGTCCTGGCTTCCAGGAGGAGATGCCCTTGGAGCTGAAATCATATAATTTCAACGTATCGTCGTAGGAAGACGTTGCAATCTGTCCGGCGCTGTTGAACGCAGCATGCGAGACTGAGAGGCGACTCTGGTGTTCGCCGATGGGCGTGGGATCGGTTCGGGATAGTTTACGGATATCCCAAAGGCGCATGGTGCGGTCGAGACTGGCAGTTGCAAAGTAGTGCGGGTGCGTTTGGTAAAGCGAGAAGCCACCAATTTTCTTCTCTGATAATTGCCAGGTCGCGGCGGAGCCCTGGCGCTTGGTGCGCATATCGTACCTGCCGAATGCGCCATCTAGGGTCGTCCAGTAAATTGTGTTCATGTCTCCGACAGCCATGTCAAGGCCGGAAATTGGAACGTCTTCTGACGTAGACTCCGGTGCCCACTTCTCGACCGATGAGGTCTTCTCGAGGTCCAACTCACGGATAGAACTGTCGTAGCTTGCAGTGTAAAGATGAGTTGGTTTCGAAGGGTGAACGGTCATTGAGCTGATAGTGCGGGTGTGCGGCTTGAGTGTAACAAGTACTGGGTCAGGGTCGTCGTCGTCTTCATCGTCTTCATTCTTCACGGCCGATGTTGGCTTCTCCTGAGATGCGTCGAGGATCCCGAGGTGACCCATTTTGTCTCCAGCAAAAATCAAGGGCTTCGCTTCAGACGGATGGAATGTCATAGAGTAGATTCGCTCAGGTGTGATTTTAATGCCTATGATCGTCCATAAATTAGCATTTGTCGCGTACGGCGAAGAGGCAACTATCATACGGTTAGGTTCCCAAGCTTCCCACAAGCTCAAGCCATTCATTTCTTTCCTTAACGCCTTCAAGTCCTTGTCATCCGTGGACTTGATGTCCTCATCGCCGAATGTTCGCTGGTACGGTACCGCGACGCCCTTAGTGACCACATCCACGCCGATCAAGGCGTCTCCGGACAGTTTTTGGCCTGACACAAAGAGGTCATTGAAGGAGAAAGAGTCCGATTTCCGGACCCTCTTCGCCCTTTCCTCCTCTTGCCTGCGATCATACTCCTCGTCCGCCTTGCGCTTTGCAACTTCGCTATCCGCCGCTATTCCCCTCAGTCGCGACGATGTGCGCCGGGGGAGCGGAGACTCCTCCTTCTTCACCTTAGGCGCAGGCTTCTTCTTGGGCTTTGATGGAGTCCCAGTTGTGCCTCTCGGCATCTTCGAGGGGAAGACGCCCGCCGAGTGCGCATCGAGGCTGAGCTTCTTGAGAAGCGCATCGCGTTCGGCGATATTGGCGAGACGCTGCTTCTCAAAATCGGAAAGTTCTTCCTTGACCATGGCGACCAGTATGGCGAATTCAATTGACCGTTGAAGAAAGAAATCGAGTGGCGTTCCAGTTCTTGTTCGCCATCGCGGAGTTGAAAAGCGGGAACGCGTACAGGCAGCCGCGTGGTCACGTGGGTCTACCTAGGTCTAAATTGTTCTCTAGGAAAAAGTTCCATCGGAGTCTGGATAATCCACAGTCTCACCTGCAAAGATGAGCTTACAGCGTCGCGCAGCTTCAAACTGGCTGGCCCAGGCCCATGCCATTTGCAATTCTCCTGCCCCGTTCTTATATCAAACAAATACACTCACCAGCATTCGACCCCGTTCTTCGAACTTTCGGTCTCAGCTAAGCTCGAGCTATTCGACCTCCGATCCCTCCAACTCCTCTTCCATTGATTCGCACATACAAACCGAAGGTGACAGTTTCACTGAACCCCCCAGCAATGACACCGGCGAAGGTGGCCCGCCAATTGCCTTCAATCCTACCCCTGCACCTCGGAGAAGCTTCTTGCGGACGAAAGCCGAAACTATAGCCAGGCCTGTTGTCAGGGAAGGACGATGGCAAAAGAGAGAACGGTCGGATAAACTGGGACGGAAGCCAAGATTGACGACACACGAGACGCGGACACTTGCGGGCCTCATCTCGAGACTGGATCCCGAGAAACGCCCAATCCCACAAGGGCTGGCGCAAAAATCAAGAAAGTCAGATGAGTTGGGCTCGGTGAAACCGGGAGAAGTGGACGCGGAGATCTCTGAAATCTTCGCCACGGTGTTAAAGGATGTAAGAAACCTACAAGGTCCGCCCGAAGATGGTAAGGTTTGGAGTCCGTGGCTTCGGGAAAAGGAAAGAGAACAGGAAAGACAAAAGGAAAAACTCGAAAACAAAGTTTCACAGACTTTGGATGAAATTATTGCTTTACCAGGACAACCCGGGGCTAAGGAAGAGACGAAAGCCGATGAACAATCCAAGGCTGCCGTGCAAGCTCATAAAAGCGAGCTCGGCGAACTCATCCTAACCGATGAAGGGCTAGTGGAGCTCTTAAGAACAGAGCAGATAACTCTAGCTCGGGCTATTGAAATAGTCACTGCTCGCGAAGCTGCGAAGATCGACTCAGCTCTCCACGGTGCCGTTGAGGGCACTACAGACAAGGACTTCTGGAAGGTATGCCAGGACAAAGTCTTTTCTTTGGTTCAGTACCTACGCAGCGACGAGGGAGTTGCATCTACATCTTCATCCGTGACCGATTTCTCAGTCCCTGCTGGCGTCCCTATTGAACCCATTGTGGCAGCAATCTACCCCAAAGTCCTACGCTTAGCGTTCGTCCTCCTAAACCTGCACTTCCCCGACTCCCACTTCATGAGCCAATTCCGCACAGCGATCACCTCGCTCGGTCGTGAGTCCGCAACCCTAGGCTTTACCACCGGCCTTTTTAACGACATGATCTACCTCCACTGGCGCGTGACACACGATTTTCCAGAAATCATCGCGCTATGCCGCGAGATGGAAGTCACGGGTGCGCACCCGAACAAGTCCACCATCGGTGTCCTTGAGGGCATTGTGCGCGAGCGCAATGCGGACATCGCGAAGCGTCAGGCCGGTGAGATGTCAGAGCAGCCATGGTGGGATCTCCCGGATAATCGGAGGGCCATGCGTATGATGGTTGGGGAAGACGGGGCGCTTGCGAGGCTTAGGAGACAGTTGAATGAAGGGAGGTCGAGGATGCAGATTTTCAAGCCGTACTTGTAGTACGGTGTTAATTGGGGCGCCTGGTGTGTCACCTTATTCTTTATTTTGTATTATACCTTACGGCGCATGGGCTGTGGGCAGTATATATATGATAAATAACCACACGTCTCTAAAAAGAAAATTAGTATATACCCAACACACCATAATGTTTTCAGCCGAATCGCCGACTACTAGAACCCTAGGTTATCAATAGCGATGTCTTGAAACTTCCCTACTATCGAGTCCACTTACGTACCATGCGTACTTTGAACCTGGCTTTAACATAAAACGTTTCTTCATCGTCTGCATCTTCTGGCCTGCATATAATCGAGTCCATCTGCCCAGGTATTCATGATATGCACATGGCCTATAGCTTTGAAAAGAGTCAGCATACAGGGTAAACACCAAAACATACGTGATGCATAACCAAATAAAGTAGTTATCAGCACAAGCGGATCTTAACTATACGCAGGTCATAAAGTACATATGACCTATTCCCAAAAGACGCGCAGGAAGACCAAGTAGGAGATAGAAGAGTGAATTGTCTAACCATAAATCGCATGCTCATTTCATCTATGCCAACAAAAGGGACCCATGGACTATTTACACAACAACAGAAATAGATCTAGAACCACCCACACTGTACTCAATCGCAACAAGAGCCCCAAGACGAAAGAGAGCAATGGCATCATTTCATATGTACCGTGAATAGCCATAGCTCCTTGGTGTCTGCATTTCTTGCAAAGGGGTGCTCTTGATCGCCACTCAACACATACGCAGATAGACATGGACGAAACGGCCATCACAACAGGGTATCAACACCATGAAAAAAAATGCTTTCCAAAAGAGAAAGAGAAGAAGTTATAGAAAGAGACACAGAAGGGAAGAGCGTTAATCGTGAGATAGCATATATGGTGGAGATTGGAGAGGTTATGGCGAGAAGTGAGTGAGGGCTGAGGACTGAGCCTCAGCCAAGAAGCAAAGCATAATCATATACACCAGAAGATACGGAATCAGTAAGTGCAAAGCCACCCCATGTTATACAAAACAAGTGACAGGTCCGTTCTAGGTTTACCTGTCTTTTTTGTTTATGTTTCAACCAAAACTGGTTCAACCAGCGGCGGCGGCTGGACTGCGGAGGATCCATCGTGAGTCTTGATGATCATCGTCGCCATCAAGATTCGTTCCGTAGTTCCTCGCGGGACTGCTGCTGGTTGGCATCCCGGTCTTTACCCTTGCGCCTGGACGGTGCAGGAACAAAATCGAAGAATGTGCGATATTTACTCGTTGTCTCCTTAGTTATGCTAGACCGGCGGGATTTGGCAGCATCGGGGTATTCAAGCGAATAGGTCGAGGAATTTTTGGAGCTCCCGGTACTATCTCGAGGTTCAGACCACCTGGGTATTGAGAACGGCACTCTGCTCTGGTCCCAGGTGGCGGAAGACGAACTCGGGGGAGTCTCCTCATCAGCTTCCTGGGCATGGTCGGTTGAGCGGCGGGGGAGGGACGGCCTGGAGGTAAAATAACCGATGGAGTTACGGTGACTTCCGGTCAGAGACGCCGCTGATGGCACGTTGGCTTCAGGAGCGGGCGCCGAAGAAGGAGCGGGAGCTGAAGCGGGAGCAGGCGTTGTGGGCTTGGATGAGCTTTCTCCGTAGAGCGTCACAGAACGCTCTAAAGAGTCGACTAATTCTTCCCACTTGATTTCGAGGTTGCCGTTAGGACGTTCCGCCAGCTCCGCCCTGTTTAAGCATTCCTTGGTTCTTTGCTGTAAACGGATGGCAATCTCATGGAATTTCAAGATCGCAGGATCTGATTCTTCCAGTTGTGATAGCCGGGCTGGCGCGACTTCTAGCCATATTCTGATCAAATTGGCAAAGCTTCGTGCATGATCAATGAGGAAAGGAAGGCTTGGGAACCCCTCACGCGAGGGTGGTGGTAGACGGCCGAGAATCTGGATTGGAGTGGCATAAGATGGTGTGACGATGGGTGTAGGGCGGTCGGCCGGTATCGCACAGATGGAGTCGACGAATGTTTTGAATTCATTCCGGTTGCTGTTCAGGAACTTGTTCATTGGCTCCATCCAAGGTTCCTTGCTCCCAAACGTTGTCATGTTGGCCAGGCCTTGCAGGGCTTTGGCAATCAGTGTCAGAGTGCGTTGGGCGCGAGGACGGGGGTGATCTAGACATATGTGAGCTATGAAACTCTTGCAGGCGCGATGGGGATAATTCGTCATACCTTTGAGCAGTCCAAACAGCTTCGGATTTAGAATTGCTGGACAAAAGAACCGCAAGAAGAGAAAGCCAGAGACACTGCTATACGTAACGGAGCGGAGGAAATCGCCATATCGATCATCAGCACAAGCCCGAATGTGTCGGAAGATAAGTCTCAACTCCGCCGGGCACCGTGAGGCAGAACTGGCTATAGACTTCCAGACACTCGTGGTAAGGCTGACCAGATTCTTCCAGTTGCGTTCGAGATCGTCTGCACGATGTATTCGAGAGGGGTCAACTTCGCATTCAGGGTCAGTCTCATCGATCTCATATAGCCGTTCACCAATTGTTTCTTCCAAATATTCCTTGCCGAGGCGACGCATGTGGTAATCAAGGGCTTTGGTGAGAAGCGAGTTTCCTCGGAAAAGAAGATTCGCCTCTAAGGTTGCGGTGCGCCCCAGGTCGCGAACCAGGACCTCTCTATCTTGGCCATGCTCCCTAGTGTCGTTGGAATGGAGTCGCGACGTATACCGAAGTCTGTTGGCTGTGGACTCCTTGTGGATACCGTCTATCTCGTCCTCAACGAGGGCTGATATCCATTCAACTGTTGTCCCTGACACTTGATAGATGTTCATAAGTGCTTCGGACAGTTGATTCAACTCGGATGACATGATTTGAGCCATATTCACTGTGAGCCCGTTACCGAAAGAATGCAAAATCTCAGACATTGGGGCGTATTCGTGAGACATGAGAACAACCGTCTCCTCCATCCGAGCTCGCATCAACATCTCTCCTACACATTGGTCCCTATCATCCAGGATTGGCCACCACTTTTCGGTCTCCGTACCTGGCTCGAGGTCGTCAAGTTTGATATCCACCCTCCCACACATGGCGTCATGAGAAGATACCTCAACATCATCCAATAAGCGCGTTGGGTTTGTGTCCTGGTTCAAAGCATACGCGCCATGAGCTACTAGAGACCAGTCGCGTTGCGCTGGGTTAAGGGTTTTCACCATGATAGAAACCTGAGATAGGACTGTTGGAAGATCATTGAAAGTGAACTCTTCTCGCCAGAAGGGATTAGGTGTGCGATACTTTATAGCCGTCTTCGCTCGGATCTCACCATCCAAAAGGACCTCGGTATAGTAGTCGTTGGTTGCAGATGGTGCAGCGGTCGTGAAGTGAGACCGGGACTGTTTACGACTTCGAGGTGTCTCGTCCGCGCCCTTATTACCGAACATTTTCGCTTCGGTCACCTTGACCGTTAGCATTCTCTCAATTCTGAACATATCGGCAAGAGACGTTGTGCCAGTATTGCCGGTGTCGATAGAGCCCGGTGTTTTCACGGACTCATCATCGGCTGGAATTGCCGGGCCATAAAGTTCTGGCGTGCTAAAGGCTCGCAGGAGCACAAACCACACTTCAAAGAGCACCCGACTTTCCAGCGCAAGATAAAGCGGGCGCGTCAACCCAGAAACAGCATGCACCGCATATTGCGGGTAGATTGCTATGCAAAACTCATCTTCCAAAACAGAGGATTCTAGCTTCTGTATTGCGCAGCGTGAAAGTTGAGATAGTTGAATGGTGGTGACGTGTGAAATGTCAGACTCGGTGAAGAGCCTGAACGCACCATTCTCCTGCAGCGTGCAGCTCACCTTTTGCCAGGATGAAGATAAGGCGCGCTGTTGCCGGAAGGTTGAAATGCGACGACCGGAAGATGGGCGAACGCCCGAGGCGCTAGGTCTATCCCATAGAAGCATTTTCCCTACTTTTATGATGGCGGCGTCCTTCTGGGCAGTACTCTCAGAGTTTCTCCTACTTTCTGAGTTCCTTCGGCGATCGACCACGCGACGATCAATTATCGTGACGGACTGTGGCTTCGTCATCTTGTTTTGTACGCCCTTAGGGCGGATGGGCTGCCAGCACAACAAGGCTGCGAGCCAGGAATCGAATGTCTCGCTCACGTGAGGCCGCAATTCTACTCCAAGGCCGGACGTAAAGGTAGAAACGCTGAGGTAATTCGCTCGGGTTTCCGGATCCACAAGGGAGCGAACTTGACAACCACGTAGATCTGGAATCAGTGTCTTCGCCAAGGCGGGCTCCCCTTTTGCTTGGTAAATCAGACTGCCCATGGCGACATTGATAGCACAGTAACCGGAAGACCAAGCGGTGGTGGAAGATGTTCGGAAAGACAGAATGCCGTGCATCCTTCCGCATGTAGTCTTCATAAGCTGCAAGATCTTGGAACTATCCGTATTCGGCAATGATGAGGATCCTAACCCCGAACTTCCAGGAGACCTACTCATCCGGGGACGACTGGGTGTTCGGGGAGAGAATGTGGGAGACTGTATAGATGGAAAACCGATGGACGACGCCGATTGATCATCAGCACTCTTGGGTTGAGGGGTCGTATTGATCGAGCCCAAGCGGTTCCGCGTGCGGGTGAGAAAAGAGCTTGACGATATATCGCTTCGTTGGTCGTCCAAAGTGGTGGTGCGGGACCGCGCCCGCTGATTTCTCAACTCCGAATGCATATCATCTTCATCCCCCGTGGAATAGTATAAGTTGAAGTCGCGTCGAGACTCTCGATCTGGGGCTCTTGTCCGGGCGGCACGCGGAGAAGGGGCAGCACTCGCAGGGAGATGCTCCACCTCCGATGCAGGTGAATTGTTCCCGGTTTCAACGGAGTCAGGGGTCACGGTCCGAATGGTCGCTTCCCTGAAGCTATCCGGGTAAACCATGCCGTGGCGGTCCTTCGAAGATGACTTCTTGCTGGGCCTACGTTCCACCGGACGGCTGTAAGATCCCTGGTGCATAGAATTCCGCTTGTACCCGTTCGAGCTCTCCGACTCCATCCTTATCCGCAGGCGGCAGCGGCGCTCCGAGAGAAGTCGCTATGGAACGCAAGCAGGCGGAAGCACATATATCGATTATAGTCTGGTGGGTATGTTACCATGCAGCGGCAGGCTGGGACCCGACACAAACTGCGCAACCGACCTCGAACAATTGAGAGCCTTGTCGTCCAATGGATCGCTAGATGAACGCATGGAGTCCAGATAGGAGGAAACCGGTAGAGTCGCACATTCGGTCGAGGCCGGGCGTCCTGGGGTACAGGTGAGAGCTGAAGACACGACACGGACCACCGGGACAACTGTAGGTTCAGGGGGATCGTGCCGGCGGGTGGGCGAGGGCAGCGAGTATGTCTGTTGAAGATTCAAAGGGCGAAAGAGGCACAAGCCGATAACAACGGGGGTGGATAGGTCGTGGTCGAACGGTCAATTTGGCATGGCGGTGTTGTTGCTAGAAAGCCATCGTAGAGCGGATTAGCTTCTTGGGGAGGGGAAGAGTGTGGAGGAGAGAAAAGTGGTACGGAAGCACGGCGGACGGTCTGCTGGCTGGTTCAACCGCCCGCCAGCAACGTGATATCATTGGGCTGTCCATTGGAGAGGGGACATACTGTCTGTCTGCTTCTTCTCTCTTCAGAGGTTCAGCCAGCCCTGGCTATTGCCAGACGCGTGAATGTACCGGTTTAATTGGTTGCGATTGAAGCGATCGATCGATTGATTTTGATCTCGCCCTCGCTGCGCGGCTTGGAGGGCTGCAGATCGCACGTCAAAACGAAATCCTGGGGTGGGAGTACTTTTTTCAGGATTAGTACTTTCAGGATTTCTTCTGTTTGTACAACAGGAGGTTTCGGTTTTCGGGTACAGGGTAAGCGAGAGGAGGACACAAAACGGCGCGGTTATTAGAAGGAGTGAGGTGGGGAGGAGAGGGATGATCAAAGTGAGAGGCAGCTGGGATTTGGAAGAACGAGATGGGCAGAAGATAGCGACACCTCCAATGAGTCGTGCACTGCACGGTATATCTAGAGTGCTCAGCAAACCGCTTGATCGAGTCCTCTGTATAGTTCCAGGACAAGACTTCTCTTCTTCTTCTTCTTCTTACGTACTCTAGACTAGGCTATGCTAGCTTTCCTCTTCATTGATCCTTCCAGGGCGGCAATCTTGATAAGGAACTCCGAACGAATGATGCTTATGAATTCCGAGCAGAAAGCGACGATAGCAAGACGAACACTTGAGTCGGTGTGTCGAAAGAGTTGATATACCGCTCTCATTGGAGCCCACTTCCCATAACGACCCTTTCCTCTCCTGTTCGTGGTCGAATCATGCCGTCTTCTGCAGGGAAGCTCCCACACCTCTGTTGAAGAAAGGATTCCCCTCCTCTTCCTTGTCTCCGAGCGTCCTCCGAAGAAGCTTCGGCGTCCACCACCTTGACAGGGATAGTCTCTACTAAGCTGGTCTGGACTCCTATCACTCCAGCACCGATGGCCAGTGCAGCCCGAGAGATCATCATGATGCCTGCAAGTCATCGCGGAAGTCCTGGGGTAGTCTCCCGAAGTGGACTTGCTGACGGGCGAATATCGGCCCCTCTGCCAGGACTAAGGAGCAATACTATCACCATCGCAGGTTACCAGTTCCCACTTTGTTACGAATCCGAAATCCTAATTTTTCGACTGCCAGACATGATTCAGGTTGGTTGATTCCGGCAAGATGACTGATTCAATTCTAGATTTGGAATTTGGACAGGGAAGATGTCTAGCCTTCTAGAAACGGCAATATAATAGCACTCGCCACATGGATACATCAAAGGAATATGTCTCAAATGATACGGCATACATACCTATTCCTCGGCTTACCCCTCATACTAACAGCGGTAAAGCTTATTAGAACCCTGGTCCCTGAACATATATATGAACTATCTTGATAGACCTGCAGCATGCCTCCACAGAGCTGCAGGGCCAAGATGACTCCCGGCAGTCAACTTCGCTGGAAGCTCGTAACAAAGCCACTACTCGTCCATCGGGCGTAGACTACGCTATACTCCGTATGTTACCCAAACGCTTGGAGCAAGGCAAATATTCATCCGTGATTCCTATCTTCCTGACTCGTACATAGGTATCAGGGATTTGTGATTTGCGATTTGCGATCCAACATCCCGCGGAGCAGCAGTCCGCTGTCAAAGAGGTACCTATGCTTTGTTGCTTGATTTATGGGAGAATTTAGTTGAGTGACTGGTCCTAGGTGGCTTTTCAAGCCACTTTATATATTTTGATTCTTTGAAACATCAATTCGTTCAAGAATCCTGCATGCAGTAGCACGTTGTATACCCTTGTTCGGTCACATGATTTGTGCCTCAGGCTTTAAGGCTGCCACAGACCACTTGCATCATCTACTCCGTAGGCCGGTGCGGCTCCCGAGCTTCTGTCAATGTCATGAGACGAGGCTGTTCATCACCTGCTATCTTGTAGACTTGTCATAATACCTACAGGCAGCATTTGACTACCTCGCCGAAAGGCGAGCCATAGATCTTTTCCACTCTCATCGCCTAACTATATCTATCACCTCCCTCTTCGGAGCTAATTTCCCGCTTGTCGCATCTCCGCATCTCGCTTTCTTGAGCCATCTACCTCCTTGGATGGCCGCTATCTAAAGAATGACTTTGGCTTCGAGGCCGCTTCTATACGCTGATGCTCATGTATGTTATGCTGATGATAGGATCTATTCGAAAAGCTTTTAGCCCAGCATGATGGCCTCAAACGTCCTATCTCGATTCCTTCCTCCAAACGGACAGTCGGTATACGAGACGATACGCCAACACGACAATGACTCTGATGTTTCCGATGTGGAGGAACGTGCCGGCTTGGTTTATGATGGCGACGTCAATTTGGAAGATCGGTTCAGCGATCGTGAGCTTGAGGAAGCCATGGCCGACGCTACGAGAGAGGGATCTTCGAGCCCGAGCGATACGTTTCTGAACCGAAGAGGACCTCAAGTACGCCCAACTAGCTCTGGGCCCCGGCGGCGTAAACCTAGCGACCCCAAGTGGATGCAATCAATATCTCCCCGGCCTGAACCCCTCGACGACGACGATAATGACGATGAACATGATGACGATGTCCCAGCTTCTCTTCTGATGGAGGGCCAGCATGATGATGATGATTTGAGGATGCGGCTTCCTCCTCCGCCTTCCCATCACCTCTCCGACCTGCAGCCTTCTCGCACCGCTCGCTCTCCGCGCCGTGAGCACATTCGATGGGACACAACCAGGGATCAACGACCTTCGCACGATGTTTCTAGCCGAAATCGCTTAAAAAGCCTGTGGTCAGCGGGTCACCCCAATATGGCCATGGTAGATCCGAAGGAGAAAGCGATGTGGATGTGGGCAAACGTGGAGAACTTAGATAACTTCTTGAAAGAAGTCTATACATACTTTCTGGGCAATGGGATATGGTCCATCCTGCTAAATCGGGTTTTGAGTATCCTGTGCGTCCACTTTCCACTTCCTGTGGCTTTATTACTGGACTTATGCTGACCACTTGTAGAACCTTTGCATTCATCGTGGGGTTTACAACGTTTCTTACAAGCTGCATCGACTACCATCTTGTTCGGACCAGCAAAGCCTTAGATCAAATATTAATATCAAAGTGCACCAGCAATATGTCGGCGTCTTCTACTTTCTTGCTTTGGTTGCTCTGCGTCTTCTGGATTGGCAAGGTCTTCCAGTTGCTGTTGGATATCAGAAGACTCAAAAACATGCATGATTTCTATCATCATTTGCTCGGGGTCTCCGACGCAGAGATCCAGACAATATCCTGGCAGGAAGTCGTTAGCCGTTTAATGACGCTGAGAGACGCCAACCCCGCCACTGCTGGTGCTGTATCAGCGTATAATCGCCGATTATTGGGCAGCCAATCCAAACAGCGAATGGATGCTCACGATATTGCAAACCGTCTGATGCGCAAAGAAAACTACCTGATCGCCTTGATCAATAAGGATATCCTGGATCTAACGCTTCCAGTCCCGTTTCTACGGAACAGACAACTATTCTCCCGGATCCTGGAGTGGAATATCAACCTATGCATAATGGATTATGTCTTCAATGAGCAAGGCCAGGTACGACCACTATTCTTGAAAGATACCCACCGAAAGGCATTGAGTGAAGGCTTGCGACGACGCTTCATGTTTTTTGGTATAATGAATATCTTCATAGCGCCTTTCATCGTCGTCTACTTTATGATGCATTATTTTTTCCGCTATTTCAACGAGTTCAAAACCTCCCCGTCACAACTCTCTTCTCGCCAGTATACGCCACTCGCTGAATGGAAATTCCGTGAGTTCAATGAACTATGGCATCTATTTGAGAAGCGAATCAATTTGTCGTACCCTTCTGCTAGCCGCTACGTCGACCAGTTTCCCAAAGACAAGACCGTCCAGGTTGCTGGCTTTGTGGCCTTTGTTTCCGGTGCGCTGGCCTCTGTTCTGGCTCTAGCATCAATTTTAGACCCGGAGCTGTTCCTTGGATTTGAGTTGACGCACGATCGGACGACGCTCTTCTATCTTGGTGTCTTCGGATCTGTCTGGGCATTTGCCCGGGGAATGGTTCCTGATGAGACCCTTGTATTTGACCCCGAATACGCTCTGCTTGAAGTGATCGAACTTACTCACTATTTTCCAAGCCATTGGAAAGGGAAACTGCATAGTGACGACGTTCGAAGAGACTTTGCTGTATCGTATCAGATGAAAATCGTTATTTTCATGGAAGAGATACTGAGCATGATATTTACGCCGTTTATCCTGTGGTTTAGCCTACCCAAGTGCAGCGATCGTGTGATCGATTTCTTTCGGGAATTTACTGTTCACGTCGACGGCATGGGTTATCTCTGCTCTTTTGCTGTCTTTGATTTCAAGAAGGGTACGAACGTTATTCCGCAGGGACACACCAACCAACGCGACATGCGGCAGGACCCACGCGTAGACTATTTCTCGACAAAGGATGGCAAAATGCTCGCTTCATACTACGGGTTCTTGGATAACTATGGCGGGAACCCTCGTGCTACCAACTCAAACAAGCGCGCGTTCCATCCTCCACCAACGTTTCCATCTCTAGGATCCCCATACTTGGTCGGTGTTGGCAACATTGGGAACCGGCCAGACCTGGCCCAGACTCGGTTCGGACCGGCATCTGCAGCCATCGGCCAACAATCGGTGATCGGTGGCCGATTGGGGGCTCTCGGCGGTGGTGACACTGAATCTCCTGCCCCCTCGCTCCTCCTCGACCCGCACCATCAACCATCAGCGTCTGAATTCCGGCCAGCAACCCGCGTCGCACCGCACAATCGTCACCGACCGGCCCGTCCTCCGCCAGCGCCCGTGTCTGAATCCGTTTACAAGGACGGTGGGACGTCTATTGCAGCCGCGCGTCCCCCAGCCCCTAGGCAAAGAAGCGGGCCACTGCATGCAACCTCTGGGTCAGCAGGCGATACTAACGTCGAAGACTCATGGGGCATGAAATCAGGCGACGAAGTAAACGAGGAGGATGCGGAGGAAGAGAACGTTGACGACATAGTAGGGGGCGCGGGGGTTCTTGGATTGATTCAGCAGTTCCAAAAGGCGAACAAGGATAACCGGCCTCGTACGGCTGTTGGTCTCTAAGATACCTTGTGTCATCACTATCCTATTAAATGCCAAGGGCCATAGAATTCTTCTGTCCGTCCCCCGCAATGCGTAGGAACAGTGCGGAGTATGGTGGCACTAGCAAGTAGTAACAACCGAACAAGTGCGGAGCAACGACGCATCCTATTGTCCTACACAGACCGCTCGGAGACTCTGCCCAATAATGACAGGGCCGTCCATAATTACACAGGCTGATCGGACAAATCTTGTGATGGTACGTAGGGTCCGTACTACTGCTCGGACGTATTATCAGGGTCCTTTTCAGGGTCCATCGGCTGGCTGTATCGTACCGTATTCTTACCAGGGTCGAGACCCTTTATTGCAGCATCGTCCCTGAAGCCTGAAGGAACCTCGGGGAATTCGCACACAACCCACGACGATGGCTGTCCCCGAGGCATCCTTTTGTAGGTCTTGACTGAGGCCCCAATGATTCCGTACCATTCTTCACACTTGAGACAGTGAATTGTGGATGGATTGCTGGTGCCTGATGTCATTGCAGCCAGCTCCGCTCCGTTCAGCCACAAGGGTCTGGGCAAGCTCCGCTTAGCGCTCGCTATAAATCAAAATCACCTGCACGAATGGACAGTTCAACTTTCAAGGAAATCCTTGAGTCCGAGCATATCCTATCGTTTCTCAGCCTTGCAGCTGGTTCTGCGTGTAACTGTCAATCCTTGGCTGAATTTCTTCGAGACCCCAGTTCTCTTCATCCTATCCACCATCACAACTCGTTACCCTGCACGCGACCTCGCGACCACACAGCTCAGTTCCCGAGATGCGCTGAATGACTATTCCAAACTCTTCTCTATTATAATCACTCTCTACTGCCAGCGAGTGATCTTGTCCTTTGACGTCCATTCATTTCAGCGCCGCTGCGCCTTTACCCTCGTTTACTGCGTTTAACCACGCTTCTCCCACTTTTCCTTTTCCTACCCCCTACTTTCTTAGCAGGGGATTCGCCGACCATGTTTCGAGCACGACGATATCGCATTTCTCTGGTGTTCGCCGCCATATTTGTCCTACTTGTACTCCACTTTAGCCGGTCTCACAGTCACGATCAATCAGCGATTTTACAGGCCCCTCCGCCGCCCGTCGATCATCATACTCCCCCTTTCCCGGATCCGAAGGTCAAGGACACGGACACAAGTAACAATGGCGAGGCCACCAGTGGGCCTCCTGCGCTGGAACAACCCGGACAACATCAGCCACCACCTTTCACAGGTCCAGATGACAGCTCTGCTGTGTCAATCGAACATCCGAGCATCCCGAACAATGCACCATCCCAGGTCCATGAAGTGGGCGGCGCAAAGCCCCAGACTGGTGCACAGACCCAAAGTACACATGATGAAGTTGATGATGTTACTACCTCGATACCCCACTGGAAGCCAATGCCCGAGCGGCATCCGATTAGCCCGGAGTCTCTGATCAAGCTTCCAACTGGGCCGTCAAAGGCGCTGCCCCAACTACAAGCGAAGCTCAAAGACGAGTCGTCATCCGACAAAATGCAGCGACTGCAACAGCTTGACACTATTAAGTCGGCGTTTCTACATGCGTGGAACGGTTATAAAATATCCGCGATGGGCCATGACGAGGTTAGACCCCTTCGAGGTGGATACAAGGACACCTTCAATGGCTGGGGTGCAACTCTTGTCGATGCTTTGGATACTCTGTGGATAATGGATCTCAAAGAGGAATTCTCCATGGCAGTCGACTATGTGAAGAAGATCGATTTTACCACCAGTACCAAGAAAGAGATCCCAGTTTTCGAGACCGCAATTCGCTACCTAGGCGGCATGCTCGGCGCCTACGATATTTCGGGACACAAGTACGATGTACTCCTAGACAAGTCTATTGAGCTTGCGGATGTCTTGATGGGCGCCTTTGACACGCCGAACCGGATGCCAACTCTCTATTACAAATGGAGTCCAGAGTATGCATCCGAACTTCGCCGAGGCGATTTCAAGGCCGTCCTTGCGGAGCTTGGCTCACTCTCTATGGAATTTACACGTTTGGCGCAGTTGACGAAGCAGGATAAATACTACGATGCTATTGCACGTATTACCAATGAGCTTGAAAAATATCAAGATTCAACCAAGCTTCCCGGTTTATGGCCTCTCAACCTGGACGCGTCCGGATGCAGAAGGGTTCCAGGTATCTCACGAGAGCCTGCTGCAGCTGGGCAGCCGGTCAGAGGGTCCGCTTATGAGATCAATTCTACGAGCTCTGCAGTCCCACTTCATGCGAGACAAATCCATGAAGGCGCAGAGCCAGCCCACTACGGAGCTGATCATTCGGAAACGGAACCTCTGGAATCAATTGACACTCGAACACCTCCCCCAAAGCAAGATTGTTCCGCGGGCCTCAACAATCAACTTTCGGGCATGGACAAATTTGGGCTTGGTGCCCTTGGTGACTCTACATACGAGTACTTGCCGAAAGAGTATATGCTGCTAGGCGGTAACAACGACCAGTACCTGACCATGTATCAAAAGGCCATGGACACAGTACGAGAGCAACTTGTTTACCAGCCGATGCTCAAGAATAATCGCGATGTCCGCTTTTTGGCTACGGTCACCATGACAAAGGATCTTGACGCAAATCCTCCAGGTCGTACCATTTTCTCCTACGAAGGTACTCACCTTACCTGCTTCGCCGGAGGAATGTTTGCCATCGGCGCCAAGTTATTCGGTATCGAAAAAGACCTCAAGCTGGGTAGTCAGCTGACGGACGGCTGTGTCTGGGCATATGAGGCCACCAAATCCGGGATCATGCCGGAAGCATTTCAGCTGGTCCCTTGTAAGAAGGGCGAGCCCTGCGAGTGGGACGAGGATGCATACTACATGGCTATGGATCCTTACGCCGACAAACGGCCCATTTCACACAGTAAGCGATTTGCCGATCCTGAAAAGGGAAATTGGCATGTCGTCGCAACCCCCGAATCGACTCCATCTGCCAAAGAAGATGGAACCGAAAAATCGGCCGCCACTGAAGGGCGACATGTCGGTACAGCGGCCGGGGCCGGCGCGCTCTCGCATGAGGAATTCGTTACGGGGAAGATCCTCAACGACCGACTTCCGCCTGGCATGACAGGGATCTCAGCTCGCAAGTACCTCCTTCGTCCGGAGGCGATCGAGTCTGTATTCATCATGTTCCGCCTTACAGGAGACCCTATCTGGCGCGAGAAGGGTTGGAAGATGTTCCAGGCTGTGGACAAAGCCACGAAGACGGAGTTGGCCAACTCGGCCATTTCCGACGTTACCGTTGATGAGCCGCGGCCCGTGGATAGCATGGAGTCATTCTGGCTTGCAGAGACTCTGAAATACTTCTACCTTCTATTTAGCGATTCGAGCCTAGTGAGTCTTGACGAATATGTCTTGTAAGTGAAGTCTAACCACGTTCTACTACGGCCTGCTAACTTCTTCCTTCTAGGAACACTGAGGCTCATCCATTCAAGCGTCCTGTGTACTAAGCGATATTGTTAGCCTGTATCCATATGATGCGACTTTTGCATGTAGAAGTATCGATCGCGAACCTAGCTAGCCGGCTTGCGCTCATCAGAGGGGACTTTGTGTACCTTTCCGGCCCTTTGGTTATGTCTCTCTATATACTACATCAAACACTTATATAATAGCATTGTGTACTCAGATCCTGCGTACTGTGGAATAAATATAGAATGGGCGTTGAGTGGCTCCGCACTAGAGGGACTTGGGTGGGTTCAGCCACGCTTTATTTAGTCAGAGGAGTCTCGCTCTCGTCGTCATCGCCAACCGGGCAACCTGCCACTGCTTCTCCTCCCTTTGCTTCTCTCCTTGTCCCGCTCCCTCGTTCTCTGGATCCATTCTTGAACTTTAATTTTAGAACGATTGGCAAAGGCGCCAACGCTTCCTCGCCTCTCCTTCGAACGGAGCGCACGGCCAACTTGTGTGACGGGCGCAAGTCGGGATGAGTGAAGCAGAGACCCAACAGGCCCGAGGACGACGATCGAGTTGTGGGAAATGGAGCTTGAGGTCTCCGTGGATAATGAGCAGCAATTCTGGGCCAGTATGTTCTCCGTGTCCTAAGATTTCCGTGCTTGGTGTCACCGTTTCTGAAACTGACCTGTTCCGCTCCTGCGTAGACATCCAAGCGATTGTATCCGCCCCTTGCTCCACGGAAGACTTGATTGATGATGCACTACGAGCGTACCTGAGTTTGACGGCTAAATATAAAGGTAACCCGGCGATATGTCCCACAAATACTGCCCATAACATGCTCTAACCAGTCTCCGCAAACCCCTCCAGAGCATTATCTCCAGTCCGAGTACGAGGTTACAACATGTTCGTTCCAACTGCTTTCGTCCGCGCTCTTTGTCGCTCATACGGACTATATTCGGCGACAGATGATATACGCTTTACTGCAGGTACCGCTCGCTATTAATCCCGTCTTCGCGAGAATCGCTATTCATGCCCCAGATAGGAAGATGATCCCATGATACTTCATATGATTGCCTCCTTCCTCCTCTTCGACGGCCGGCAACATGAGGTTCCACTCGTTATGATGAATGAGGAGGGTGCGTTTCCGCGTTTACTTGAGTTGCTTCAGGTGCAAGCGTTGCGCATGGATGATGACAGTGCGGCGGGATTACATCGGCTTTTGATGGACCTCTTGTATGAGCTGTCGCGGATACAGAAGATCAGAATTGAAGACCTGAGTGAGTCTAATGGGCTTCGGTAAATCGTCGCCATGATTGGATTACTGACGTGCTCGTATTCAGTTCTCGTGGACGACGACTTCGTACGCGGCCTATTCGACATCATTGAGCATTTGTCGTATGACGCCAATGACCCGTATCACTATCCCGTCATTCGCGTGCTGGTATGTCCCAGTTTGTGATATTTCCAAGGCATTTACTGATTTGCGCGCCAGTTGGTTCTGAATGAGCAGTTCATGATATCCGCCCATAACCCTGACGAAGGATCGCCATCGGCCCCGTTGACGAACAAGGTCATTAAAGTACTGTCTATGCATGGGAACTCCTATAAAACCTTCGGTGAGAATATTATTCTATTAATAAATAGAGAAGGTACTTTGCCAGTCAGGCCATTTCGCGTACTATGATCTGACCTTTCGGCAGCTGAAACTTCATTGCAACTTCTCACTCTCAAACTCCTATACCTTATTTTCACAACCCCGAGCACGTATGAGTATTTCTTTACCAATGATCTTCATGTCTTGGTTGATATTCTTATACGGAACCTTCTCGACCTCCCGGAGGAAGCCTCGGCTCTGCGACACACCTATCTCAGAGTTCTCTACCCACTAATAGCACATACGCAGCTGAGGCTCCCGCCGCATTACAAGCGGGATGAGCTCAAGCGTATGCTCAGTCTCCTTGTTCGGGGCCAGCTTACGGGTGATACTGCCGCCGACTGCGAGAAGATCATGCATTTCGATGAAGTCGACGAAACAACTCGGAGACTAGTCCTCCGATGCGCTGCCGTTGACTGGCTGCGTGATGAGCCAGAGCCGTACAAACTTGCGCGCCCTCCGCAAAGGGAGGATAGCTTGACTTTGTCCTTTCCTTCAATCGACGGCGCGCTTCTTTCCGATGCCGACATAGGAACATCACTAGAATCGTCCCAATCAATCGGCTCGAACAGCACACGGGGCAGCTCACTAGAGGATCTAACATCTCCTCCAGGCGACGGCAGAGACTCCCCCGCATCGGCGGGCGAAACTCCCCGCAAGCATAGCCACGTTGAACGGCTTGAGATGTACCTCGCTCCCGCCTCGTCGTCTTCACTCAGCGTGGACGAGATCGCATCCCAACGCGAAAAGCCGGGTGTCATCACACCAAGCCGCCACGATGGACACCTGCCCGGCGCGCAAACAAGTCCCACCAAACACAAAGTGAAGCCGCTACCCCCAAAGACAAGACGCTGGCGCGGTAGACGGGCAACGGTAGATGAAACCGCTTCACCCCTCTCCACGGCAAGCATCGCGGAAGAAAGGGGGAACGCTAGCAGTCCCAGCCCTCTTTCATCGACACCTCTCGTAACCGCCTCTGAGCAATTTTTCCCGAACTCAGAACGGCGAGACTCGTCCTCGACCATCCATAGTCACACTCACATGTCTTCCGCCCACCAAGAGCCTGTCCACCTACATCCACCACCAGCTAAGGGCCCCAGCACAACGCGCCGCTCTGCCTCCAACCCGCCACCGGCCGTCCCGCCCCCTCGCCGCTCCGCAGTCCACCACAACCTCCACCCATCTTCCTCCAGCCACTGCACCCCGGCCACTAGCCTAAACCCCAGCCCCTCACGTCCAGCAATTTCAGCACAAAGCTGTACCACTACCGTCGCTGCACAGAGCCACAAACAGGCCCAGAAACCTGAACCACCACGAACTCGCCGCTGGGGCCGCAAACACACATTTACCGATTCCTCGGACACCTCGCAGGCCAGCCAGGCGGGGAATAGCATTAGCAGCAGTGTGAGCAGTGGCAGCGGCAGCGTTGCGACGGCATTTCTGCACCCGGATTATCCGTATTCGCTTGAGAACACGTCTTCTCCTGCTCCCACTCCTGCTTCGACAACTGTTCTTGGAAATGGGCCGGCCATTGAGGCTGCGGCTGCGGCTGCGGTCGCAACTGATATTGTGCAACGTGAAGACCCAAAAACTACGGAAGCCGAGCCAGGTGTGAATGGGGACGGGCATGAGATAATTAGTGTTGAGAAGGCGGTGCAGAATGTCTCGCTGCAGTAGAACTAGCCTTGATATAAGAGCGGACTTGGTAGAAAGATGGAGTGACTAGTCGGTCGACCTTATATATGTTCTCGCTGCTGGATACATCTAGCTAGTTGCGCAATGGATGTAGGTCGTGCATCATATTACTTTCTTCATTTATCTGCTTTGTTCATTTCCAGTTCTAATCAAATGTGATAAGCCTGCTGATGATCTGGCTTTGTATTACTATTTCAAGAAGATATGTACATCAAATACACCAATTATTTCTCTTGGAGACATTTCATAAAGATCGTTGAGGGTGGGTGACAAAATGAAAAGAGGGTGACAAAATAAAAAGAAGAAACCCCTCAAGGCTCAACCTCGCTTCAGGGCGCCATAAGCTCCAACGAACTCCAAGTAAATTGAAAGAAACCACACCAGACCACATGCAGACCTTTCCAGAGGCACTCGCTATACTGCTGCACCTCACTGGTCCAAATCGATAATCTCCAAGCCCTTGGTCATGTCACCCACCGCAGCAACAGGAGAAGGCTGCTTCTTCCTAGGCGAGGCGCTCCTGGGCTTAGGCTTGATCTGCTGCAGCAGACCCTTGCATTTGCCGCATCTGTGTTTTCCAGGGTCGATGCTCTTTGAGTGGCGGCCGTAGTTCTGGCAACAGTCGACGCAGGTCCATACGTACTTGTAGTCGATCTTGTAACTGTGCTTCGTGGTCACCTCGATCCGTCCACCGTAGACAGGGTGGTCTTTTAGCCTTTCCTTGCATTTCCTTCCCCATGCCTTGAAGCTGGTGCCGTGGGGTTGGTCGCGGACGTCTGACACGATGTAGTTGGCGAGGTGGCAGTACTCGTGAGCCAGGGTATTAAGCAGTCTGTCCTCGTCGTCGATGATCTTTTCCGCCAGCTCAATGGTAGCATAGTGCTTCGTGGTCACTGATGGCGCCTCACTGCCTGATGAGGAATCGGCTGGGGACGTGGACCGACTAGAGACTATGGACCGATCTCGTTTCCAGCTTGCACGCCCGGCCGTTGTCTGGAGCGTCTTGCTCCAGACGATACGAACACCGCCGGTTGCTGCTGAGAGGCGTTGGACTTTGCCGTCAGAGACATGGTCGTCGAGCACTCTCAAAAAGTCTTCTGCGAGGGTAGCTTTCCTGTTGTCGAAAGACTTTTTGCGCGCGAGTGCGGCTTTCTTTGCTTCGGTTTCTGCTTTCTTCAAGGCCGTCTTGCTAGGGGTCTTGACTGGCTTCTTAACCTCTGATGGTTTGGGCATGGCTTCGGAGTCACAGTCAGACTCGTCAAACTCCTGCAATAGTAGGTTCACCTTGCGCGGAGAGTGCTCATCGATCCAGCTGTTGGTGACCTCGGAGCTCCAAAAGGCGTCGGTGCTTTCACGATAGGGAGTTGGTGGTATTTGGATCTTGCTCTTGGTCGGAGACCGTAGAACGCCCTTCGATGGGCTGGGCGGCGGTGTCTGGAATGCAGAATCCTTACGGGGTGTTGAAGATGGTGATTCCAGCTCAGCTGTCACTCTGTTTGTACTTAGTATGTCAAGCACTGGGCCTCTGAGGGCGGTAGGACTTACCCGAACAGGTCATTCTGAAGCTGTGAGGAGGGATCACTGTCCTCCAAATTCAAACGGTGCATCTTGTCGGACACGTCGGTGTCGTTCTGGAATAGTTTTCTGGAGACACTATCCAGCTTCGGAGACGGTATCGTGATAGTGGCTGGCACTGATGGCTCAAGACGAAGGTCAGGTCGTTTTGAGGACTCACGCAAAGTATTCTCCAGATCGAGTGTAGGATTTTGTCGTCTACCCCTTATCAACCTCCTCCTTTGTGTTGGTGGTGGCGAGACCTTGTGTTCCTCTTCTTCCTCAGATTCATCGTTTGATGTTTCATGGTAGCTCGGCTCGTCATTGTCACTGACAATAAACTCATCGAGCGAGTTGTAGCTGTTATCACTCTCATTCTCAACCTCATCCTCATCTGCCGAGTCCTGTTGAGGCTGTCGGTAACCCGTAAACTGCTGCGTGGTTCTACCCCTCGTTGGTGACCGTCTTGTCGAAGACGCATCAGACGGATTTCTAGAGAGCGATGTTGGCTCTGGATCCAACTCTTCTTCTAGCGGATCGTTCTCCTTGTCATAGTTGTATAGTTCTGATTTGCGACTTGTCCGAGCCCTGGGCTGCTGTGGAACGGGCAAAATCATGGAGTTGGTGCGTGCTAGCTTTAAGGGCGTTGATTTCTTCGCCTTGGGCGTGTCTCGCTCGGTTGTCCCATCACTATCAGCAAATATATCAAAGGTCTGCTCAGAGAGCGTCTTTGTCCTGGTCCTTGTTGTCTTGCTCCGCACCAATCGTGGTCTTTCTGTTGGCTCCTCGTCAAACAGCGTCCTCCCGGGCATCATCATTGTGCGTGCCAATTGTGGCTCCCTGCAGCGCTCCTTGGTTGTTGGTGGCGGAGGCGAAACATATCGTTCAGTCAGGCGCTGCGGTCTCGTCCTGTGGCATTCCTCCTGTTTAGTCTGGTTCCTAGTGTTGAGGCGAGCCATTTTGGCAGTTGGCGAGTCGCTCCGGCTGGGTTGGTGGTGTCAGAGTATCGACTTATCCTTTGGCCGACTATCGACTTTGCTGCAGATTCGAAGCTGCAGAAACAACCCACTCGAGAAGAATCGTGGTCCGTCGTTGGAAGTGAAGCTGTCCATGGAGATCGCGGTTGGCACGGCAACACAAAAACACCCGATCCCGCTGCAGATAGCCGCCATCCACCCATGCAGTACTCCGTAATAGGTTGTCCTTCAAGTTAATGACCAATTGAATTTGTGGATCTTGGATACAGACCGGGGCTCTTTGCTCATTTGGCGTTGCGCTGGCTGTCCTTCCCTGGCTGTGGCTGATCGCTAAGTTCTACGAGCACCTCTCCGGCGCCCCCATAGTAAGTCACGGTGAGTTGAATCGAGAACGGGAATCAAGTTGAGATCGTCTCCTTGTGTCATAAGCTGGACATAAGTTGGATCCAGATTCTGTTTGCTTATATTGTATGCTGTGTTTTCGGTGCAATGTTGATGTCAAGTGGTGACGGCAGGTATATATTTTGCAGGTATATATTTTGGTTCATGGCAGCCAACAAACTAAGATAAACCACAGCAGAGTGATGGAATAAACACTGGAGTATAAGGGCCCGCCTATTGCCAAATGGCTTTTCAAGGGTATGCGAACAATAAACATCGCGACAAAATACAATCACAAGTTCAACTCAGTACTCATCTGATAAGTTAGTATTGATAACCACTGTACTCCGTAGCCTGGCTCGCAATAAATTACAAGATAATACTAACAAGCAGTGATCGTTTCACGTGCAGAGAGAATTAGATGAAAGTGACTTGGGTCATGTATCAAAAAGCCAGGTATACATGATAACGAGCGATTGAGCAATAGAATACACTAGACATTCGTAGTCTAATCACCATACGGCGCTGGCCTGCAGTGTGGCGCGTAGACATGGTCAATCAAAATTCCCCAATCTACAATAGAATCATAGCAGCACCGGCAAACATAGCCGTGGTAATGTAGGCACCGATCTGGAAGACACCAACATGAACACTTCCGGGAGCCAAAGTAAATGCAGCACCATCAGAGGTGTCAGCAACAGCAACCCCGCCAGACCCAGCGTTAGCAGCGGTAGGTGAAGCCTTGACAGACCCCTTCCCATCAGATCCCGCTTCGCTTAGCAAAGATGAGCATGCTGCCGTCGGCTCACTGGTACTCTGGCTCGTAGCGGCACCGTCGAAGTCACAGGCATTCTGGCCATTGCCTTGATCGGCCTGGTCCTCGTAGTACTGGTTCATGGCAAAAGAGAGCTGCTGCTCGGGCGTGCAGACACTGTAGGCGCCGTACTCTCCAGAAGTGGCATTACCAGTAACTCCTTCGCAGAACTTGCCATCCTGATAGCCACAAACGGTGCTGAAAGTGGAGGAGAGCTTCTTGCCGGAGATGTCGGACTTGGCAACACATGTGAGACTTTTTTCCATGCAGCTGCAGAGGTCTGAGTTGGGGGAAGGAGGCAGAGGAGAGGCGGCGGCGAGCCAGTTCTTGCCGTTGGTCGGGCATGACTGAAGGGCGGTGTTCGTGGGGTTGTACTCGGCTTTCTTGGTGCCGGTGGGCGTGGCCGAGGCGAGCTGCTTGGAGAGGTAGCTGTAGTCTTCAAGGGTCTTGGCTTTGCCGTTGTCGATAGAGACCAGACCTAGGCGATGTCAGAGAGTAGAAGGAAACTAGGCTAAAGAGACATACCGTAGTTGTTTTCCTCCTGGAAGTACATGTAGACAATACCGCCGGACCAGACGTCGGCCATCTTGTCACCATAGAGAGCCTCCACTTCGGTAAACTTGCGGGGGGTGACAGCATTGCAACCGTACTCAGCAAAGAACACAGGAATAGAGTAATCTTTGAACTCCTCTGTACGAGACTTATAGCCAGACTTCTCGTAGTTGGAGTCACCACACCAGGAGTAAACATTGTATCCCCAAAAGTCGATTGTATCTTCCTTCTCGCCGCAGTTGAAATAGTTCGCCATGTCCACACGGATAGACGAGTCATCGTTGGTAGCATAACCAACACCCATTGTGCGGTAGTTCTTGGCCTTGATATAGCGCTTCATATCACGCACAGCGGCCTTGACGAAGGCGCTGGCATCGGTGGTCTTGGGGTTGTTCGACACTTCGTTACCTGCGAAGAATCCAATAACGTTGCTGTACTGGGAAAGCTCGTCGACAACAGATGCGTAGCGCTTGTACAGATCGTAGTCCCACTTAGGGTCGTTACGGACAATGGACTCTGAAGGAGACGACAAGTCCGCAATAACATAAATCCCAGCATCACTAAGGAGGCTCATACACTCCTTGTGATCAGCCGTGGGGTCAATGGCGTAGACACGGATGGCGTTTGCATTGAGCTTCTGAAGGTAAGGAACATCGCGCTTGCATGCATCGGCGTCGGCGAGTGGGTCTTTGTAGTTGTTGGTGCCAGACTTGGGACCGGAATATTCCTCTGCATTCGTTAGCCATAACAGATATCAGTGATGGACCGCGGTCAGGGTGGCTCACGTTGATAGGCGACACCACGAATGTAGCTGGGACTCAGGTCAGTGCGACTCTGCGTTGTTGTTCATAGAGAGGAATGCCATACAATTGGGTGTCGTTGCTCTTGTAGAAGAATTTGGAACCCTGGGTAAGTCAGCTACCTCATCTCCAGACTATGGAAGAGTACAAATGTAGTCGTACCTTGATGACGATAGGGTCCAGGTCAGCGGCAAGAACGCTACTGGCGAAGAGGGCCGCGCCCGCAAGAATGCTAGAAAACTTCATGTCGAAACACTATTGGTCATACGAGGATCAAGTAAAGATGCGATCGCAGAGCCAGGACTCGTCGTTCGGGTATGGTTGTAACTGATGGAAAGAGTGGCGCGCAAGACCAGCGTTACTAAAAAAGGAATGGAAGGTGCGATGGACTGTAGACGGAAGTGAGCGTATAGGTAAAGTAGCATTAAAATCAAGTAGAACAAGTGGGCGAGTAAAGGAATGTCGATTCTCGAGAGAATGGCGAGAAAACAGAAGTCAGAGAAGGGTCTCAGGGCAGAGAAGCATTTCATACTTCGCCAACGGGGACCCCAGGCTGCAGGGTAAGCCTCAGGGACCGCCCACTCCTACGGCGAATTCGCTGATTTACTGAGACCATGTCCACTCTTGCGTGCTTGCAGCGGAATAACGAGAGGTTGATCGCAGGCGATTTTCGGTGATGTGCATCTCTGAGGGCTATCATTTGGCAAACCACGGTGAGACTTCCCCACGACGGGATAGCCCTGAAGTCGAAAGGCATAACAACGCGCAAGCTGGGTCCACGGGCTTCGAGATTCAGGGGGAGAAGGGTCCAAGCAAAGCTTATTCTCTCGTCACTCGAGTACTCAAGTATATAAATAGGTTATTGGGATAGTCATGTCGCGACTAGGATTGCCGCCTGTCTCATTCTCTCAGAGACGACTCGATTCCTCGAAAGCCGAGGGACATCACTGGGTAACGCGGTCTACTCCCCAGGAGCAAGGCAACTGTTCGATGATGACAAGCATGTGAAGATACGGTTGGGTTCGTTGTTATCAAAATAAAGACCCTCGTCCCGATTTTGCTTGATGGCTTGGTCTCAATGACATAGATACCCGGTTAATAAATGATGCACTTTCCGGCTCTGGGCTGCAGAGTAAGTTCCAGAATTGGATGAAGTATCTGAGGCGTCTCGATTCTCTTGCTGAGCCTTAGGTGTAGACTATAGATATCTTGTGGCCATAATGTACTCCGTAGCGGCAGGTCCCTGACTCCAGACCCAGGGTAAGGGATCGACCTGAAACAGCTCCACTATGCAGATGGCTCTCCACCGATCTTCGAATAATGTTCCTGGCGAAGCTGCATCATGCCTGTGCCCTCAAGGCTCAGGTGCTGTGGCAAGATGGCTGTGCTGTGAGATCATGGTTCAGATGCTCCTCCGGTAGACTCTGGATGGCTCAACCAGTAAAGGAAGTGGTGATCCTGTTAGGGAGTCAATCCATGCTCGACTGGGTGGTCACGTCGCCTTCAGACATTCAGCCGACGCCAAAGATTTGAGAAACAATCAACTTGAGAAATTGGCAGCGAGGTAACCCGAAAACCAGGGTATCTCCGAGAACTGATAAGCATGATGAAAGCGATAGGTTGTCTAAAGATGGACCGTGCCAAGAAATCATGAAGGTTCCGACAGCAAATTTATCCACTGCATAAGCCGATGTTATGCACGGTAATGGCACGTGACACCATAGCTGGGAAAATGGGCCTCGGTCTGTTAATTTTCAACGGCCACCCGTCTCCATGGATATTATTGTATCTTCCATTCAAGCTTTAAAGCCGGGCTGGAAATACGTCTAGAATTGGCCAGCAGGAGTGTATATCCGCAGCCCCTTTTCAACCGGCCCATGGAATCCTCGAGACCTCAACCACCGGCAGCTATGCACTGAGCACTCGCCACCATCCCGCCACCCCTGTTTTGGGATTGGCCCCGGGTCTACATCCTGAAACAGTGAATTGCCCTGATCCTCCAATAAGCACCTGGACTCGATGGATCATCGTCGTCCCAGCATTTGAATCTTACGGCCTTTGCATACGGGCCGGATCACGCCGGAATTGGATTTGCGAGTCATTGTGCATAGATACATACATCTTGGTCTTTTAATACAGAGTGTGAGCCCATCCAGCATTGAGTGGTATTATCCCAGAGACATCAAAATCACCAGCAAAAGATAGATAAGTAGGTTCCTGGCCATGTACTCTAGCTCGCGGCTCGCCTGATGGAAGTCGGCATCCCTTTAGCTCGGGCGAATACCCGCCACCGAAAATCTGGCCGAAGAACAATACTTATTATACAGCATGGAGTTGAGAAATACACGAGATACTAGCGGTCATGGTCTGGCCAGGATTGACGTGGGAGCCTACGCCATCAACGGATCCGCCGCAGAACAAGCGGATTTAAGAACAAGGAACGGGCTTATGTATGGAGATCAAGATCTGGAAGCTGGAAATTTGACTGTCAGTTTGTCAGTGACCGAGATATTCAGCCTAGAGAACCTTGCCGGCTCCTTATATATAGAGCATCTACACTGCACATCCGTAGACTGGCAGCGTCTATGCAGAAATTCCTTTGAGTTCTGACGGAGTCTTATCAAAGTGAAGCACAGTCAGCTTCTGAACTCCGTGCAGTGAGTTTCAAACTGCGGGGCCTATACACCTTAGATAACGACTCCTTCAGGGGACAAGAAAAAGCAATCAAAAGCCACCATCGCGCTTGACAAATGGCCTCCCATCTTTGAGTAGTGCTGTCAGCCTGTCCCGGCTGCCAACGTCTTCGTGGCTTGTCCTCGTTTGCGAGAAACTTGGAAGCTTCCTGCGCTTCTATATTGCGGGCGATCAAACGCAAACCTGAAGCCACAGTGCCACTTCATCCTTCAGAGACTACGGAGTGTAAGCAGTGGCGGCCACAGTGGGGCTGCTTAATTTCAGGCAACGCATTTTATTTGTGCTGATGAGATCATGGAATCGGATTGTGGAGGCTGTCTGGGCTACATCTATTGGTTTCTGTTAAAATACGCCTACTTTATTCAAATTTCGGCCGTATAGTACAGAGTTCATCCACGGCTCTATGCAGTACCTATGGCAGCACGGATAGTCGAGGTCCTCGAGGATTCATGCGACCCAGGAGCATGATGATCAACCAGGGTGCTGGTGCTTAAATCTCTATCTATGAATAGAAGGTAGACAGATGTATGTACTGCCGACGGCTGAGGGGAGCTCTTTCCATGGAGCTAATATCAAGGTCTTGCTTTGGCTGGGAGAGTAAGCGACACTACAGACTCACGGCCGGCATAGGTACTCAACATCTTGGCTTATTTTGTCAGTTAATACCCCACGTTCTCGCTGCCAGTCACAATCATTAGCCTTGGGTCGGATTGTCTGTTGAATGTTGTTGTATGGCAATCTGATTGTTGAGAATGATAGCGAGCCCCTGCATACCAGCTCCGAATACTGGTGGTAACAAAGCTCGTAACACTGACCCAACGGCGTATGGTGTGACTTCTGATCATTGGCCGGACTGGCAGACAGCGGGTCTACTCAGGGGCGCCCGGCGACTTCCATGGAATCTGTCTCGCACTCTTCGAGTTATTTGTTGGTAAACCCACCAAAAGCGATACATAACTTGAAAATTGACACACATGCTCTCAAGCGAGAAGCCTCCACGGTTCACAGACCTCAGTATGGCCTCGCGGGGTGGCGGTGGGCAGGCATGACAGCCATCATGTAGGTACATGTACGATGACACCAAGTTGCCACAACCAGCGAAATCCAAGTTGTGAGCAGCAACCTTGATCTTGTCCAAGTTTGAGTCGATACTCTGTAGCAGCACATAAAACAAGTAAACACTAGAGAGTGGCACCTGCGAGTCGTGTTTAACACTGGGATTACGCGGAATCCCCAGCCGTATTTTCAGTACACAGAATGACAGACAAATACGCATAGGCCACAGAAATCGGCCCGTTCAGCGTATCAGGACGGTAAATTCGCAGATCCAGCGCCCAAAATAGCCACAGCCCCCTCTCAAGCAGGCCAGCCAGTCCGATTTTCCCTGTTGGACAATCGATTCCCTTTTCACTCTCGCTGACCGTCCAACTAACTACTCCCTCCCTTCGTCCTTCGCTTGGTTCCCTTTCCTTCTTTACGAGGCTTCACTTTTTCCTTCAGTTGCTTTTTGAGTCACAGTCCGCTCTTTTCATTGTTTGTACTCTAAAAAGCTTATCGACCAGGACCGTACTCCCCTTCCTTCCTTCTGCCTTCGTTCGGGGAAAGAAGAGGAGGCGCGAGACCGCGGTTCCCCTGCCTGTCGGTTCAAACAGGTTTCAAGTCCTCTCGTTATCTTTCGTCTTCCATTCGTTTGGCAAAACTCGACAATAGTTCGAGATCTCTTCGAATAGAAGAGATAAAATTACGACATTTCGCTTTTCGATTGAGATAATTTCTACAAAGGTCCACGGATAGGCCAGGTGCCTTCGAGCGAACGCCAATTGCAACATCGACGATATTCACGACGCGCCTGGTGCATTATCTTTAGATCTGCTCGTCTACTACGCCTGAATCGCACTGTCCATGCTATAATTACTTCAACTTGATCGGAATAATTTTTAATGGGCCTTTGTTGCTGTAAGTCCGGCCTCCTTGCTACGGTTTCCTCGCTTCCTGCCTGGGCTAACATCTACAAGAGGACCTCAGTGATTATCGCTTGTCAAAATGTCGGGCTACCCACAAGGTTCGGGCTACCAGCAAGGCCATTACGACGATGGCTATGACCATCAGGCTCATGGCGACGCCTACTACCAGGATGACCATCATGGTCAGGACCACCATGCGCAAGGTGGCTATTATGACAACCAAGACTACGGGGACGGCTACTACGATAGAGGGTAACTCCGCCTGTACACTACGCCGCTAGGTCGTTTTGCTGATTTATCTAGTGGCTACGGGGACAACAATGCCTACCAGCACGATGGCGGGTACTACGATGCGGGTCATCACGACGAGTACTATGGTGACCAGTACTACGCCCAGGGAGGTCAAGGCAGAGGACGACCTGGCCGTGACTCCGAAGAAGAATCGGAGACGTTCAGTGACTTCACCATGAGATCCGAAACAGCCCGTGCTGCCGACATGGATTATTACGGACGCGGAGACGAACGGTACAACAGTTACACCGATAGCCAGTACGGACAAGGCTACGGTGGTTACCGCCCTCCTTCCTCGCAAGTGTCTTACGGAGGTAACCGGTCTTCTGGAGCGTCAACGCCAGTGTATGGCATGGATTACGGCAATGGCCTGCCTGCAACTCAGCGATCCCGAGAGCCATTTCCAGCCTGGGCTTCCGATGGTCAAGTCCCCGTTTCCAAGGAAGAAATCGAAGACATCTTCATTGATCTGGTCAACAAATTCGGTTTCCAAAGGGACAGCATGCGTAACATGTACGACCATTTGATGACGCAGTTGGATTCCCGTGCCTCCCGTATGACTCCTAATCAGGCGCTTCTGTCGCTTCACGCCGATTACATTGGTGGTGACAACGCCAACTACCGCCGTTGGTACTTCGCTGCCCATCTGGATCTCGACGATGCTGTCGGATTCTCGAACATGAAGCTGGGTAAAGCAGACCGCAAGACCAGGAAAGCTCGCAAGGCTGCGCAGAAGAAGGCGAAGGAAAATCCCGAGGATGTCGAGGGTACTCTTGAGGCCTTGGAAGGTGACAACAGCCTGGAAGCTGCTGAATATAGGTGGAAGACACGAATGAACCGCATGTCTCAGCATGAAAGGGTGCGCCAACTCGCGTTGTTCCTGCTCTGCTGGGGCGAGGCAAACCAGGTCCGGTTCTTGCCCGAGTGTCTTTGCTTCATCTTCAAGTGTGCCGACGACTTCTACAACTCGCCTGAGTGCCAGAACCGAGTCGAACCTGTTGAGGAGTTCACATATCTCAATGAAATCATCACTCCTCTATACCAGTATTGCCGCGATCAGGGTTATGAGATCTTGGATGGCAAGTACGTTCGTCGTGAGCGTGACCACAACCAGATCATTGGATATGATGATATGAACCAGCTTTTCTGGTACCCAGAGGGAATCGAGCGCATTGTGCTGGAGGACAAGACCCGACTCGTTGACATTCCCACCGCGGAGCGATGGGCGAAGCTCAAGGAAGTTAACTGGAAGAAGGTATTCTTCAAAACATACAAGGAAACGCGTTCCTGGTTTCATCTGGTCACAAACTTCAACCGTATCTGGGTTATTCACTTGGGTGCTTTCTGGTTTTTCACTGCATACAACTCTCCTACCATCTACACCAAGAACTACAGGCAACAGCTCAACAACAAACCACCCGGGTCTCATTATTGGTCTGCTGTTGGTTTTGGCGGAGCCCTGGTTTCGTTCATCCAGATCATGGCGACAATCTTCGAATGGATGTATGTTCCTCGACGTTGGGCTGGTGCTCAGCATCTTACCAAACGCCTGCTCTTCCTCCTCGTGGTTTTCGTCATTAATCTTGCTCCCGGTGTCTTTGTCTTTGGGTTTTCATCGAAAGTCGATAACAAGATTGCTCTTGCTGTCGGTATTGTCCACTTCTTCATCGCGCTTGCCACGTTTTTCTTCTTCTCCATCATGCCCCTTGGCGGCTTGTTCGGTAGTTATCTGAAGAAACACGGCCGCCAGTACGTTGCGAGTCAGACATTCACCGCTAGCTTCCCGAGATTAAAAGGAAATGACATGTGGATGTCATATGGTCTCTGGGTCTGTGTCTTCGGTGCGAAATTGGCCGAGTCTTACTTTTTCTTGACTCTGTCCATCAAAGATCCCATTCGCTACCTATCGCCATACCATGTTCACAACTGCGCTGGTGTTTCCTATCTTACGGACAAGATTTGCTACTACCAGCCTCAGATTCTTCTTGGACTCATGTTCTTCATGGACCTGACGCTGTTTTTCCTCGACAGTTATCTCTGGTACATCATCTGCAACACCATTTTCTCGGTTGCTAGGTCGTTCTACCTCGGTGTCTCTATCTGGTCTCCGTGGAGAAACATTTTCTCCCGCCTCCCGAAGCGTATCTACTCGAAGGTCCTTGCTACCACGGACATGGAAATCAAGTACAAGCCAAAAGTCTTGATCTCTCAGGTCTGGAATGCTATCATTATCTCAATGTACAGGGAGCATCTTCTTGCCATCGACCATGTCCAGAAACTACTCTACCACCAAGTTCCCTCCGAGCAAGAAGGCAAGCGAACTCTTCGAGCACCTACTTTCTTCGTTTCCCAGGAAGATCAGTCTTTCAAGACGGAGTTCTTCCCCCGCGGTAGCGAAGCGGAGCGCCGAATCTCGTTCTTTGCACAGTCGCTGTCGACCCCGATGCCTGAACCTCTCCCGGTTGACAACATGCCCACCTTCACCGTCTTGATCCCCCACTACAGTGAAAAGATCCTTCTCTCTCTCCGTGAAATCATTCGTGAAGATGAGCCTTATTCCCGTGTCACACTCTTGGAATACTTGAAGCAGCTTCACCCCCACGAATGGGATTGCTTCGTCAAGGACACAAAGATCCTTGCCGACGAGACCTCTCAATTCAACGGAGACTATGAAAAGAACGAAAAGGATGCCGCCAAGAGCAAGATCGATGACTTGCCATTCTATTGTATTGGGTTCAAGTCAGCTGCCCCGGAGTACACGCTTCGCACCCGTATCTGGTCCTCGCTGCGCTCTCAGACTCTGTACAGAACTGTGTCTGGAATGATGAACTACAGCCGTGCTATCAAGCTGCTCTACCGCGTCGAAAACCCTGAAGTTGTTCAGATGTTTGGTGGAAACTCTGAGAAGCTAGAGCATGAACTGGAAAGAATGGCGCGTCGCAAGTTCAAGATCTGCGTCTCTATGCAGCGTTACGCAAAATTCACCAAGGAAGAACGTGAGAACACAGAGTTCCTGCTCCGAGCCTACCCCGATCTTCAGATTGCCTACCTTGACGAAGAGCCCCCAGCCAACGAGGGTGAAGAGCCGCGTCTCTACTCCGCCCTGATTGATGGACACTGTGAGCTGCTCGAGAACGGTATGCGCAAGCCCAAGTTCAGGATCCAGCTGTCCGGCAACCCTATCCTTGGTGATGGAAAATCCGACAACCAAAACCACTCGATCATCTTTTACCGTGGAGAGTACATTCAGGTCATTGACGCCAATCAAGACAACTATCTTGAAGAGTGCTTGAAGATCCGAAGCGTTCTTGCCGAGTTCGAGGAACTGAGCACTGATAATGTTTCGCCATACACCCCTGGTATTGCTACTTCCTCGGAAACCCCTGTCGCTATTCTTGGTGCCCGTGAGTACATTTTCTCCGAGAACATCGGTGTCCTTGGTGATGTTGCGGCCGGTAAAGAACAAACATTCGGTACCCTGTTTGCTCGTACACTTGCTCAGATTGGTGGAAAGCTGCACTATGGTCACCCTGATTTCTTGAACGGTATCTTCATGACAACTAGAGGTGGTATCTCCAAAGCCCAGAAAGGTCTACACCTTAACGAGGATATCTACGCTGGTATGAACGCCATGATTCGTGGTGGCCGCATTAAGCACTGCGAGTACTTCCAGTGTGGTAAGGGTCGTGATCTGGGTTTTGGCTCTATTCTCAACTTCACTACCAAGATCGGTACTGGTATGGGTGAACAAATGCTGTCAAGAGAGTACTATTACATGGGTACTCAATTGCCCCTTGACCGGTTCCTGTCTTTCTACTATGCTCACCCTGGATTCCACGTCAACAACATGTTTATCATGTTGTCTGTGCAAATGTTCATGATTGTCCTGATCAACCTGGGAGCCTTGAAGCACGAAACCATCAACTGCGACTACGACTCGGACAAGCCCGTCACCGATCCTCTCATGCCGACATTCTGTGCCCCTCTCACGCCTATCATCAACTGGGTCAACCGATGCGTTATCTCGATTTTCATCGTTTTCTTCATCTCGTTCGTTCCATTGGCTGTTCAAGAGTTGACCGAGAGGGGACTGTGGCGTATGGCAACGCGTCTGGCCAAGCACTTTGGATCTTTTTCCTTCATGTTCGAGGTGTTTGTCTGTCAAATCTATTCTAACGCCGTCCACCAAAACTTGTCTTTTGGCGGTGCTCGCTATATCGCTACCGGTCGTGGTTTCGCCACTGCTCGTATCCCATTCGGAATTCTGTACTCTCGGTTTGCGGGGCCTTCAATTTACACAGGTTTCCGTTTGCTGATCATGCTGCTTTTCTCGACTTCCACCACCTGGACTGCTTCTCTCATTTGGTTCTGGGTTTCTCTTCTCGCCCTCTGCATCTCCCCGTTCCTTTTCAACCCTCACCAGTTTGCCTGGAACGACTTCTTCATTGATTACCGCGACTACATTCGATGGCTATCACGTGGTAACTCCCGCTCTCACGCATCGTCGTGGATTGGCTTCTGCCGTCTGTCCCGTACACGCATTACTGGTTACAAGCGCAAGCTGCTCGGTGTCCCTTCGGAGAAGGGTTCAGGCGATGTCCCTAGGGCCCGCATCACCAACATTTTCTTCAGCGAGATCGTGGCTCCTCTGGTCCTTGTTGGTGTCACCATCGTTCCATACTTCTACATCAACTCTCGGACTGGTGTCACGTCTGATAACGGGGAGGTTAAACCTTACAATGCAGTGTTGCGTATTGCGATCGTAGCATTTGGACCGATCGGTATCAATGCTGGTGTCGCTGGTGTTTTCTTCGGCATGGCATGCTGCATGGGCCCTCTTCTGAGCATGTGCTGCAAGAAATTCGGTTCCGTGCTGGCGGCTATCGCTCACGCGATTGCCGTTATTATCTTGCTTGTCATTTTCGAGGTTATGTTCTTCCTTGAGAACTGGTCCTGGCCCCGGTGCGTCCTGGGAATGATCGCCATGGCTGCTATCCAACGCTTCATCTACAAGCTTATCATTGCGCTTGCCCTGACTCGAGAATTCAAGCATGATCAGTCAAACATTGCATGGTGGACTGGAAAATGGTATAACATGGGTTGGCACTCACTGTCTCAACCTGGTCGAGAGTTCCTCTGCAAGATCACGGAGTTGGGCTACTTCTCCGCAGACTTCGTCATTGGTCACCTCATCTTGTTCATCATGTTGCCAGCGCTTTGTGTTCCTTACATTGACAAGTTCCACTCTGTCATTCTCTTCTGGCTGCGCCCGAGGTAAGATATTCCATTCTTGCTATCATTGTTATATGTTTTCTAACTCCACACTCCAGTCGTCAAATCCGCCCTCCTATTTACTCGCTCAAGCAGTCGAAGCTTCGCAAGAGACGCGTTGTCCGATTCGCCATACTGTACTTTGCCATGCTGATTCTGTTCCTCGTTCTCGTGATCGCTCCTCTTATTGTCAGGAACATGGACATGAATATCGATCTTGGAACAGGTATTCTTTCAGAACTCTTGCAGCCCATCGACAAAGACAACAACGACACCATCACCAGCTATACCGGCTCTGGTCTCCCGCAAGGCTTCAAACCGGTTGCGTCTCCGTCGGCATACCTCAAGAATTACGAGGGTAACTAGAGACTGCCTTGTTCCTTCAAACTACATTCTGCTACATTATTTCGATATGGAACATGGAAACGAGATGTATAAAGTATCCAGTGCGTTGGTGTCGCTGTTTTGAGCCCATCAGTTATGTTTCTTCCATATTATTCTCCTTCTCGCCGGGATCTCTACTACGTGGTGGTTCCTGTGAGGTTTAATGGATCCAATATCTATCGGCTTGTTTTGTATCCGCGAGGTGTATTCTTGTTTTGTTCATTATGTGAAATCATTAGACTAGCAAATTCCCATTTACTACGTTCGTTATTATTATCTTATTAATAAATTTTCTACGTCTGAGTACTGAGTCGTATATCTCGTAGCATGCTTGAGGAACCTCCGCGTCACGTGTCGGCTTTACTCGGAAATCGAGACCGCGGAAGAAACACCGTAAGACGCCAGCCGCTACACGATTTCCAGTCCAACCCTTCCATTTCTCTCCTCGTTTGTCACTCCTAGGGTCCATGGTACCATTCTTATCTTGAGCTTCTCCCTACCTTCTTTGGGTTTTCCATTCGCCTGCGCAGCGTGCGCGCTTTCCTTGAATCCTTGATTTCCACTCATCATGGATATCCAGGAGACCCAACGTCTTCTTTCTGAATATCTTCAGGAGCTTGCCAACCTTTTCCATCGCGTTCCTGGCTCAGCCATTTTTCTGCGCTATGTAAGATCTAGCTATCAGAACGATCCCATTCGCTCCGCTGTCGAATTGTTCCTGTTCCTGTTCGCCGTCCGCTACCTGCTCGCCCCGAAGTATTCCACCAAGCCCGGTGTCGTCCAGCTCTCGGAAGATGAAATCGACGACTTGGTTGACGAATGGACGCCAGAACCGCTTGTGGGGAAACCCACGCCTTTGGAGGAGATGGAGGTGGAAAAGAGACCAGTCATTGCAGGGTATTGAAGCCTAAAGCTCTCCTTTACCCCTGTATATTTACCATGCTGACGCTCAAGACGCTCACAGTCCAGTTGGCCCTAAGTCGAAGCTATCGAACGGTCGGACGGTGATGAACCTTGGTTCTTACAATTTCTACAACTTCAACACGAACGAGTCCATTAAGGAGAAGGCGATCCAGACACTCCGAAACTACGGTGTCGGACCTTGTGGTCCTCGCGGTTTCTATGGTACTCAGGATGTCCACATGAAGACGGAGGCAGATGTTGCGTCCTACCTTGGCACAGCGTCTTGCATCATGTACTCTCAGGCATTCTCGACCATCTCAAGTGTGATTCCGGCCTTCTCGAAGCGAGGTGATATTATCGTTGCCGACAGGGGTGTGAACTTCGCCATCCGAAAGGGTATTCAGATATCTCGGAGTATCGTCCGGTGGTACGATCATAATGATATGGAAGATCTAGAGAGGGTTCTGGCCAAGATCACGAAGGAGCAAGCACGGAAACCTCTTACTCGACGATTCATCATCACCGAGGGTCTGTTCGAGTCGTACGGCGACATGAGCGACTTGCCCAAGATTGTGAGTGCACTTTCTATCCCTCCTTCCACATTACACAGTTGACAAGTGCGAAGATCGAGCTCAAGTTGAAGTACAAGTTCCGTCTAATCCTCGACGAGTCATGGTCGTTTGGTGTCCTTGGAAGAACAGGACGTGGTATCACTGAGCACCAGAACGTGGATGCGGCCGAGGTTGACATGATTGTGGGTTCGCTGGCCGGCCCATTGGTTGCTGGAGGAGGTTTCTGTGCAGGTTCGGAGGAGATTGTCCACCACCAGCGCATCTCGGCCGCTGCCTACACGTTCTCTGCTGCATTGCCTGCTCTTCTGTCTACGACGGCTAGCGCGACTATCAACATTTTGCAGAACAGCCCCGAGACCATTTCCCATCTGAGAGACCTCACAAAGGCTATGTGGGCGCAGCTCGACCCTCGCAGTGATTGGGTTCGCTGCACAAGTGCACTGGAGAATCCCATTCTAATCCTTGTGCTCAAGCCGGAAGTGGTTGCCGCAAAGAGACTTTCTCCAGAGGACCAGCAGTTTGTTTTGCAGGATGTAGTGGACGAAGTGAGATCCCTTTGAATTCGCTTCATCAAGAGCATTACTAATATGGCTTGTCTCAATAGTGTCTCGCGAACGGAGTCCTAATCACCCGTCTCAAATGTCTTGACGACAACTTTGAACCCAAGCAAAAGGTCCCCGCCGCACTGAAAGTGTGCGTCACGATCGGCTTGACGAAGAAGGAGATTGAGAAATCAGGAACCATTATTCGTCATGCCATCACCAAGGTTCTGAGCAGAAGGAAGTAAGCTGCGATGAACTCCATTTGCGCTGCTTCCTGACTGCTCCGTTGGTCATGACACTCTTAATGCGACCATGATTCTAGCTGTCTCAACCCAATTTCTCGCTTGCTCGCTCGCTGACGCCTCCGACATTCCTGATCTTGCGTCTTCTATTCGTCTTCCTTCCACAATTCTTGTATAGACTAATTGACTTTGTCGTCGGCGGATGCTTACTTCTTACTTTTGCTCAAGCACAAACGCATAGGACGAGCCCCGGCATTGAACCTACCTATATACTGACTGGCCTCCTACCTCATGGATGTACACAATACGCCCTTTTCTCCTTCCGTTCCTAGCCAGCGGGATTGGGGCCCGGCCCGCCCACATACCTAATAATTACCTTCTGACTTTGGTCTTACTCGTTCATCTTTGGTCGGGCTGTGGGCCTTGCATTGTTGCATTGTTTTATTAGAGCTTATATTTTTAATGGAAACGGGGTTTTCTTTTCCTTGCTCTTGTCGAGAGTGGTGTGTTCGTCAGCTCGGTCCCTTGGTTGTTATGAACGACATACTACTACTTGAGTCCTACGAACAAAGCCGGTTGGGCAGTCAAAGGAGAAGTTAATTTCCTATTGAAGAAAGACACAAACTGTCTAGCCGCAAAACCAGAGTAGTCTAGAAGCAGTAAGGTGTGGTGTAGATCTAGTCTAGCTAGGTAATCCCATCAAGATGCAAGCTGACCAAAAAGATCGGGTAATGGGACAAGGAAAGCAACGCAAGAAGGTGATGGAACAGTTAGGGTATGACACGATTGCAAGACAAGGGACATGACACGAGCATAAGCAAGGTCACAAGCATGATCAAGACATCCAAGTACCAAACATCCAAGAAGAAATCTAACGCGTCTCTATTCCCCAAAACTTCTCCGCACCAAACGTCCATTGGTTATCGATTTTCCACAGGTCATCAAACGCACTGAATAGGACGAGATCGCCATGACGGTTCCCAAACGCCTTGCGCAGGCTGTCGATGGCCACCTTATGGTTTTCCCACGACGGCACAGCGCGTCCGTTGTTTTGTCCTCCATGAGGCCAGCCAGACTCGGTGATTACCGTGCGCTTCCCGCCAGAAATTTCAGACAGACGGCGCGAGATAGCAGCGACATAGGCGCCCGCGTTATCGTGGGTCTGTGTTGCGTCGAAGAAGGCGTGGCAGTTGGCGGCGCAGTAGTCGGAGGCCTGGCAGAGTTCGGGGTGCTCGAATATCTTAGAGTAGGTGTCGACTGTCACGACAGGGCCATTGTACCCGAGGCTGCGGAGGTAGGCGCGGGCGTCGTTCACGGCGGCTGTGACCTCTCCGGCGGAGTTCTGGCCGCGGTTGAGGAGTTCATTGCCGATTGAGATTGTGTGCAGGGTTGAGAGGTCAGGTCTAGCGGCATCAATGATGGCGTTGAGGTCCGCGTGTAGGTTTTGGAGGCTCCAGACGCCTGCGAAGACTTGCATGTTGTGGCGGCGCGCGGCGTTGATGACCTTTCTGGTCTGGTCGCAGTCGATGCCGTAGATGCGGACGTAGGCGTAGTGGGTGAGCTTGTCGAGGTCGCTGTTTACCTGGTCCTGGGATTTGCAGGTGCTGTCGGCGTTGTAGGGGGAGTAGGAAATGCCAAAGAGCTGGCCTTCATGCTTATCCTTGGAATGAAACGAATCCTTGTCCCCTCCTTTAGGGTCGAGGTGTGTGTTTGCCTTGATGTTGGTGTCGCTTGCGAGGGCTGGTTCGAGGTCATTAGGTGCATTTTGGTCCGGGATTGCTAGGATGGGATGGAGGGCAGTGGGTTCCTGTTTCTCGGTCAGTGTCTTCTCTACCTATTACCATGTAAATGTACTAACATTGTTGACGGTAGCAGTTGCAGTGGGATGAACGGTCTCAACAGAAACAGTCTGTCCATGCTGGTCAACCCAGACGGTGATCACCTCTTCAGGCACAGCAACAGTTTCAGTTGCAATGGGGATAGCAACAGCCAGGCAGCTGAACAGGAACAATGCGAGCAAAGTAATGAACTTCATCTTTGCAAAACGAGCGAATGGTTGCTGTATGCTTGATGGGGGACTGGATGATGACTTGACGTCGAATACAGAAGCAAGGCAAAGGAGTGTCTAGCAGTAGAGAAAGCAAAGAGCGTGAGAAGAGGAACAAAAATATGACAGGACTGGCCCCTATTTATATTGAATAACACAATCATTCACACCATTGTGCATAGTGGAGTAGTTGAAAAGTTGCTGCAGATATTCACTCAGCCATTCACCCACCCAGTCACTCAATCGATGGTCGGACGGAAAATCAAGACTCTGGATCTCCACTGCTCCAGGGGGGCGATAACTGGGGAAGAGATCCATTAAATTGATTTTCGGGCGTAGGAATGTTGCTCTCATACCTACTTTGTTGAGACGTCTTAGTGAGGAATGAGACGGTATTGTATCCCTTCATTTTTGGCTCGATTACCCCAGAGCCCCAGATCCACAGAAGCCTGGGTCATATTCAAGGGCGCCAGTGTAAGGAGAGTGTTGGTATCAAGCCACGAAGCTATCACTGGCTTCAAAATCAATTTGCTGGGATTAATCAAGTATCTCTGTAAGATGGCGAATCCGAAGAAAAACCCGGGAATCTCGTTCGTGAAACTGATACATAATGTTAGCACAAATCCCATGCCATCACTGGACGTATACCATACCCAGTAACCCAGTAATTCTTGTAAGCCGCCTCCAAGCAATTCAGTTGGCGGAGATTGCAGCCAAGGGCTTTCCTTCTGTTCAACACCAGACCTCAACCATTGAAACCAATTCAAAGATTTTTCAGTCCAAAATCTTAGATCACAGGAAAAGGGAAACAAGAAGAAAGAAACATCAACCTCCAAACAGCCCCCAGTCCACAATCTCCAATCTTTCCACCAGCCCATCGATAATCGCAGCTGCTAATTCCTCCTCTCGTGACAGGCCCCTTGGATCCCCCTTCTCATCAAACTCCTTATGTGGGACATTAAAGAAAACCAACATATCGGTCTCCTGCTCCTCGAGCCTAACAAGCAGATAGTGAACACTCACGCTGGACACCGAGCTCCCGTCAGCGCTCGAGCCCGGTGCCGCACCTCCAATGGAGGGTGCAACTCCGGAGCGCGGTGCCGTGGAGGAATTCATCTGCGCAATACCCTTGTATACATTTGCTCGGGGAATTTTCCGGGCGGTGACCTGCTGGGGAGGAGTGACGATGCGCAAAATATCCGCATCGCCGTCGCGGATATCGTTTAGATGGTACAGCGCCGCCGCTTTATCGACGGGTTGAGGGCCACTGTTAGTAGTGGAGCCCAGGAATTCGAGGACGTCTGGGTTAGGGTTTGCTTGGAGAGCGGAGAGAGCTACTTGTTCTGAGACGCGCTCATTGATTTCGAAGATGAGGTTTGAGAGCGTAGTCGGGGAGAGAAATAGTTCTTGATGGTCGGGAATTTGGCGGAGCTCGCTGGTCGACATTTGGTTAGTAGAGCATAGCATAAGGTAATGGGCTCTCGGACCTTGCATCGAGCCAGCGCTCTGGTATTATAGCTTTGATGGCGCCGCCATAGATGTCTTGAGGTATAAAAGTGGCCATGACGAACTGATTGATGCTTGAAGCAGTAGGTGGGGGGTAGTTTTTACGCGCAGGTCGTAGCTGGGAGCCTGGGATTGATAAGATCTGCCCCGCGGGCCCCGCCTACGTAACAGGAACTGGGCTACTCCAGAGCAAGACGGTTCAATAACCTGTCTCTACGTGGTCTAACGACTATGGTCTATTGAATGATGTTCGGAGATTCTTCGATTCAGCACTCATGATACTCAGTAACGAGCTAAATAGGCTGGTACAAGAAAGGAAGACAACGCTGAGTGCCAGTAGTACAAGCTGGTGAAACCCTAAATCTTCAGCAGTTCTTCAATGTAGTCATCCAGGAGAACAATCCGGAATTGATTCCCCCACCGAGAACGGAATTCCTTCTTCTTATAAGCCCAACTTGTCACCTGAGAGAAGCTAACCAACTCGACTTTCCAGCCACGTTGGAGGGCTCGTTCAACCATCTTCATGAAGCCGCCGGAGTACTCTGCTTCTGCAGCATCTCCCGTTGCCAGCACCATTGTTGACGGCTCATCTGCGTCTAACAGGCTTTCTAATATCTTCAAGTGTAGAATTTCGTCCACACCCTGCTCGACCCAACGCTCTTCCGGGGCATCGTTCGTTTCTGAACCATGGCCGCCGTCCCGAGATGTTACCCTAGGATTTCTCCTGAATTTCACCTGACGAGGGGTGAGCTGTTTGATTTTTTGAACCCGGTTGAGAATGTTGGCTTCGTATCCGAGTTCCTCGCTTTCGTTTATAGCAGCGATCCGATCCGAGCCAACGAGAATTTTTTTAGCTGCTGACCGACCGCGTTCTAATATCAACGAGAAGTTTTGATATGAAAGTGGCAAGCGGCGGATCCTGGTTTGGACAGGTATATTCCGCGAGATTTTCATCGTGTCGTGAAAACCTACCATGATCTAGACCACAGATTAGTAAAGCAGAATGCAACAAGCTATGAAGTGAAACATACATTCGAAATATCGACAAACACGTGTATTGGACGAGAAGACGAATCAATTTTCTTTGATTGTTTCGGCCGCCCAGAATCGGCGATAAGCTCAGCATAGTCGGGAAATTCCTTCAGAAGCTTCGTCAACATCCCCAGTCGTTGATCAGGTGCGGATTTGTACGCAAGTGGTTGCAATCCAGGTGCGCCAGTGCTGGCGCTGGCAGGATATTTGATGATGTTCTTCGGAGTCAAAAATTCATCTAATTCGTCAAAAGAAGATGGTGGCGTCTCAAGATATCCTGCTCTAGCTCCTGAAACACCGACCTGCGGTGGAATCATTGGTGGAATGCTCCGAGGTTGCGAGAGCGGGTGGTCAAAAACACTACTATCCGACTCCCCTTCTAGGTTACTCTCTGATGAGCCAGCATCTTTATTGACTTTGGTCCGATGGCGGCGTCGCTGGACGGCTGTTTCCTTAAGAGGAGCGTCGGGAACCTTGGACTGTTTGAGTATAGTAATGGGTTTGCTCTGTGCATGAGACTGTTTCGGGCATGGTTCTTTCGGCCATGGCCGAGTGTCACCGAGCTTCTCGCTCTTTGGAGTAGTCGAAAAAGGAGCGTCGGGAGCGTCTGAGTGTTTGAGTATGGTAATGGATTTATTCAGTAACCGAGCCGGTTTCGGCCATGAATGAATCTCATCAAGCTTCTCGCTCTTTAAAGTTGCCAAAGAAGAAGCATCGAAAGCTTTGGGCCGTTTGAGAATGGTAATGGGTTGTGTTGATAACTCGGACTTCAAAGATGGTCGAGTGGCGGTGTCATTTTCCTTGCTCTCCGGATCAGAAACGCCGGTGTTACCCAGCAGCTCCCACAAAGAGCCGAAATCCCCCAGCTTCGGCGTCAGGAATCGTTCCCTGATGTCCGACGACGTCCCAGCGTCATCTTTCCTTATCTCGTGTGACGCAACCGAAGATAGGGGATAATCCGAGAAACTATTACATGCCGACGATCCCTCGTTCTGACATGTGGGTGATCGCAATAGGTTAATCACCGGGGTGAAATCCCAGTTTGAGGATGCAGAAGATGGTATCATTGACGAATGTCACGGCCCCGTAGCAGTAGTGATTCTATCAAGCTTTGATCCCTTGTTGATTCAAGGTAGGCTTGAGATGTGTTCAAGCTTGCTCAGCAAGATTTTCGGGCCAAGGTCGAGAGTATCGAATGTACGTTACTATGTTGGACGTTTAATGACGGCTGTGGCGGACGATAAATCAAGGCTCGAAACTAAGGCGCAGGTAAAATTAGAAGTCAAAAAGAAATTCTCATAGAAGCAAAGCAAATCAACATCGCGAAAGGCAATGAAACCAGAAAAGAATGCAGTAAACGACTATTTCGTTGGTAGGGCGTAGATTTGGGCATTGAGAATGACTCTCCGTTGATATGGGGGGCGGATCTTTGGTGGCGGTGCCCAATTCTGCCTCGAGGAACCGCCTTGTCTCCACGGTCAAAATCGGATTTCGGGAGAGCATAATTCCGCGTTTCACGTGCAACAAGTGATAAGCGATAAGCCCAATATTACCTAAGGGATGTCATGTCTACGTCATTTCAGGATTAATAGCAACAGGGTTACGCCTGACGCAGCCGCCGATAACCATTATTATTCAATGGTGCCATGGTGAGATCGACCCCGGACTGTCACCTGTGCGATCTTCGATTTGACGTTGACCCAGTGCGCTCTACTGGACCCTGCGGTATCAACGCCTATTCGCCACGGTCCCCCGGTTGAATGACGTACTTTCACAAGCCGAAGATGATACTGGGATCTACTTCGTACACCACCAAAAAGGTCGGAGGTGGGAAGGCACAACATCATGGATGGGAGTCGATTGCCTTCTGGATTCTTGAGACTCAACGTCATGTCTGACGTTCATTAGAGTGCCAGAAAGCTATATATACTCCTTCCTCGACCGTCCTTTGAGCTCCTTCATCATCAGCTTCTACCATCACAAACAACGACCAATCAACTAAGACTACTTTGAACTTTCCAACCCCAAACAAATAAACCATCTATCATCATGTCTGACTCTGGTCGCAAGGATTTCTCTACCAGTAAGTCAACTCTTCCGTTATGGTACAGAGACACGTGAACTCACAAGCTTTGCAGAGGCCAAGGAGGAGATCACTCCTGACTCCAGCAAGTCCACCCAGGAACGAATGAAGGAGACCGTCACCGACACTACCGACCGCCTCTCTCGCGGCGCTCAGCCCGATGACAACAAGAGCTCCACCCAGCAGGCCTTTGACAAGACCCAGCGTGCGGACGACCGCCATGCTCACGGCAGCACCCCTCGGTCTATGTAAGTGGCCTTGATGATTTCTTTCAATAAGCATTGTGCTGATAGCATGTCTAGTGGCGACAAGGTCAAGAATGCTGTCGGTCTCGGTGACCACTAGATGTGATCGTTTCCCGATGATGGCTTCTCACTGATTACCTGTCAATGATTGCCCCGAGCATCAGCTTTCGCTTCATGAATGTGTTATGAATTTCACGATACCAACATACCTTAGGTAGCCTCTGTACCTGACTTGTCATTAAGCTTAATGTGAAACAATGAATCCCCAGAATATTTGATTGTAATTGGGCATCGTCGGCCGTTCGTATATAAGAGTAAACCAAGCCCCTATCTGTCCACCAAGCCTTCGAACATAGAGTCCCGTGTCCGGATGAGTCGGTTGAGCTCCTCTTCTAATTCTTTATACTTGGCTCGAGCACCATTTATGTCTTTGGGAAGGTTGTGGAATGTCTGGATCATAGCCTCGAGGGACTTGACCGATTCTACCATTCGGCCGACCTCTTCCTCTGCCCACATGACTTTCTCAAGAGTGGCGCCTTTGTTGCTATTCCGCTCCAATGCCGTCGACCTATCCTGATACTCACTAACCTTAGCATTAAGCAACTTTGTACCTCTTGTCCATTCAGATGTAAGCGCAGGAAGGTTGGCAGGCATCTCAAACGCAGGGTTCGACTTGAGCTCTTCGAGTTGTTCGCGTAGAGTGACCATTTCTCGCGTAAGATAGCTCTGCAAGCTCTCAACCCTCTTCATCTGGTCCTGAGTTTCGAACTCTTCCCTGGTGAGGTCGATTATCGACTGACCCACATCCATGGTGCTGGTTCCCAGCGCGCCCAAGACAACAACTGTTTCTGCTAGATCATCGAGATCCCGCTCACCGGCTTCGTCAAGAGAGTACTCTACCGCCTCCAGAAGTTCCACCTTCTGCTTAACCTCCGTCTTCTCTCGAGCCTTGAAACCTTCAATCGTTTGTCGGCGGGCATGGTGGAGCATCGCTGCCTCCTCGTCTGCTGCCTCGTTCGCCGCAGCCAGGGCTAATAGAGTGCGTAGGGTATCTTCGTTTTTCTCGAACTTGGGGATCGGGTTCGGTGCGTACTGGCGGCTTAACCAGGAGTTCACGTATGCCCAGTCTTTGGCCTGAATGGCGGCTTGACGCGCCTTGGCTGGGGAAGCAAGTGGGCTGTCCATGACGAAAAACCTGAGGAATTCGCGCCTAGACGTAAATATTTGTGCCTTTGTGCAGCAATTGGAAGGACACGAGTGTAAGTTGACTGGTCTGCTAGTCGGTCGACCGAATGGGGTCTGAGTTCGTCGTCAGGCCAAGATTGTTGATCCCGCGATCTTTCTCTCTCCGCCTCCGCTGACCCCACGATCCAGACCGTTCTTGCAGGACCGTCCCTGAACCATTGCCAACTCCCCATGGCTACTGGCAGTTATTTTCCTCCTCCTGGAGCTTCCTCCAGCGTATCGCCTCGAACTTCATCTCCAGCATCGTCGCCACTTTCACCCCCGCTCCAACAGCGCTCCAATGCCTTATCAAACCGATTGACAAGTGTACTCTCCGTGTCGTACGCGGACTCGGATATACGCGATGCGCTCGAAACTCTTAACCTCAGGGGTATTCACAACACGGCGGAGGTGCGGAGGCAATTGCGTCTCGATGTGCAGAAGGAGGTAGTGGATTGCAATGCGGAGATCGTGAGGGACTTTGGCAACGTCGCGGAGGTAAGCGGATCAGGCCAGGGACGGGCAAGGCGATTGGGGCCTTAAGGCTATAGGCTGACAGGCTTGCAGCAATTGAAACGCATCGGTAGCGTCATATCGAGTTTGAAAGAAACATGCGACGAAATGCGCAAGCACATCGTGCTGGCCAAGCAGGACACGAACCCGGTTTTGGAAGAGGCATCTGCGTTGATGAACCAGAAGCAAGAGGCCGAAACGAAACAACGTCTGTTGGATGCATTCACGAAGCATTTCATAGTCTCGGATGAAGAGCTCCTGGTGCTGGCTTCGGTTGAGGAGCCAATAAACGACGAATTTTTCGATGTCCTTGCGCGGGTAAAACAGGTCCACCGTGACTGCGAAGCTCTGCTGGGTGCAGAAAACGAGCGGCTTGGTCTTGAGCTCATGGATAAAAGCTCTAGGAGTCTGAACTCGGCCTATCAAAAGCTATACAGGTGGATTCAAAAAGAGTTCAAGTCATTGAATCTCGAGGATCCCCGAATCAGTAGCACTATCCGCCGCGCTCTGCGTGTGCTGGCTGAGCGTCCAAGCTTGTTTCATAGCTGTCTGGACTTCTTCGCAGAAGCGAGAGACTACGTCCTGTCAGATGCGTTCCATTATGCCCTAACTGATGCCGTCTCTGGAGGCGATAATGCCGTGAAGCCCATCGAATTCTCCGCCCATGACCCCCTGAGGTATATTGGAGATATGCTCGCGTGGGTTCACTCCACAACGGTCTCAGAGCGTGAAGCTCTGGAAGCCTTGTTTGTTGATGAGGGTGATGAGCTTGCCAAGGGAATTCGAGCCGGTCTAAGCAGCGAGCCGTGGTCACGCATCGACGAGGATGCAGAAGTTACTTTTGACGGACAAAAGGCCCTCAGCGATCTAGTCAGTCGTGATCTCATTGGGGTTGCTCGTTCATTGCGGCAGCGTGTTGAACTGGTGATCCAAGGCCACGATGATCCAGTCACTTGCTACAAGGTCGTCAATCTACTTTCCTTTTATCAGACCACTTTTTCTAACCTGATGGGCCCTAACTCCAACCTCGCCGACCTGCTCCAAGCCCTCGAAAAGTTCACATTGAACCACTTCCAGACAATAATGCGCGACGATGTCAGCAACCTCTCAACAGATCATTCCGCTCTTGCGCCTCCACACGATCTATCGGCGCCCCAGTTCCTGCTAGACTCGTTAGAGATTCTAACATCCGTGATGAGAGCCCACGAAGCATCTCTAGGAACAGACGAACTCAGCACCACGCCCGGAATCGAAGAAAACAAATTCACACCAGTCCTCCACGCAGCTCTCGATCCGTTCTTCAGCCTCGCAAAATCTTCTGCAGATGAACTTACCAATCCCACTGCGCGTGCAATCTACCTTACAAACATTCATATCACCGTACGCTCCTCCATATCACCCTTCCCCTTCGCAACAGCAACGCATCTTCCTCCTCTCTCATCAACACTCTCCACTCTCCGTGTCGAGCTCCTGGAGATTCAACACCGCTATCTCCTCAACACCTCAGGCCTCCAGGTCCTCATAACTGCCCTGCAAACTTTCTCGCAATCTCCAGGGTCAGGCACAGATCAAGATCTCGCCGCCATTGCAAAACTCGCGGCCTTCCAGCCCGAGGCCCTCGTTGCTATCAGTCAGCAACTAGACGACTTCCTCCCCTCCGCACTCATGGACGCCACGGATAATCTGAAGCGCGTGCAGAATGCGACCTTTGTGAAGAGCGTTACAGAAGAAGCAGTTGAGGCGTTTTGCCGTGATTTCGAATTTGTGGAGGGTATGATTATTGGAGCTGACGAGGCCAGATGCATTGGGCAAGCTGACGGTGCGGTTGCGGAGGACGAAGGAGATGATAAAGATGAAAAAGGAAGCGAACAGGAACAAAGCCTAAGGAGGTTGTTCCCGCGCACAACGGGAGAAATCCGGGTCTTGTTGAGTTGATTTGCTTTCTGCCAGTCCTACATTGGTGATTAAAGCACTGCCTATTCTACATAATAGTATATAGCCATAGCTGAGAAACAGTACAATATGCACAAACATCACATCTACTATTACATTAGTTACTGTACTCTGCACTACGTAATAGATAGGGCAACGTCACTCCATATACTTCGGAAAATCCCACGCCGAGGCCGACCCTAAACGCTTTTCCCGATTCGGAAGCGCAAATCCAAGTTTCAAGGAGACCGCGGAGGAGCGAAGCAACAGCAAGCAAGCCTTCCTACCTCTTTCCTCTCGTATCTTATCTTAGATCATTTTTCGCAAGCGGGAAAATGGTCCAACCCCTGAGGCGAGGCGTGAGGACGCTCACATGGACACGAGTCCTCCCTCGCCAAACGCGACAACCTGCGTCATCGCATCGCGGATCTCAAGCAAGATACGTCCAGATTCGTGCCTCGCCTACGGAGCAACCGGCCACAGTCAATGGGGGCAACGTGCCCATTGTTGATACACCCAGCTCTGCGGAGTCTGCCGGTATGTGGTCTTCGTATCCGTCGGAAAATATCCGTCGCTAATTCACGGACATTGCAGATGCGCGATTCGATGTCATCGGAGCACCATACTCGTTACTATCGGTTTCGCTTTCGGCCTCACAGAACCTCTACACACGGCGCGGAACGCTAGTTGGGTTGAGTGGCAAGGCGGACAATGTAAGCGATTACAGGCTGGGTTCGAACGTTCGCTTTGGCTGATGGTGCCGGTATAGGTGATTTCGACGTTGAGTGTTCTGGAGCCCTTTCGGAGGGCTCCTGTTGGTGTGCCATTCCTATACCAGAAAGTACTTCTTCCTTTTTTTCGGCCTTGGAACGTCAGGTATTGATCTGTGCTATATAGGTCTCCTCCGCTAGTCCCGTCACTGCCTTGATTTCCACTCGATCTCCCGTTACATCGTTCGCCGTTGTTCATCTCAATGGCTCTGTCGATTGGATGGTGGCCCAGAGAAGGGCGTTGCTGGCATGGACTGGTCGCTCGCTGACTATCCGTCCAACGATCAACACAAGCCTGGTTGGTACTTCCGGTCTCGTTCACTAGAAGGGCTAGACTGATTTATGCAGAGCATGGCTCATTGGGGTAGCTCCGAGGTCACCGGAAGGGGTTTGCTTGCTCTTGTTGGAAGCGGCCAACTATACTCTGTTGAGCTGAAGGCGGGCGAGCAATACATTGTCCACCCTAGGTATGTCTGAGTGACTGCTCTTTACTACCGCAGCCGCTAACCATTGAAAGCAATGTGGTCGCCTACACCGTGAGCCCCAATCCTCCTCGCCCCTACCGCTTCAAGTCAACGACCTTGAAATTCCAAGTCCCAGGCCTGAAAAGTCTCCCCAACTTCCTCCAAAACACACAGTTCATCAAAGCCATGTCGGAAACAGACTCATGGAAAACCGCCATGCGGATATTCCACAGTGTCCGTACGTGGTCGCGGATGACAATTTGGGGAGATAGGCTGTTCCTTCAGTTTGACGGCCCCTCCACTATCCTCTTACAATCCCGCGGATCCCGGGTCAGCGATGTTCTAAGCACCCAAGAGGTCAATGAACTCGCAAGCACACCTCGAGGCCTCACGATCCTCCCTCCCAAGTCAGAGGCAAAGGACACTGACTCCGAGCAAGCCGACGTCCGCAAAGTTCCTGGCTCAAGGACGGTGGATGAAATTGAACAAGAGATCAAGGGTGTCTCTCAGAGTATCGCTGTCCTGACAAAGGATGGGAAGGTCACATTCGAGAAGCCGGGACAATCATAGAAGACGATAACTGTACAACACATACTCCGTATACACCCATCATATTTTCCTGAAGAATGATATCTGCCAATATCATTTTATGCTTATCTTAAGGGAACCAATTATGTCAGTTTCTGCTATCGAGGCCACGGAAAGGACTGCGACCACGGACTTTGCTTTCCTGGTCATGTAACGACGCTAGAGAAGGCACAGGGGCCGGTGTGGTTTTTCCTTCTCTCCATGCCCTTCGGAGTTCCAATTAGTAGGCTTCAGATGAGTTTCTCTTATGTAAATATGCAGGCAGGTCCATGCATGGTCATTCGTCAGCGCTGTACAACTCCGACACTGCAGAAGCTGTACCACGTACCGCACAGGATAAACGATATTGTGGACCAGCTCAGCCAGCCCTAAATTCGAGATCAGAAGGTTAGATTCGTCCTCATCAATCTAAGTGGAGGAGCACGGTTCGAGGCTGGCTGGATGAGACTGCAAGGTTGCAGCAGGCAACGCTGAAGAATCCACTCCTTGCGCCCGCGCCAGGGTTCACCCCGAGTCACCTCGTCACCAAGAATGTCGTGTAGCAACAACCGGCACAGACCAAGCAGACAACCGGTTGCTGTTTGCGAATGCGCAAGAATGAGTCGGCCCCTCCTTATCTTGTTGCGCGAGCATGCGTTATGGCCTGTCCTCCCATGTTGAGAGCACTACCGTCCTACTCCTCCCACGAACACACAGTCTAGCTACCGTTCGGTGGTCAAAGCAGAACATGTCTAGCAGTGAGACTGTAACTGTGGACGAAAGTGCTCCCTTTCATATCTCGACCGTCGAGTACGAGACGCCTAACCAACGACGGAGCTCCTTCATTGAGACCGTAGCGAATGGAGCTGTGGTTATCGATCAAGAGAAGTTCGGAGTACGGACTCGGTCTCGAGAGGCATCAGCTCCGAGCTCACTTCCGGCTGATGCACCTCCAGATGGAGGACTCCGAGCATGGAGTACGGTCGTCGGTGCCTGGTGCGGCATGTTCGTGAGCTTCGGCTGGATCAGCTGTGAGTATCTCAGCACATTCAGACCTCAAGATCCAGTTGACCAACATAGATCGATATAGGCATCGGTGTCTTCATTGACTACTACAAAGCCCACCAGCTTCGAGATGTGAGCACGAGCGCAATAACATGGATCACCTCACTGGAGTATTTCATGATGTTCTTCGGGGTTCGGCTACACCTACAATACCCTACTCAGCAGCATCTACGTCCACATCCATACTAACTTTCCAACGCAGGGCCCCTTCGTCGGTATAATCTTCGACAACTTCGGCCCGCGCTGGGTCCTCCTCTCCGGCTCATTCCTACATCTCTTCGGCCTAATGATGATCTCCATCTCCTCAAAATACTACCAATTCCTCCTCGCGCAAGGCATCTGCAGCCCAATTGGCACAAGCGCTCTCTTCCACATCAGCATCAACTGCGTAAACACCTGGTTCCGTCGCCGCCGCGCCCTCGCCCTCGGAATCACAGTCAGCGGCTCAGGCTTTGGGGGCATCATTTTCCCTATCATGCTGGCGCGGATCACACAGCTGGTGGACTTTGGCTGGGCGATCCGCACCTGCGCGTTCACAAGCTTGTTCCTGCTGATCATCACAAATGGGACCATCCGCTCGAGACTGAAGCATAAGCGACGAAGCCCGTTGTGTCACCCGCTGGATTTCCTGAGGCCTCTTCGGGAGATCCCGTTCGTCTTAACGAGCGCAGGTACGTTCTTCTTATATATGGGGCTGTTTCTCCCGTTTGCATTCATCCCGACCCAGGCGCAGAGGTACGGTATGTCGTCGTATCTAGCGTCGTACCTGCTCGCTATTCTCAATGCTGGAAGGTTAGTCAGGCCTCCAAGACCTCAGTAGAAAACCCCTAACAACGCACAGCATCCCCGGCCGCATCCTCCCCCCTTATATCGCCGACCACCTCGGCCGCTTCAACCTCATGATCCTGACAACGCTCGCCTGTATAATCCTCGTGTTAGCCCTCTGGCTCCCGAGCCGAAGCAACGGGCCAGCAATCGCATTCGCCGTGCTGTACGGGTTCACCGGCGGCTCAGCCGTCTCTCTCGCGCCGGCTCTCGTCGCGCAGATCTCCGATATCCGGCAGATTGGTGTGCGTAGCGGGACGTATTTTGCCATTGCGGCGTTTGCGGCTCTCACGGGGACGCCCATTGCTGGGGCGCTCTTGCCGGAGCCGCTGAGTGGGAGCTATTTGGGTATGGAGTTGTTTTGTGCGGGGAGTATGGCTGTTGCGGTTGTGTTTTATGGGGTTGCGAGAGGGATTGTTCCGGGGGGTGGGTGGGGGTTGAGGGTTAGGGTTTAGGACTGTGTCTTGTCTTTGTGAGCAGATCATGATCACGGTTGGAATGTTGTTGCCCTTGGGTATGATTGGGAAACGCCCCAACTAGGGCTAAATCATGCATATTTTGACTATGTAACTAACCCTATAGTATGCAGTAGTAGGTAAATAAGCGCCAAACGCCCTCGCTTCAATATAGATGCAAATGCATAATGCATAGACAACGCACCTTATACCATGCTCTTGCGAAATGAAATCAAGCATGCAGGTCAACTAAACAAAAAATCATCAGAGGGACAACATATGGGGAATGCCGAATAGGGTAAACGTGAAGCCAAAACCAAAACCGAAATGCAAATGAGAAATGCGACGCGATTCCAATGCTTCAGATGAAGATGCAGCGCAATGCATAAACGCAGAGTTTTCTATACCAAAACACCAGCCCGCATACTCTGAACCGTCTTTACACCACAGCCCTTCAACTTGCTTAATTCCGCCAGACTGTTGATACGGACCTGACTTTCCTCCGAAAGCCCCTGGTCCATCTCACAGAGGCAGTCCACGATAGCCTCGGCCTTCTTCACGCCGACGCCTTTGAGGAGCTTGATCTGGCTGACGTCACGGGAGTTGATTATGGAAAGAAGGTGGATTGTTCGAGGTGACGGGATAGATTCGTCGCCATCTAGGGAGACCAGATCCAGTTCAGGGCTTGTTTGCTTGGTTGTCTTTGCACGCTTCTTGCGCTTGAGGTGAGACGTCTCTGTCAAGTCGAAATCGGCGTCTGAGTCAAGGACGTGGGAGTCTTGGTCTTCGTAGTCTGCGTCGGCCTCTTCAGCGACAGGTCGTTTGGTGCCTTGTTTCCTAGATGACGGCAGAGAAAGCAAACTGCCCATTCCCTTCTTAGCCTCTACCGCGGGGGTGCAGGTTACTTCAATTTCCTGGCGGGATTTGTCCTGGATGCGCTGTTTGAGGTTGCTGATCTTTTTGGCGAGCTTTTCGTTTTGCGGGAAGAACGGAAGAGCTAGCTGATACATCTTAAGCGCTGAGATGTCTTCGCCACGGCCCTGGTGTTGTTTTGCCATGAGCAGATATGATAGCCCCTCGGCCCTACTATCCTCAGAGCCCTCGATGCGCTGCTCCAGAAGTTCCAAACGCCGTTGGACCTGTTCGTTCAGCTCGCGAACCTGTGTCTGTCTTGACTTCTCGCTGACTGCGCGCACAGCCAATATCTCTTCCACCTTCTTCTCCACGAGTTCCTCGATTCTAGCAGAGATATCCTCCTGTTGGTGTTTCGGAGGGACTCTCGGGGGTTGCGCGATTCGACTAGCTTTCGCTGAGCGTAGTCCAGGTAACTCTGAGCTTATTGAAGGTCGGCTAGGGATCTCTGGCTTCTTGAACACAGCAGACGTCCTCGGATTTGGTTTGTCCGCATAAACGTTGAATGCTTTTGCCGGTTTGGGATCGCCGGGCTTCGAAGCCTCCTTATCTTTATTGGCAGCGAGGTTGACGTTAACAGATGCTGCCAATGGCCGAAGAGGTTGCCGTTGGGCTGTGAATGAGGGTCGAGCTGCAGGTCTCGGAGGTCCTTTGAAGATTGGCTCGTTTTCCACTTCGCGCAGTTCGATCTTCTTGGTGCGGTTGGCGAAGTTGAGTGAGCTGATTGTGTCCAAGTGATAAGACCTGACGGGGGCCAAGTTTAGAATCATCACAGTAAGCCCGTTATTCTGACCCAGTGACAGGATCCTAGTCATCTTGGACTCTCGGTATGGTATACGTTGATGCTTCTTGGTGATCGCCTCCACACATTGGGCCAGGACAAAAAGACTCTTGTTGATGCTAGCAGATTCTACCATCCGTTCCTTGTCATTATCCGTTCGGCGGTTATCTTCCGAGCCAGCAAGATCAATAGCAGATGCAGTGCTGATACGAGTTTGGTCGCCGGTAGTGATCGCAACCTTTACGCAGAGGATAGCATGTGACCGTGACGAGTGGGCATTTAGCTGTAGGCCATCAGCTGCGCTGTATCATTGTGGTCGTGAATCAATAAACAAACCTTGGTAGCGGAGGTAGATCTGTTGATATTCGCCTGGTCATACAGGATCTCAAACTCCTTCAAGCTGTGGCACGGCCTCTCCGTCAAGCCCACAACCACTGTCTTCCCACCATTGTCCCTAAGCGGTAGGCCGGCCATCGTTCTCTTCTCCGGCGGCTCAAATAGATCGAATACCTTGTCGTTGTAGATTTCATAGTAGCTCAAGGAAACGCTGACCGAAGTTTGCCCCTCGCTATCCTTTTCCATCTTGCGGCTCCGTCGGTATATGCTGCTCAGGAGACGCGGAATAACACCCCGTTCAGCGAGACTTTTACCACCTCGCATTGTGTGCGTCTTTCCCGTTCCAGTAACTCCATAGGCAAAGAGGGTGACATCAAAACCGTTGAATAGATGCTTGACGGTCGGGGTAACTATCATATCTGTTAGTATACCGCTGCTTCAAGTCCAGGCTACAAGTCACAAACCCTCTGCCTCGAATAGCTCTTGTTGAGACGCCTCCGCATCGTAGACTGCATTGAATTGGAAAGAGTACTCCTCATTTTCGTTCTTCGGGTTCGGAATTCGTACGAGTGTATCCCTATCCCTCAGCGCGGCCAGCTTCGACATCTCTTTAGAGACCTTCTTGTCGTCCTTGGGAGGTAGTGTATGCTTAGATCCGGTATGTAGGATAATGTCGACATCCCTTTCCGACTTCAACAGCGGCCGAACCCGCGCGACAACACGTACGCTCATTGTGTAGACAACTGCTCAACGTCTTGGTGTAAAACAATAGAGGACCGCCGTATCGCAGTCCCTTCTGTCCGTCTAATCTGGCCTCGCGGTCTATCGTAGCATGGTATAACTGGCCGTGAGCGAGGTATATCGGAGATTCAAGTAGTTCATCTAAAATCACAGGAGAAATGCAAATCAATGAACCCAGAAAAGCTTGAATCAGAATGAAAGAAATGCAAAGACGCCGGGAGTAATGGGTGAAAGCTGCAATTCGAGCATAAGACGATGATTATTGCAGGATAAAGCGGAGTGAAGCAGATTGTGGTGCGAGCAAGCGACTAACGCGTTGGCAGGGCAACCGTGAACTATATCCTGGTGACGGAACCATGGCATTTAACCTGAAAAGTATCTACTTTATATCTACTTTATATGGTCTATTTCACAGTTATTTTATTGATCTTGTTGTTTCCACATCGGTGTAGCTTATTGATTATAAGCATAGCTCTCTATATATAGCTGTGACTGCCCAACTCACATATACTGCCCAGACAGTCCTCCAGTCCTCCGGTCTAATATCACGAATTCACGATCACCTCTATCAAAAAACAACAGTGGCAGAGTAAAATAGGATACTTTGGCATACTGGTCTAGTGGCTCTCTCACCTCGTCCCTACTGACGCCACAGCAATCAGCTGCCCAACAAGCAATGGCAATAGCACTGACTGACTGACTGCCACCCAACATGCACTCATTTTCTGTCTCTTATATAGGTACAGCCTGGCCACAGAGCCACTTGAGCATAGGTTCAGTAATATTACTCGTCGCACACCTTGATCTGTCAGTCTTGAGATCTGTGCAACCCGCCAGCTTACCAAATAGATATGCATCCTAGTTAGTAGTCCCAGAGGCTATAAGTATTAAAGCAGCTAGCTGCGCCAGCTATCTTTTGTTGGCCGCTTTGCTCGGCTTTAACTACCGCGCTCCTTTGCTTTGTAGCATCCTATTCCAAAGAATCACAGTATAGAGGGCATCCCTGATGCTAGTTCCACAGTAACCTCCATGCCACGTATTACGCCTTATATAGTGAGCGAGATTTTGGCATCAATTATAATGGCCTAGCTGTCGTAGACTGTCCATAATAATGTCTGATACCAATGAAATTGTGTCTTATTTGCCCAAGTTGTTTATATATACTTATGATATTATTGACGCAAGCCACTTTATATCTATGGCATTATCCTTTAGACTCTTGTGAAAACCAAAATAATATGTATCTCAGTCAATTATTTATTCGGTCTTATTTAGGATAAAACCAATAAACCCAGCATTTGAGCTCTGAGCCCCAAACTTGACACCATATACACCGCATTTCTAGAGAACGACGTCGGATGATGTGGGAAGAAAGTTAGATATTTAGGTTAAATAGGAGAAGACTGTCTTGAGAGCAAATGCTGGACAGCGTCCATTCCTATTTGGACACGATCATCAAATTTCTGGTTGAGAGATGACATAGCTATAGATACCAGGCTACCCCGTATCTCGATTCGAGTCGGCTAAGCTGCGGGGCATTCTGATTGGCGCAGGCCCAAAGGCCACCGTAACCCGACCTCGACTTGTAAGTTGACCTCAACTCCAGGGCTCCCTCCCACAACCCCCCTTCTCGACCCCTACTCCACATCCCTCATAGATAATTTCTTTTCTCCGGCTGTTAGTTGCAGATATTCTCCCTCTGTCCGTGACCCAAGCATTGACCTGTCCGACAGAGCGAACCTGAAGCGAGCTACGCGACCGGACTCCATCCCTCTCCGAGAACGCCGCCGGACGACATTCGAATAAGCGGAATATTCCCTACCGGAAAGTTATAGGAAATCTCGATGGCATCTCCACAAGGGGGCTACCCTCCCCAGGAAGGGTACGGACAACAACCCGCGGGCTATGGAGCCCCTGTTCAGCAGCCCGGGGAAGCTCCTCCCGCTCCACAAGCCCACGCCGGAGGGAAAAAGAAGAGAGCATATGCTGGAGAGGCCTTCGAGTTCGGCTCCGGTGCGAATGCTGCCCTCGGTGGTCAGCCGCCTGCCGGTGGTAGCTACGGGGCATACCCTCAACAGCCTGCCTACGGAGCCGATCCGTCGCAGATGGCTCAAGGATATGCTCCTCCAGTTGCCCCGGGAGTCGCACAGATGACCCAGCAGTTTGGTGCTATGGGTGTCACGGATCCTCACCTTATGCCACCTCAACCGGCTCCCCAAGCTCCCCAGGCCCCGCGAGCAGTTCCCCTCAATCAACTCTACCCGACCGACCTGCTCACCCAGCCGTTCAATGTTGCCGAGCTCGACTATCCTCCCCCTCCTATCGTCCTGGCGCCTGGGGTATGTGCTCGACAAGAAGGCTCGATGTGATGGGATGATGGCTGACATGTTGTTTAGACCAGCGTTTACCCCTCTCCCTATGCGAACTGCCCTTCGAAATATGTGCGCTCCACACTCAATGCCGTCCCGACAACGCACTCGCTTCTGAAGAAGTCAAAACTCCCCTTCGCTCTTGTCATTCAACCATACGCTGCCCTCCACGATGCCGAAGACCAAGTTCCAGTAATCCCAGACCAAGTCATCTCGCGTTGCCGACGCTGCCGATCTTATATCAACCCCTTTGTGACATTCCTGGACCATGGACATCGCTGGCGTTGCAACATGTGCAATCTGACCAACGATGTACCGCAGGCGTTCGATTGGGACACAACTCTCCAGAAGCCAGCAGACAGGGCACTGAGAGCTGATCTCAACCACGCAGTGGTGGAATTTGTGGCCCCTCAGGAATACATGGTTCGACCTCCGCAGCCGCTGGTTTATCTCTTCCTGATCGACGTGAGCTATTCGTCGGTAACCAACGGTCTTCTGGCTACGAGTGCCCGGTGCATCAAGGAAAGCTTGGACCGAATTCCCAATGCAGACCGACGGACAAGACTCGGTTTCCTCGCCGTCGATTCCAGCCTTCACTATTTCAGCATCCCTCGGGATGGCTCAGAGACATCCGACCCGCGTATGCTGGTCATCAGTGATCTAGACGAGCCTTTTCTTCCCATTCCCGGAGATCTACTGGTAACTCTGAGTGAGTGCCGTGAGAACATCGAGGTCTTCCTCGACAAGCTGCAGGAGATGTTCCAGAACACCCAGAACAACAGTTGCGCCATGGGCTCGGCCCTGCGTGCTGGATACAAGCTTATTTCTCCCGTCGGAGGTAAAATGACTGTTCTCACCTCTTCTTTGCCCAACGTCGGCCACGGTGCTTTGACCATGCGAGAAGATAAGAAAGTTCTCGGAACAAGCAAGGAGAGCGGTCTGCTTCAGACCGCGAACAGCTTCTACAAGAGTTTCGCTGTTGAGTGTTCCAAGGCGCAGGTGTCTGTGGATATGTTCTTGTTCTCATCTCAGTACCAAGATGTGGCGTCACTCAGCAATCTCCCCAGATACACAGGTGGTCAGACATATTTCTACCCCGGCTGGAATGCTGCCCGTAGTGAGGATGCGATCAAGTTTGCGCGCGAGTTTTCTGACTACTTGTCCTCCGAAATCGGTCTCGAGGCCGTGCTTCGTGTCCGCGCCACCACTGGTTTGCGCATGAGCACATTCTACGGTAACTTCTTCAACCGCAGCTCCGATCTCTGCGCCTTTCCTGCCTTCCCTCGTGACCAAGCATACGTTGTCGAGGTCGCGATTGATGAGACCGTCACAAAGCCTGTCGTCTGCATGCAAACAGCGGTGCTTCACACGACCTGCAATGGCGAGCGCAGGATCCGAGTCTTGACCCTGGCGCTGCCTACTACACAGAATCTGGCCGACGTTTATGCTTCGGCTGACCAGCAAGCTATTGCTACCTTCTTCAGCCACAAAGCCGTTGAACGGACACTTGGAAGCGGTCTGGAGCAAGCTCGCGAAGCCCTACAAGCGAAGGCTGTGGAACTGCTATCCACCTACCGAAAAGAACTTGCTGGTGGAAGCGTTGGTGGCGGCGGCCTCCAATTCCCCGCCAACCTTCGAGGCCTGCCTGTCCTTTTCCTCGCGTTGATCAAGAATGTACGTTTAAACCACCTCTGGCGTTTTGCCCGCATTTACTGACATCAAGCGTACAGCTCGGTCTACGCAAGTCGGCGCAGATACCGACGGATATGAGATCTGCGGCTCTTTGCCTGTTATCAACCCTCCCTCTCCCACTCCTCATCCAATACATCTACCCGAAAATGTACTCTCTTCACGATATGCCCGATAACGCCGGCTTGCCAGATGAGCAGACCGGCGAAATCGTCCTACCGCCCACTGTTAATCTGTCCTCCGAGCGAATAGTTCCTTATGGTCTCTACCTCATCGATGACGGCCAGACTCAGTTCCTGTGGGTTGGACGTGATGCGGTGCCGCAGCTCCTACTTGACGTCTTTGGCCTAGCTGATAGGTCCCAACTCCGGGTTGGCAAGCAAAACCTCCCTGAGCTGGACAATGACTTCAACGGACGGGTCCGGGCGGTTGTGGAGAAGAGCCGGGACCATCGGTCGAAGGGTGTGGGCAGCATTGTGGTGCCACACCTGTATGTGGTCAAGGAGGATGGAGAGCCCGGCCTTCGTCTGTGGGCGCAGACGATGCTGGTGGAAGACAGAGCGGACCAGGGGGTCAGTCTGGCGCAATGGATGGGCTCACTGAGGGAGAAGGTTTGAGACCCTTTTTGTTAGTCATTTGTCTATATTTTCTTGACTCTCTCGTTACCGAAGCCTGCAAATTCGTATTTGATAGATTAGACTGACGCGCTCAAACCGCAACAGGTCATCCAGTAATGATAGCATCTACGATTTTTGGCCGATTATGAGTTACCCTATACAACAATAAACCCGAGGTTGCTGACCTCATTCGCAATTCCGCTCCGGATTCTCATCCGTTCATTGTACCATCATCCAGCGCAGCTCTCAGGAATATAGGTGTTGTAAGGTGTAGAGGGGTATTTTGCTTTTTCGTCTATTTTCTCGTCCGGCCGCCGGTCCACGGTCGTGGCAGCAGAATGAATGATAATCGAGAGTTCTTCAAATAAGCTGCGCATTTGACCTGGCCTGTGTTGATCATGCACTGTAAACTTTCGATTACGGCTTAGCCTGCCAGGGAAGGCCGACGTGCCCAGAATAGACAGGACAAATCAACGGCGGAGGGAGCGAAGAGGATCGAGAGGCTGGGATAGAGGACGACGTGATTTGACAGGAGCCGGTGATATGTGATGGACTAGACGCTGTGATCAGTTGGAGCGGCAGCAGTAGCGCCGGTTTCGAGTACTGCCCCTCTCTGGCTGTTCAAGAGTGAATCAAAGTCTTCAAAGACCAAAGTTTGAGGTGTTGTCTGATTAAATTGCTGTGGGTGCTGAAACACTGGTCGAGACAGCACGAGAGGTTCCTGACCCAGAGTCCGTCCTCACTGCTGCCCCTCCATCCTGCCCTTAACCAAGGTTCCGGCACTTCTCCAGGTCGACTCTCCATCTTCAGTTGACTACATTGCTACTATCTGTCCTGAACTGTCTCTCAAGTTATCTATCGTCCTAAGGTAAAGTTCGACCTCTCTATACTCTGCCCTCTTCTGTCCAGTCGCCAGTGCTAGCTTCCCCTCGTTTCAGCTCACCCCCACTCTGGCCGATCTACGCCTGGGTTATTAACCTCTAGTTCAGTTCTCAACTGGGTCTCCGACTCCCCATCGTGCTGCTGCTTTTTCTTGGTTCTCGCCCTCCGCATTGGAACTTGGACCTCCAAGCTTCTTACCTGTCAACTTGCCAGCTTGGACTTTGTCGTTCCTGAGCTGTCCGGCCCCGTCGCCCAGAGCCAACACGGACAAAAGGACGGTAAAAATAGATCGGAGCTGTGAAACATCGACCTAGACCTAGACGGCGAATCCAGCTGGTGAGCTTCTCCTTTTCTTGCGATGTCTACAAATATTTTGTTTTCTTCTCCCAACTTCGCATGCATTGCCCTATTCTCCTACCTCGATCCTGGTTCTTCGCTATATTGACACCGTCGCCTACCGAACAGAACGCCTGATTTGGATCGAGGCCCTTTGAATCCCGGTCATCCAAAGCAACTGACTTCCATCGCCGGATTATACGTGAATCGGTTGGCCATTCCAAATTCCACCACGTTCTTGAACCTTTCCTTTATCTTCCCGATTCTCGTCGGCCTTCGCGGTTCGAGCGATAGCAGCCGGCACGGGCCATACCCCGCATTCGAATCTCGTCCGACCACCTTTCCAGTTCAGCGGATAAGTCGACAACGGATTGTTGGCGACTCCTGATATCGTTTGGAATACCGACAGAACCAGCAATTGTAAGCGTCTTCCATGGCCTCCATACCCGATTGCTACGTGAGATGGACGCACGGTCATCCTGCAGTGTGTACCTGCATGACACGCACTAAGTGTATTGCTTGAGTGTCTTTATCTCTGCGCGCATCATACTTCACCTAATGACCTGCTTTTGAGACGATTTCTCGCCATTAATTCAGATCCCACTTTATCACGGTACTAACTCTCGTCCAGTTCAAATCAACCAACATGGTGCAGCAACCGCCTCAGGGGGGCTCCAGGAAGATCTCCTTTAATGTCTCCGACCAATATGAGATTCAGGATGTCATCGGTGAAGGTGCCTACGGTGTTGTCTGGTGAGCATTATGGCGCAAATCAGGCTGGTTGATAACTGATTCCCGCAGTTCTGCTATCCACAAGCCTTCTGGGCAGAAGGTAGCAATCAAGAAGATTACACCTTTCGACCATTCAATGTTTTGTCTGCGAACATTGCGAGAAATGAAGCTGCTCCGATACTTCAACCACGAGAACATCATTTCCATTCTGGACATCCAAAGACCGCGAAACTATGAGAGTTTCAACGAAGTTTACCTCATTCAAGTACGTCTGCCTTTATGGATTTAAAGAAACGGCTGACCGATGGCCATGTAGGAATTGATGGAGACAGATATGCACCGTGTTATCCGTACGCAAGATCTATCGGACGACCACTGCCAATACTTCATTTACCAAACGCTGCGTGCCCTGAAGGCCATGCACTCCGCGAACGTCCTCCACCGTGATCTTAAGCCATCGAACCTTCTCCTCAATGCGAACTGTGACCTGAAGGTCTGCGACTTCGGTCTCGCTCGATCTGCGGCCTCGACCGACGATAACTCTGGTTTCATGACTGAATATGTGGCGACGCGCTGGTACCGTGCTCCCGAAATCATGTTGACATTCAAAGAATACACGAAGGCAATTGATGTATGGAGTGTGGGATGCATCCTTGCAGAGATGCTGAGCGGGAAGCCCCTGTTTCCTGGAAAGGACTGTAGGTGCTCCCATCACTGGCAAGTGGAAGATTGCGCACTGACACATGGCAGACCACCACCAACTGACCCTAATTCTGGATGTTCTTGGAACACCCACCATGGAGGACTACTACGGCATCAAGTCCCGACGAGCTCGGGAGTATATTCGTTCCCTTCCATTCAAGAAGAAGATCCCCTTCAAGGCACTGTTCCCGAAGAGCAACGACCTGGCCTTGGATCTGCTAGAAAAGCTTTTAGCCTTCAACCCGACGAAGCGTATTACTGTTGAAGAGGCATTGCGTCACCCGTACCTGGAGCCATACCATGATCCAGATGATGAGCCAACAGCGCCTCCCATCCCCGAAGGGTTCTTTGATTTCGATAAGAATAAGGATGCTCTTAGCAAGGAGCAGTTGAAGAGTTAGTTTTCGAGCCTATTTCTTTCATGGCATCTTGACTAACAACTCTCTCACAGTTCTGATTTACGAGGAGATCATGCGGTAGGAAATCAATTGTCAGACGTTGGGATTGAGGCGCATGGAAGCAGCAGCACGCTTGCACATATCATATTTGCATAGAATTTAGGAAGTTTGCCTATTCGCAGATTAATGTACTGCATTTTTGTCAACCCTTTCTTTACTCAGGGACATGGAAACAAGAATCGATCTATTAACTGTTACACAGTACGCAACCTAAATGCATCATGGGTATATAACAGTGCCGTCTACCTCGACCCCAAATTCCTCATAAACTCCTCTATCCCCGCACCAACGCCCTCAGGCGAAGGCTTCGCTGCACATACATCCGGCTTGAACCCACACTCCTTCACTAGATGATCCCTCGTCGTTGGCCCAATCGTCGCAACAAACACTTTCCGCCCGGCCCCTTCCTCAATCTTATCATCCTCCCTCCTCAGAACCCTGACCATAGCATCGCACCCCGTAGGCGAGAAGACAACCACCCATATCACGGCCGCCTCGGAGTCACCGTTCAACGAATCCCGCAATACATTCTCGAAATCCCCTTCAAACCCCTCCACCACCCCCGTCTCATAAACAACAACTTCCTCAACCCCAATCCTCTTCTCCGCCTCAGTGCCACTCCCCATAAGCGTTCGCGGTATGATATCGCGTCTCGTCTCGCCGACAAGGAAGAGTAACGGCGGCTTGCGCTCTTGGAGCCGTCCTTCGAACAAAGCATTATAGTGCTCTAGTATAAACTTCGCCAGGTTCTCTCCGTTCCCGGTTTCCGCGCCGTGGATCGTCGCGCTCGGGAGATATTTGTCTCGCAGTGTTGTTAGTGACCGTGCGGTTGCGGGGCCGACGGTGTAGAGGGGGAGGTTCTGTGACGCGGATACTAAATGCGCTTCTATACCCATTCATTCCCATTAGCACATACTCCCCAAATAACATGCAGCAGTTAGTAATGTTCTATAGCGACGTACCCTCAACACCACCCACCATCTCCGCAAACGCCTCGACCGCGCGCTGGGACGTAAAGATCAGCCCTCCATATCGGCGGTCCGGACCGGGGCGCAGACTGCCATTCTCGAGGAGCTCCTTGATGCCGGAGAGGTTCTGGGTGTGGAAGTTATGGCTTAGGACGGGGATAAAGGTTGGTTTGGTATGTTGGGAGGAGAAGAATTCGTCGTAGCCGTCGTGCGGGGAGGACTTGGTTTTGAGGAGGAGGATGCGGCGGGGTGAAGGAGGGGTCATTGTGGATACGTTGGGTTCGTCGCGCGGGATTTTATGTTCGGGAATTTGATTTGTTTCTTCCAGGCGACCAAGTCTCGAGTTCTTGGAGTTGCGGATTGGAAGTATGAGAGGTTTATTTTGTGGTGGATGCGTTACTCCCGCCGCGGAGTGGAGCGGGGAAGACTCCGGATGGCTACGGTCTATGATGTAGTTGATGGATCTGAAGTGAGGAAGAGCAGAATTGCTACGAGTACAATCTGAACAAACGAAATCAATGCGTCTAGTATTGTTATGTACACTAAGAAAACAGCACTACTGGTCGTCGAGAACGTGCACGTACTTCTTCTCCTCCGCCCGCTCGCGCTCCGTAGCAGGGGGCAGATCGTAGTACGAGGCACTTCGGTAGCCCTTCAAGTAGTGAAAGGTGAGCTCGGCCAGCTCAGCAGGCTCGATCCCGAGATCCTTGAACGTCTTGGCGGTATGGTCGATCTCTTGGTCGATGAACTCGCGCTCAACCTCATCGGCGCTCATGGTGGGCCACCACAGGTACTTGTTGAGAAGGTGAGCCGCAGGCTTCAGGATACGCTTGGGAACATTGATGTGACGGCGGCGCTTGATGATTTCACGGTCGACAAGGGGAGCAATCTCGGCAAGCGAGTAGTTGGTGGGGCCGTACAGCTCAAAGGTCTGGCCAGCGGTGCTGTCATCGTGGAGCATGCGCTCAAGAGCAGTACCAACGTCAATAGCCTAAGAACATCAGTCTCTGCTTAACTAGAACGTGCGATTCATCTTACGTGGACGGGCCAAGAGCGCTGCAGGAGGTGGTTGGCGGTGAAAAGGTTGGTCGCGCTGGCAAGCTTGTGAAGAAGACGGTCCTCGAATCCGAACAATGGAGCTGGTCGGACAATGGTGGTCTCTGGATATATCGAGCGTGCAACTTCCTCACCCCATCCCTGGTATGATCAGTCATTGTTTAAAGAAATGACTGGAACGGACATACCTTGGTGGAGAAGTATTCGGAGGGAGAGTTCTTGTTGGCATTGTAGGAGGAAACATGGATGAAGCGGTCGACGTCGTACTTGGCCACTGCCTCTGCAATGCGCTCTGTACCGTCGACGTGCACGTCGGTGTATGAGAAGTTCCTGGCGGTAATCAGCACAGCACCGAACTTCGGAATGTTTCGCAACGAACTTGGTAGGGTATTCACGGCCGACAAGGTTGTAAACGACGTCGGAGTGGCGGACGCTCTCCTCGATGGACTGGGTGTTGCGCAGGTCGTATTCCTAACATCCGCGTCAGTGCATGCCTCGCCATCCCGCAATGCCGGTACCGTACGATGAAAACGACCCGCCCGAGGTCACCGGTAACCTTGAGATGGCGCTTGGCCATCTCCTCACGGTATGGAACAACGACAGTACATCCCTGTGTAGCTGAAAAATATGTCAATCTATATGCCTTCCGCGCACCTGCATCCGGACATACCGAGCTTGTTGACGATGTAACGACCGAGGAAACCAGTAGCACCGAAGACAGTCGCAGTGTGTCCTAATCACGATTGGTTAATTTAGAATGTTCGTTCGAGCTGGGTGAGACGGGGAACGGCTTGCGAAGTACCTCCGAGAGAGTGACTATAGAGAAGATTGTCAGCGCCGCAGCCCACACCGGAAGCGAATTGAACACTCACCGTCCACCCTGGATCTTCAGAAGCGGCTTTCCAGTGCGAGTGATCGTAACATCTTGGAGGAATCGGCGTTGAGCCTGGAATTGGACACGAGGGGTGGGGACGAACGCCCTAGACCCCAGCACGGGATTGATGGCCCTGGACTTCTGCATGGCCTATATTTCAGTCGTCAGTAAGTCATATGACCGAATTGAGTGTATATAGGTCACGTACGACAGCAAGTAAGAGCTGGGAGAGAGACGGCGCGAAGCTCGGCAAGCGGTCCTTGATGAGGTCGAAGTCATTCATCTCCGAAGCAATCTGTCGGCACGGGACCACGGCGCTAGTCCTGATTCGGCCAAAATGACCTGGACTTGCGGAATGTGACGGTCAGGCTGCCATACGTATACCGCTACTACACGGCTAAAAATGTGCTTCATGGTTTTACTTCTAAGTTTGAAACGCTCTACTGTAACGCAGCTTGCGACTTGGTAAAGCTTTGATGGTGTATGACTATTCGTACCCTCTGATTGGTTGTTCATAGTTAGTGCCTGAGGCCAGAACTATATACTTCACCGTTAACATGCAGCCCCTCAAGCTCGGTACCCCAGTTGCATGCGACTTGACAGTATAACACCCTGTTTTATGACAGGTTACTAGAGAGTAAACAGATAAGCAGATGGAGCGCCTGATTCTCAGTGAGACAGTCATGTTTTCATGTGCCCGAGTAGGATTTATCCCTCGAGGCGTGTATCAGCGTGCTAGATTTAGCCCAGTACGCGGCCCAGCCATGGCTTCTACGGTCTAGGGTATCTCAATTCCCTTTACACACTCAGAGCATTGTATGCCATGCGAGCTATCAAAGCTCGTTATGTCTTCAGGTAGGGTTATACTGTTGTCACGTGATAACGTGTGACGAGTACTTTTGGACAGCAGGCTTATTTGATTTGATTGTCTTGGAGTTTGAGCCTGTACCAAGTTACTAGAGCGCCTAGAACTCAAGTCGACGTACGATGTTGAACGTCCTTCTAGGCTGATCGACATCATGGACAAGCGCTAGATGGGCAAGTCTCCGAGAACTCTCCGGATGAAGGACCCAGGCAGTCGATATGCCTTGAGGATATTGAGGGATTTGCATTTACTAAATAGACTGGTATGGCTCGTGTAGTGTGTTGTCTCAGTAACTCGGCGCCAGATGACTGGTGATTTGCACGGAAGTCGCCGAATAACTCTCCGGAGCACGCACCAAACGCCTTAGGTATCTTGGCGCATTTGAACTCTGTATGGCAGCTGAGATATGAGCTGTGAGAATGAATTGTTCTCACAATTTCGTGTTGTGGCTGATGTTGGAAGTCTCCGAATATCTCTCCGGCTAGAGGCGTCGAGACCTTAAATGCCCAGAGCTCGCTCCCTCACCTCGTTCTTCATTGCATACTTCTTTAACTTACTTGAACTCTATTATAACAACCATCTCGAAGCACCACATTTCTTGGATCTCTTGGGCAAAATGACAACCGACTTCACAGAGAAGAACCGTCAGGCATTCGAGTAAGTCCTCGACTCCTCTCAAGCCTGCTTGACTTCGAAAATGGGCTCATAAGGTTACAGCAAGAAAGCAGCCACCTACAAGTCTGGCTTTGAAAAGGTGGTGGAAACGCTGGTCAACGTCGTTCAGGAACAGCGTAGCTGGGTTAGCGACACATGGGTCGACACCGAGGCAGGGAAGGGAAAAGAAATCAAGGCACTAGAGTATGCTTGCGGTCCGGGTTATATATCTTTGGTGAGTCACGCGGTCATTGAGATGTCAAGCCAGAGTCTAATCCATCTCAGGCATTGGCGCCGTTTGTAAACCGCGTCGTTGGCATGGACATCTCAGATAATATGCTTGAAGAGTTCAAGAAGCATGTCCGAGAAGCAGGCCGCTCGGAAACTATGATTGGGGTCAAGGCTGATCTCGTTTCTGAGTCGTCACCAGCTGAAGTCTCAGGACCCGAGTACTTCAATTTCGATCTGGTGTTTGTCAGTATGGCCCTTCATCACTTCGAATTTCCCGAGAAAGCCATGATCAATCTTGGCAAGAGACTGAAGAAGGGTGGAGTGATGATGATTATCGATATGATTCCCGAAGATCATCATGGTCATGAGCATGAACACGCCCGACACCAAATGGGCGATATGGTCGACACAATCTCGAAGCATGGGTTCAGCCTGGAGGAGATGCGGACGATGTACGAAAACGCTGGAGTGGGAATTGGCTTCGAATATAAAGTTCTAGAGAGTCCCCTGGTGTTCACCAAAGACGGGAAGACGTTTGAGAAGACCATTTTCATCGCTCGAGGGCAGAAGTGAGTCCATTGGAGGAGTTCGGTTGCCTCGGCCCGCGCACTTTGCTATGATTCCATTTTGGGCGATGCAGATATTCATAAGTCATGATGTTGAGATAATTCATGAACCGAAGGTTGAGGTTTTCCCTGCACGATTCTAAACTTGAGAGAGTAGACTAGAGGAGGAAGTCGAGATGGACAGTCGATGACAATAATCTGTAGATGTGGCTGTGTGGCTAGTGCATGTGGCTAGTGCGGAGCACCAAGGTGAGGCTTGAGCTCATCAGCCGGAGACAACGATCCATCACCAAACAGCTACCTCCAATCCGCTACACCTCATTCTCCCTTCCCCTTAACTCTCCTCATATCCCATCTCCTACATATCGCGGCTGCCAGTCCTGTGCTTTCACCATGGAGAACCAAAAGATCTCCGACTTCCTCGCCGACCAGCTTCAACAAGCTCCGGAGCAGTGCCAGGCGTCATTCTTGAGCTTCGAAGAGTACTGGGAGCGAAAGCTGTGGCACCAGCTGACCAATGCCTTGATCGACTTCTTCCGTCTACCAGAGAGCGCTCCCCAGCGGTTACCGTTATTCAAGACATTCGTCCTGAGCTTCGCAGACAAGATCAACCAGCTGAACTTTGTTTCGTTGGGGTTGATGGCGTCGACAGAATGCGCGGGTATGACATCTTTCGCTGAAAAGACATCAGGAACTTCACTGACATTACTGCCCTGCTAGATGACCAAGAACGACTTTCCTTCCTCACATCACTCGCCGACAAGGTGAACAAGCCAGAGTCACAAGACGCTTACATCTACGCCCTCGCGGAGGTCGCCAATGTCAAACAACGGCTTCAGAATTTGGACGGCGCGCAGAAGGACCTAGAGACATGTCAGAAGGTGTTGGACTCGTTTGACGCGGTGGAGAACGTTGTACATGCTTCATTCTACAAAGTCAACGCCGACTACTACCACGTATGCTCACCCTATACCCCTCGCCCAGGAGCATTCGGAACTAAGAACCCAACAGGCCAAGCAAGAATTTGCCTCCTTCTACAAAAACGCCCTTCTCTACCTCGCCTGCATCGACCTCGAGGAGCTGTCCGAATCCGAGCGTGTATCGCGCGCTTACAACCTCAGCGTCGCCGCCCTGGTCTCAGACTCCATCTACAACTTCGGTGAACTCCTCCTGCACCCGATTCTCGATTCTTTGACCGAGACATCACACGCCTGGCTCCGCGACCTTCTTTTCGCCTTCAACCGTGGCGATCTCACCGCCTACGACGTCCTCGCAGGCAACGTCTCTAAGAACCAGCTCCTCCAGTCGCACCGGTTCTTCCTATACCAAAAGATCTCCCTCTCCGCACTGACCGAGATGGTCTTCCGCCGCCCGCCACACGACCGCAACTTGACATTTGCGTCGATCTCCGCTGAGACGAAAGTCAAGCCCGAAGAAATCGAGCACCTAGTTATGAAGGCGCTGTCGCTGGGTCTGCTGAAGGGTGCTATTGACCAGGTCGGCCAGGTCGCTCAGATTAACTGGGTGCAGCCCAAGGTGTTGGATATGAAGCAGATTGAAGGCATGCGGAATAGACTGAAGGACTGGGATGCCGGTGTTAACCAGTTGGGTCACTGGATCGAGGGTGTGGGCAAGGATGTGTGGGCCGCATAGAGAATTAGCATATCTTTTGATCTTAATCACAAAAGAGAACCTGCGTACCTTTTTCATGTACTAGATTACCACGATCGAATCGAAACGCATGGAAGATGACAATATGAGACTGGAGTCTAGTATATACGAGATGCCGTCTACCTAAACCAATGCTAACATGATGATATAATTACAACCAAATAGAAACCTATCTTAAAAGTCCTCCAATACTTAGATCATCAAACCCAACTACCTCAACTGAACAACCCACCCCCAAGCACCACACCCCCAACAACCCAAGCCGGCCACCAAACACACCAAACAACAACCTGCGTCCACATGCCCCAAACATCCCATCCAAACGCCGCCTCCGTGAGAACAGTCGTCACCTCAACACCGAAGTACTTGCATCCAGCGAGCAGTACCACGGGCGGGGAGAGGATGTTCAGGAGTACCAGTCCAAGGACAGCAGATGCGTAGCGCACGGCTGGCTTTGTGGCGGTGCTAGGACAGGATATGAAGGATAAAGGGGAGCAGAGGAGGCCTGTCATGAATGACAATGAGAAGTTTAGGGTTGCGAGGGTGGAGAGGAAGAGGCCTAGGGGGAGGAGAGAGAGGGATTTGATGAGGTGGAGTTGGGCCTGTTGTGAGACGTTGGTGCGTGAGAGGAGGAGGGAGAGTGTTGGTGGGAGGAGGGCGTTTATGGCGATGGAGGTATGTGTGGCGAGAGTGTATTTCTGTACGAAATTAGTATACATTCCAAAATTCAAAAAGAGGGTTGTGTTGAACGGGGACTGACCTCGTGGGAGATATTGTTGAAGATATACAGCGGGATGAGACCGAGTAGGTGTAGACTGATGACGAGGGTAAGCGGGAGGGCGAGTTGGCGTTCCGCAACTGTAGATCCATTGATGGAATCTCCCGCCTTAGAGATAGCTTGAGCCTGATCTTTGGATAGAAGCTGTTCCTTCTCGCTTTCACTCGCTTTTCCGTCTCGAGTCACAGTCGAGTCGTCAGCACCAGGACCCTTGTAGTATCCTGTTCGCAGCCACAACGCAATGGCCATGATCGTAAAGTTCCCAGCAATGAGCATCGCACTAGGTAGATAAGTGCCAATACTAACAAAGCGGTGTGTCTGCATGAGCAGATAAAAGAAGAAACTTTGGTGCAGATGTTCGAGCAGGTTGTTCAGACTGCGGCAAAGACCCTCAACGGTCCGGCCAAGCGCCATCTCATCCTGCCAGCCATTTCCCTGAGTCTGAAGCGTGATGGCGTCGATATGGTACGGCATGAAGCTGCTATGCGCGCCTGCAGCATATCCCAGGCCCTGCTTCACCATGCCCCTTAGCATAGTCTGCAGCCGCTTCTCGTAGCTGTTGTCGTGATCCCACATCTCTTGCAATCGGGTCCCGATGCCCATTTGTCCGCCGGCAATGGAGACGGCCGTGTTGAAGAGATCTAGGTTCGGGAGCTGGCCGTTCACGCCATCGTAGATGATGTGTACGTTCTCGAAGCGGTGCTCGAAGGGGTACTCGATTACCAGGCCTCCCTGTAAGGCGCCGCTCTTCAAGGGCAGAGGCTGGACGGTGGGCGGTTGCATGTCGTGGTATGCGTCGACCCAGGCTTGAGTTCCTGCCTTGCTATCTGGGGGGAAGACGAAGATGATATCCTTTGACCAGAGAGACCACCCTGCAGCACATTTGTCAGTGGAACGGGATTCATGAGCCATCCTGCGTTTGTGTAAACTCACGCTTGAAGTACCGCGCAAGAGTCAGCGCAAGGCTAACACCATTGAGATTCAGCTCCCCATCAATGGTCTCCCACGCCGCAACAAGCACAATCGCCTCCGTTGCATCTCCCCGCGGCGCCTGGATAATGGCATAGATGTTCTCCCCCTGGTGCGTGATTCCCGAAGAGGTGTACTCGTAGCCCTGCGTCGCGACCTTCAATCCGCTAGCTTTCAGAATCGACTGTATCTTCTCGGAGATCCTTCATGACACACCCGATTAGCAGCCAACTCTTAGCAATTCAATATGATTTAGCCGGGTCCAACATACACCGGCGTTCGCTCCACACTCTCCTCCCCCTCATTCTCATTCCCATTGATCAATCCCTCTAACTCCCTCTTATACCCTCGGAATATATGCTGTTCACTGCCCGCAAAATACGCATGGACTTGACCCGGCAGAAGCGCGTTCTCGGAAATGTATGTCTTGCGCGAGTAGTCGTCGAGGGGTAGGAGGAAGAGCCAGATCACGCCGGAGATGATGCAGAGGAAGGACAGGATGTACGGTAATCGGACGAAGAGAAAGTGAGGGTTATTCCGCAGATTGCGGAGTGAAGCTACCATTGTCGTGAGTTAGCGGTGTTGACTCGACTCGGGGATCTCAGGAGTTGGAGCTGGAGCTGTCCTTGCGACAATCTGGGGTTACGGAGATAAAGGAGCTTGCGGGACAGTGGGTGAATGTCGCGGCGAAGGCCCGGTCAAGAAAATTGTCAAGAACGTACTTACATTTCAAAGCCATGATGACGAAGCGGCACGAACTCTACTAGAGTCCATGCATTGAGTGGGTGATTTGGATCAATGTCGAGTTGATCGCTCTCCACATGGAAATTTACGTCGGCCGCTAAAGACCAGCTGCACATCAACATATTCATAGCCATCACCGTCACATCAGTCATTATTCTATAAGAATTAAATACTATGCTGCATATACAGCCTATTACAAAAGGCGCTATTATAGCTAGATATGCACAAGAAGTGGAATGTCCGGTCAAATCGAGCGCAGTCTCAAGAGCCCAGACGCTGCGATGACCCTGACATGAAGCTCATCGGCGTTCCTCGTTCGCCCGCAGGGGCGCCGCTAGTAGGAAGAACACCGAACCGGCCGTAGGTCTTCTGATCGACTGAGACGTAGTGTGGCAGTCTTCCGAGGAGATTCAGTTTTCCCTCGATGAATCTTAGAACCTTCTCCGGGGGAACAAGAACTTTCAGGTAACCGAGGCCAACTAAGCATATTAGACGCATGTGCAAAGAATTCAGGAAGGAGAGCTTACGGAGATAACCAATCAAGATAGAGCAAAGGTGCCCGAGGAAGCTGTTGTTGGGAATCAGGATCCAGACGAGTGCGCATATCAGCAGCGGCGAAGTCCACGTAGGGATTTTGGTAGTTCCCAGACTGAAGTAAGGGTTGGACTTGAACGTCCTGATAGCCTCAGAGCCCAAAAGAAGGAACACCCACACACTAATTGTTGTCAAACCATATTCAGTATGATCCCTGGGCTCAAAAAGAGAGCAAGACTTACCTCGATCCAACTACCCAGGTATTACCATGCAGAATAAACTTCTCAATCAAGACATAAAGTCCCGCGGGGAACGTAGAAAGAGGACCCATGAACAACGCAATGGCCGTCAGAGTTCCGTGCTCAGCCTCGAAGCGCTCAAGTAGCGGTGTCAGCGCAAGCAGGTTAAGAAAAGCGTGGAAAAAGCCGTTGTGGATGAAGGGGTAGGTGTTGGTCCGGTACACTGCGCGCCCTGTCAGTACTCTTCGCTTCGTGACGGTCCCTTGAAGCAAGTAAGCACATACTAGTCTTCAATCCCAGCTCGTCTGGTATCAGAGCGCCCCATTGCACAACGCTCCAGACTGTCTGGAGCTCGAGCAGCCAGAACACAAGTATTGCCAGGATTACGAGGCGCGTAAAGAGCGGCAGTCGAAGGACGTATGATCGGACCCTGGACGGGTTGAATGGTAACGGAGGCAGTGCAGCAGGAGATGCCATATTTAATGGTGAAATTCGGAAGACGTAATCGTTATGTTATGCGTATGGCAGATTGAAGTCCGAGGCCGAGTAGGAGTCGCGACGTGGCTTATCCGGCGATGGAACGTGTGCCGTGGCAGAGCGGGCGGGTCGCGAAGATGCAAATTCAGTCTAGAAACGTTCTAAAGAAAATGCGACGAAGCACGTTCACTTGTATATATGTTCTAAGAGATGCGAAAGAGCGAGCAATTGATTGTTGCAAGACGTGGCTAGCTCTCGGGAGACGCGGAGAAATTCTGCTGGGCTCAAGGCGCAGTGAGATTGACAAATGGTGGCTTCAAAGAAGATGCAGAAACAGCGACTCCGTAGACCTACGTAGGACGGATGGCGAGGAGCAAAACAAAGATTTCAAGAGAGGCAAAAGCACAGGGTGAACTCGTCCAGGGACCTGCCGTCGTTCCTGGCCGTGGTGGAGCCTTTTTTCCAGCCCGCCGATCCCCCAGGTCACGTGCACAGTTTTCTCGATCGAGTGGTGCCTGACTCTCGAGGCCTTACACTATGCCTGTCTAAGACTAGCGTAAATAGTATACATCGGTTATCACAGCAAATTATACCAAAGACTTCACCTCGGTGTCTGTCTTCCTCATACACCTTCATACTTTCCAGCGCAAAACCTCTTCCCTCAAACAATATATTCATAACCATTAACAAGATCTTACTTACCTCCGGCACAAAGAGAAACACATAGAGGCCCTCCTTACCAATGACTGACCTTTCATCTAATATATACGGCGCTCTACGATAACGCTGCCTGAACCCCGGCTTCGCCCCAGACGACTTCAATAATCGACAATGCCGCGCCATGAGGCGTCCACATTTTGATATTCGAGAACCGGGAGTCAGCCTTCTTGAATAGCTCAATCCGGTCAGCCTCCTGACGTTCCCTACTATTGCACAACGTGAGCATGATAAGGTCCATGTCCCTGCGCCGCGTCAGCAAGTCCAATGAGTAACATAGAAGGCCACTACGTCTGTTTCGCTCACCTCACAGCCATCTCCTTCATCCGAGACATTGTGCCCGGTTGGGGAAGGATGTAATCATGTAGGACAATTCTCGAGCCTGGGCGCAGTGCAGGGATCAACGCCCGCAGAATCCGGATCGAGTACGTATCTGACCAGTTATGCAAGATATTGCGCAGGAGGTAGACATCTGCATGGACTTTCTGCTCCGTGAAGAAGTCATGAGCCTGGAACTTGACCCGGCCTTGGAGGTCTTCTGGGAGGGCCTCGGCCGCACCGGCTATCACTTCCGGCATATCCTGAACAACGAACTGGAGGTTTGGGAATTGATGGGCGAGAAGAGCGCTGACGTGGCCTTTGGCCCCGCCGAGGTCGACGACTGTGCCATTGCCGTTGTTAATGGCTTCCCAGGGGTAGTTCTTCGCGAGGAAAGAGGGTGCGTTGCCGTGGGCATCCGTAAATGCCGCCATTGCCTTCCCGAAACGCTGCGCCATGTCAGGGTGCGAGGCGTAGTGTTTATAAAAAGGCTTGTCGGATTTATGGTAGTCATTCCAGCCCTGTCATTGTCAGTTTTCCGCTGTTCTCGTGATGAAGTACGGATTGTAAACCCTACTGTTTCGTTGGGTTCATCGCTCTGAAACTTTTCCAGAGCAGGCAGAGTCTATTCTCCCTCTCTTCACGTTAGTCTTCACCAGTACTCGCGCTTTGTCGTGGACAGGTAAGGGGAGGCACGTAGGTCAGAAACATACATGAGCAAAACTCGGCCAGACCTCGTCGAACATATACCCCAACCCGGCCCTTGTATTGGGATTCTCGCGCACTCGGCGGCTTGCAGCTGTATGGGCAACAAACCCTTCCCGCGGCTCTCTAAAAACATGATGGAAGACCATCGCATAGCGGAGGATACGCCGGACGTTATGTTCGCTCAGCCCGATCTTGTTGGCCAGCTCAGCGAACGAGATCTCTCCGTGAACTGGCACCGCCGCGGCAATGTCGTACTTGTAGATGGCCTGCAAACTAACCCCGTTGAGCTGTTCTTGTAGTTAGTTCTGAAGCGAAATATCAGGCTGCGAGTTCGTACAACAGGGCGAAGGCACATCGCGGGACCAAGAATCAGATTGTGAAGCTCAAGAGTGGCGCCTAGAACATCATCGCGGGCTTTCACCATCTCCTCGCCTGTTAGATTCTGCTCGGTTGGTCCGTCCTCGTCGAAGGTGGGTTGTGGGAGGTTGTTTTCTTGCAGGTGGGCGTTGATATCCGCGGTGCGCTGCTGGATAAGCGCTGCCAATTCAACAATGCGACTCATTTTGCTTGCTTCCTGGTGAAGTGCTGCAAGGCTGAAAGCTAACAAATCTGTTCAGGAAGCATAGCCTGTTTAAAAAGCTTCTGAGTTCTCCGTTTGGGGTAGAACTACGCGTACACCCAAGTTGCTTAGTTACCCGAGTCCAAACAGCCCCCACGGACATTGCGACCTTCGTGTAGTGATCTGCGATGGAGGTTAGAAAGGATTCACTACACAGCCTCCCCAGTCATCCTTGCTCCGACCACAAAGCTTGTGAGAATGGAATACCCACATAAGCAATGCCATGCCCCATCCTACTATCCGATCATCCGATAATCACTACTAGACTTCGTCGCCTATGAAATAACACATTGATGGCCCTGAGCCATGGATTAATCCTTCTAGCCTAATGGTCAGTCAAAAGTGCTTATTTCGTCCCCACCTTCACCTAATACTTCTCCAACTCTTTGTTCCTGCCCAACAAGGATGACATACGTTAACGAAGGCAGTGCTCGCCCATGGTGTGCTTTTCTTCGCGTTGGGAACCGGCACAAAGATGACCAGACTCATCATCCGGACGCGCAAGCCAGGGCTGGGGACGGAAGATTGTTTTGTTGACAATGCATAGGGGAAACCCTAAGCCAAAGATACCACCTCAGGGTCCGTCTTTGGCTCTAACCCTTCAGTACCTCTAGCCTCTTCATACGCCCTCATCTTCGCCAGCGCAAAGCCTCGTCCTTCAAACAACCTATCCATATCCTCCAATGGAACACCATTCGTCTCCGGCACAAAAAGATACACATATCCCGCGCCCAGCACCGTCATAGACCCAAAGAACAGGAACGTCCCGTACGTTATTGCATCAAACATGTAAGTCACGGCATATGTCGTATAGAATTCGCCGACCCAGTGCGCGCACGTTGTCATTACCATGCAGAAGGAGCGGACCCTGGTCGGGTAGATCTCGGCTGCGATGATCCAGGGGAGGTTCCAGCCGACGGCCTGCAACGGTGTTAGTGCTGGAAGCTTGTATACGAGGTAAACCGGAGGTAGGAGGATAGACATACATATCCCGCGCCAAAAATATAGATAAACGCCGCAGCGGAGTTGCTGGCAGCGTTCTGGTCCTGGGCTGTATGGAAGGAGTCCGTGATGGAAGAGTACGCCGCGACATAGAACATGGAAAACGCGCACATTACTGATCCAACGAATAGAAGCGGTCTTCGGCCGAACCGGTCGACCAAGAGAAGGAAGGTTATTGTAGCCATGACGCCCTTGACGATGCCGTAGATTCCCGTGGAGAAGAGCTTCGCCGAGGAGCCCTTGTATCCGATGACCTGGAAGAACGTCACGGAGAAGTTATTCATCGCGTTGATTCCTGTGCTGTTCTGAAAGATCATCAGCAGACAGCCGTGTACGAGCCGCGGGATGATTCTTCGGTTGAACGTTTCTGTCAAAACGGCGCGGAATCCTGAAGCTGAGGTGATTGAGAGCTCGTGCTCCATTTGCCGCTCGTAGTCTGCTAATTCGCTGGCGACGTAGGGGTGAGAGACTGGGAGGCGTCGGAGCCATGTTAGAGCGTTTTGGGCTTCTAATTGCCGGCCGCGCGTGTAGTACCATCGTGGTGACTCGCATAGAAAACAGAGACCGAGGATCATGAGAGTCGCCGGGATAAATTGGAAGGTTATTGGGATGAACCACTGGCGGTCAATTGTTGAGTCCACCTATACACGGAGTTAGTGAGTGTCTGCCTGGGTAGGCATTGGCGAAGACATACCCCCTTCTCAACACCATAATTGATCCAAAACCCCACAATCGTCCCGACTTGAACCCCAATCTCGAACTACACCGTAGGCGGTGTTAGCCATTCATCCATCGAGGCGAACTTCTCAGCGATACTCACACAGCCAACGATCCCACCCCTGGCCGCAGCAGGCGCGCACTCAGAAAGATACTGCGGGATGACAAACGTCGTTCCCCCAATGCCCAACCCACTAACCAGTCTGCCCACATAGAAAGCTGGTATATTGCCCCGACAAGCAACCTGCATGACCACGCCGAGATTGAAAACCACGCCAGCAGCCATCAGCGCAACGCGGCGCCCGAACCGCTCGTTGAAATAGTAGAATAACATCACGCCGAAGAAGGCACCGCCTTGGACTGCGGACATACAAGCGTCAGCTAATCTGCCATTCGCTTGAGTTGAGTGCCACACATACAAGTGTTCACCATATGAGCCTGTATGGCGCTCGTGTCTTTATCCGCCAGCTCAAACCGTTCAATGAACGAAGGGAGCGAGAAGACACCGCCGATGAAAGCAAGGTCGTAGCCGAATATCACGGAGCCGCCCATGGCGACGAATATCACCCAGAAGAGCTTCCAGTTGAAGACCTCGCGGGGAGTGCTGGTGTCTTTGCTGTTGAAGGCAAATCCCATGCTGACGGTTACCGTTTGATAAGTATAGGGCTAGTCAATAGTAAAGCGAAACGAAACCGTACGTCAAGGGATGGTTCACATCAACAGAAGCAATATAAACTTGGCCGCAGGAAACCAGACCCGGCCATCTTGGCCGTTGCTGAGCGGCACCAAAGCATATACATCTGTCCAGGGCTGGCATGGCGCCCAGTCGAACCGGTCCCCGCAGCCTCGAGTCATATGGCAAGACAAAGAGGACCATGGCTTATCGTTGATCTTCCCCGGAGTGAGATACGTTATCACTTATCAGATTGGTGGAATAAGTTCTCGGACGTCACCTCCGACTCATGCGGTTGGAGTAGGGTTAGACTTGGAGTTGGGGACGCATATCTCGGAGGCCTCCTCCGAATAGTATCGAGCGCCTCAGTCACGTTGACTAGATGGAGCTCCGCCGTATGTAAGGATGGATATAAAGTGGGTTGGAACCGACTGCTGTCGCGCAGAAAGACCTCGACAAAGCAAACCCCAACACAACTCTCATAATGGGTTCAATCGGATACACCGCGCCAGTGAGCGACATCAAAGTATCAATAGGTGCGTCCTGATCTCGGCCTACTCACCTTAATCCAGCCTAATCATTCGCATCCCAGATCGCGGAGGCACTTTCACAGACGTCATTTCAATCTACCCGGATGGCACAGAGAAGGTCTTCAAATTACTGTCCAGGGATCCAAAGAATTATCAGGATGCGCCCATTGAAGCCTTGCGGCGGATCGTGGAAGAGGCGACTGGGACCTCGATCCCCCGGGGTGTGCCGCTGGATCTGAGTTGTATAGGTGCGTACCCCTACCTATAGACTTCTTGAAAGCCTGTTTATTGACGGGTAGCTCATAGGCTCATTACGGATGGGAACAACGGTGGCTACAAACGCCCTACTTGAGCGACAAGGCGCTAAGACTGCGCTGTTCATCACGCGCGGGTTCCGAGTAAGTTGGACCCGGTCCAAATCTCCAGACTCGAGGTTCTGATGGAAATATAGGATCTGCTCAAGATCGGAAACCAATCTCGGCCAGATATGTTCGCTCTGAACGTAAAACGCCCGGAGCTCCTGTACTCCAAAGTGGTCGAGGTTTCTGAGCGCGTCACGCTACACGACTCGACATCGTATAGGAGGACGGACGAGCTGTCCGAGTCGGAAGAAGCTCGTAAGGACACCACGACCACAGTTCAGGAAGACGGCGACAACGTCGTAATCGGCCTATCTGGCGAACGAATACGCATCCTCGAGAAACTCGATATGGACGAGACGCGGCGCGAGCTGGAGGAGACCTTCGCCGAGGGGTTCCGCAGCATCGCAATCTGCTTCCTGCACTCATATACCTTTCCGGAGCACGAGCTGGCAGTGGCGGCAGAAGCCAAAAAGATCGGATTCACGCAGATTTCCATCTCGAGCCAACTCTCACCAGCAATCAAGATGCTTTCGCGAGCGAATTCCGCCGTTACGGATGCGTACCTTACGCCAGAGATCCATAATTACCTGGAAGGGTTCAAGGCCGGCGTTGAACCCAACAGTCTAAAGAATGTTAACTGGAGAATCATGCAGTCGGATGGTGGGCTGGTGCATCCATCGAAGCTGTCGGGGTTGAGGGCTCTTCTTTCTGGTCCTGCCGGAGGTGTCATCGGATACGCGCGGACGTGCTATATGCCTGAGAAACCGCAGGCAGTGGTCGGTTTTGACATGGGAGGAACATCAACAGACGTATCGCGCTACGCCGGGTCTCTGGAGCACGTCTTCGAGTCCACAACAGCCGGAGTCTCCGTGCAAGTACCGCAACTCGACATCAACACGGTGGCAGCTGGTGGCGGCAGCGTGCTGTCATGGCGGAAGGGGATTCTAGCCGTTGGTCCGCAAAGCGCTGGATCGCACCCCGGCCCTGCGTGTTACCGCAAAGGAGGTCCGGCAACCATCACAGACGCGAACTTGGTCCTGGGCCGCATTCTGCCTGAGTGCTTCCCGGCTATATTTGGCCCGTCGCAGGACCAGCCGCTTGATGTTGAAGCATCGTTTGAGCGCTTGGCGGAACTGGCGGAGGAGATTAATCGTGACCAGGGTACACAGCTTAGTGTACATGAGGTGGCTAATGGGTTCATTACTGTGGCCAACGAGACTATGTGCAGGCCGATTCGAGCCCTCACGGAAGCAAAGGGGTATGCGGCGTCTGATCACATTCTTGCGGCGTTTGGGGGTGCTGGTGGTCAGCATGCTTGTGATATCGCCCGGGCGTTGGCTATATCAAGAGTTGCGATACACAAGTACTCGTCCGTGCTGTCTGCGTACGGAATGGCACTTGCGGACACCACGCAGGAGGAAAGGAAACCTTGCTCGGAGATCCTCTCTACACCAACACAGTCGCATATCATATCAGTTCTCGACGAGCTAGAGGAGAAAGCGACGCGGTCAATCCAAGAGATGGATCCGTCGTGCAAGTTCATCGAGTCTGCCTATTTCCTCAATCTGAGGTATGAGGGGAGCGACACGTCTCTGATGATTGAGAAGCCCGAGGGCTCGTGGGACTTCGCCGCCAAGTTCGTCGACCAGCATCATCATGAGTTTGGATTCACGCCAACAGGTCGGCATATTATCATTGACGACATCCGCGTTCGAACAACTGCTAAGACGATCTCATCTAATACGCCTGGCCTCAGCGAACTGGAGTCCATCAAGACAACTCGCCAGGTCGAGTCCAAGAAGACAACAAAGATGTTCTTCACCGAGACCGGGCTGATCGACGCGCCCATGTTCCACCTGCAAGACATCAAAATGGGAGAGACTGTTCGTGGGCCGGCCGTCGTGATCGACCAGACGCAGACAATTGTTATCACACCAAATGCCACCGCAACAGCATTATCCTCGATGCTGGTAATCGACGTCGACAATGCTCCTGCCACCGGCTCAGATGCAGCCATCGACCCAATCAAACTGTCTGTCTTTGCAAACCGGTTCATGGGAATAGCAGAGCAGATGGGTCGCGCCCTACAAAAGACATCAGTGAGCACCAACATCAAAGAGCGCCTTGATTTCAGCTGTGCCATTTTCTCAGCCGACGGTGGGCTCGTAGCCAATGCTCCACATGTGCCAGCGATGCTCGGAAGCATGGCCCAGGCAGTGAAGTGGCAGATTGAGCACTGGAAAGGAAACATCAAGGAAGGAGACGTGTTTCTGAGTAACGCGCCGGCTGCTGGCGGCGCCCATCTACCGGATTTGACCGTCATCAGCCCCGTTTTTGACACTGCTGGCAAGGAAATCTTGTTCTGGACGGCGTCTCGGGGCCATCATGCAGATGTTGGTGGCATTGTCCCCGGTTCCATGCCGGCTACCTCGAAAGAGATCTGGGAGGAAGGGGCTGTTATTGACAGCATCAAGATCATCGAGAATGGGATATTCCAAGAGGAACGAATCTATAAAGCCATGGTGGTAGATCCAGCTCAATTTCCAGGATGCGAAGGGGCAAGGTCATTCCAGGATAACATCACCGATATCAAGGCACAGACTGCCGCGAATCACAAGGGAAACAATCTCATCGGGTTATTGATCAAGGAGTACACCTTGGCTACGGTCCTGGTAAGACGCTCTGCGCCTTGAAACGACATCGACTAATCATCTTTCACAGCTGTATATGGGTGAAGTCCAGAAAGCTTCCGAAAACGCCGTCAGGGAGCTCTTCAAGAAGATGGTCAAAGAAAAGGGTCAAACTGTCTTTAAGGCAGAAGACTTCATGGATGACGGTTCAAGAATTCACTTGACCATCAGAATAGACCCAGACACAGGATACGCAGACTTTGACTTCACGGGGACCAGCCCTCAAGCATATGGTAAGCGACCCACCACATACTCACCACCTCCCAACCCAAAACTAACCTGTCATCTGTCGGTAGGCAACTGGAACGCCCCCCGAGCCATCTCCAACGCCGGCATAATCTACACCCTGCGATGCCTAGTTGGCGGCGACATCCCCCTAAACCAAGGGTGTCTGCTCCCCGTCAACATAATAATCCCCGAGGGCAGTCTCCTCGCCCCAACAAAAGAAGCCGCTGTGGCTGCCGGAAACGGACTGACAAACCAGCGCTTGGTCGACGTGATCCTGAAGGCCTTCGAAGTCTGCGCCGCCAGCAACGGCTGCATGGCGAACTTCACCTTCGGCCTCAGCGCAAAGGGCGGATTCGGGTACTATGAGACGATAGCGGGCGGGAGCGGTGCCGGACCCGGCTGGGTTGGCGAGGACGGCATCCACTGCCACATGACGAACACGCGCATTACGGATCCAGAGGTGTTGGAGCGGAGGTACCCGGTTTTGCTGAGGCAGTTTAGTTTGCGGGGGGGTAGTGGGGGCCGTGGGGAGTTTAGGGGCGGGGATGGTGTTGTGAGGGAAGTGGAGTTTCTGATTGATATGCATGCCGGGATTCTTTCTGAACGGCGGGTCTTCCAGCCATATGGGATGGCGGGGGGTCAGCCAGCTGCTAGGGGAGTGAATCTGTGGATTCGGAAGAGTGGGCAGGTCATCAATGTTGGCGGGAAGGCCTCGTGCTATGTTAAGGCTGGAGACCGGCTGCGGATTTGTACGCCCGGTGGAGGCGGTTACGGTGCAGAGGGCAGGCATGTGATGGCAGCTGCATCATGATTATGTCTTTGATGTTCGCGGATAAAGTTGTTGATGGATGGATGAAGTTGAGGAAGAAAGAAAAGGGTTTGTGTAGGAGAGGCCAAGTTAGGCATTGGGTTACGGTGTCACACCCACGGGTGCCAAGCCCCGATAAGATAAGGGAACTGATAAGATAAGAGTCACGGTGACGTCAACCCGCCACGCAGCGATGATATCACCATTGTTCCGACGGTGTATCTAAGGCCAACGCCCCAGCAAAGAATAGTTGGCCAAGAGTTAGAACCGGGGATGGCTGGAATATATTCTTAACCAGACAACACAGGGAAATATCACCTAGTTGCGTTCTGGTCTTATAAATTTATTAAAGTAGAAATTAATTGGTTAATCCTAGACAAGGAGCTATTTACTATTATTTAGTTATTTTATTATTAAAGGTAATACCTTAAAGGTTCCCCTTATAAAATAATAGTATGGTTAAATTATACAAATCTTTGCTTTTTTATACAGCAACGGAAATATAGTAAAAAGCAGGTAAGATAGTGTATAAATTTAGTAATATATAACTTTAAGATTTTATATTATTTAGGCAAGCATAACCCTACAAATGCCCTATTTAAAAGGTATAAAAATAAAACTAAATTAGTCTTAAAAAAAGATTTTTTAGCACTTATTAAAAAAAAGATAATATAAGGCATTAAAGTGTAAATAATTACTTACCTAAACTTAATATAAAGTTTTTATAAAAAAAAGCTTAATTTAAATAAAAAATAAAATATTTAAGTCTAAAGTATTAGGTGCAATAAGTGCTTTAATATTTTTAAAAATTTTTTTTATTTTTAAAATAAAATAAAGTTAAATTTTAATTATAAAGACCGTGGTACCATAAATATATAATTTAATTTTAAAAAAAATTAGGTTTTAGCCTAGTATTAAGTCTAAAATATTATATTAGTTAAAAATATTTACTTTAATTATATATTAAATTATTTAATAAAGTTACTTTTAATATTATAATTTATAGATAATTAAACTTAAAAGCAAATTAAAGCCTTAAAGGTAAAAAATTAAGCTAAAAAAGTTAAAAAATTAAGTTTTAAAAACTAGTTAATTATAAAAAGTAATTTACTAGCTTTTTAAAATTAAATCTATGTCCTACTAAATTAAAGGCTTAAAACTATAATTATTTAAGTATATTATAATAATTTTTTAGTAGGATATTTTGGTTTATAAAAAATTAAATTTTTAGTAAAATAAAAGTTTTTTTAGCTAAAAATAAAAGCTATAATAAAAACTTTTACCTATTTATGCCTTATATACTAACACACCATAATATCTTAATATTAATTTTATAAAAAACTATCCGCCCTACCAAAACTAAATTACCCTTTTTTTAAAATTAGTATAAATTTTATTATTAGCCTACCACCTACCATGTACTAAAAACAATATATTAATATTATTTTTATAATAATAAATTATTATATAAAATAATATTAATTTATTCTTATTTTAATATTAATCCAAGCCCATAAACTAGCTAAAGTTTTTTATTAAAATTAGACTTTAAATTATAGCTAGCCTAAAAGTATTATATTTAATTAAAACTTTTTTTTTATAAGTAAATATTAGGGAAAGCTATAGTTTTATTATAAAATTAAGTTATATTTATTAACTACTTTCCACCCCTAAACTAATAAATAAACCAAGTAAATTAACCAAGTTTTAAAATAGTATTTATATTATTTTACTATAAAAAATTACCATGCCTGGCTTATACTACTTAAAATAGTATAATTTACTTATAATAATACTAAAAATACTACTATTAAAATATCACCCTTTTAAGCTATATATAGCTAAAATTTAGAAATTATAGTATGGTTTAAGGTTAATCCTAAATAAATAAAGGTACTAGCTATATTAGCCAGGATTAAAAAACTTAAAAAAATTTAAGTTAAATATAAAAAAAACTAAAAAAAAAACATAAAATATTATTAAACCTACTATAATAAAGGCTAGAAAAATATAAAGTTTAAACTAAAATAACCTATTAAACTTAGCACTAAAAATTTAAATTTAAAAATATTAATAAAACTTAAGCCTAAGTTTATTAGTTTTTTTTAAGTATTAAATAAAATTAATTTTATAGTATATTAACTTCTACTTCCTAAGAAGTATTATTAAATATATAATATTTTTTATATTTTATTACTTAAGCCTTAGCATGGTAAAATTAATATAAAAGCTATGCCTAATTTAAAAAAAAATAAAAAATAGGAAATTAATAATATTATTAGCTATAACTTTATTAAAAATAAAGATTTATACCTAGTAAAATAGAAAGGATAGCCTTTAAAATATAATTAATAAGTTTTTATTAAGAATATAAATATATTAAATCTTATTTAAAAGTATAAAAAAAGGCAAGCATAATAAAATAATTATTTATTATTTAATTAAAAGTAAAAACAGGACCTAACTCCAAGTTAAAATACGCCTAATATACTTAAATAAAAAAACCTTAATAAAATATTACTTAAAAATTATTATTTTAGCCTTAAACTACAAGTAACTATAAGAAACTATAAACCTAAAAAGTAATAAGCACTAAATGTTATCACTGTTATGGTGTTGCAACTGCGTAGTGTTGCAATAACGCAATCCGGCGGCCTGAGGCCGCCAGGCGGAGGAACATTAGCGCTAAACTAGCCGTGCGCTAAGGCGGCGGCCAGTTATATAATATATAAAATACTAAGTTTAACTTTAAACTTTAACTTAAAAAATTAGTAATTAGTTCTTACTATAAATATATAACACCTTTTTTATTATAGTAATTTATATTTTTTTAAGCTTATTATAGTGTATAAACATAACTTATAGTTTTAATTACTTTTTTTTTTAAAAAAAAATTTATTTTATATAATAATTAGGTAATAAACTTAATTTTAAGGGCTAGTAAATAATACTTTAAAAAAGTAATTATAAACCCTAACTTAATATTTAACTAACATGCCTAAAAAAAAATTTATAAACTTTAAACTAAAAAATTTTAAGGGCGCCCTTATTATTAAACCTTAAATTATATAAAAAATATTAAAATATAAAAAGCCCGCCCAGGGGTAAGAAAATAAAAATAATAAAAAAATTACTAAAAAATTATAGGTAATGCTAAAAGTAATTTTAGTAAAAAAAAAGGAATTATAGGAATAAGAACGCCGTAAAAAAAAAAATATTAATAAATTTATGCTTAAATTAAAAAGGCATGCTAATAAATTACAAGGGCTAAAGCTAATTAAAAAATATATAATATACTTATTTAATTTATTAAGTAATTAATAATCCCGCGCTAAATAAACTTTAATAATTTTATAATTTTAAAAAAAACTACTAAAGGGGTTATAATAATAATAATATAATTTAAAAAGAACTTTTTAAAAAAATTACTATTTATAAAACCATACCAGGTAAATAATATTAAAAAATTTAATAATTAAAAGTTAAACATGGAAACATACTTTAAAACCTTTTTAACTTATTACCTAAATAATAATTATAAAATATTTTAATTTATTAAATTTCTAGCGGAGGACCGCAGGCGGGAATAATTTAATATTTATAAAGTAAAAACTATATTTACCTAGAAAGAATTTCTTAACATGCTAGTTAAAATAATTAATAATAAGATAGTGCTGGTTAATAACTTGCTAATTAAATAGGGTAATATAAAATAGTAATTATAGTAAATTATTAGGTAATTTATATAGTTACTAAACTAAATTAAAAAATACCTATTTTATAAGTATAAAGATAATTAGTACCAAGGATACCTATACCAAAAGATCCTAGAAAATATATAAAAAAAGTTTTTTATTTATAAATACTAAAAGCTAAAACACTATAATAACTATATATTATACTTAATAAGTATTAAAAATAACATGCCCAAGCAAAAAAAAATAATTATAAAAAAAAAGGGAGTTTTTTAACTAAACTTATATAAGGCTATCCGCGACTAAAGTTAGGGTGCTTTTTATTATTAAAAAAAGTATAAAAATAAATACTAGTATAAAATAACTTAATAATTTAAATAATTTTTTATTTATAAAAAAGCTATACCTAGGTAAATACTTAAACTATAGCCATGCTAAATATTTTAAGTAATATTACTAGTTACTAAATAAAGGTTAAAAAGAAAAAGCACCTTTATAATAGTAACTTTTAAGTAAATTTAATAATATAAAAAATATAAAACCTTAAAGCTTTGTGCGGTGCAAGCTTTAAAGGTTTATATAAAATAAAAAAATACGCCGCGGGCCTGGGTAATTTAGATAAAAATAAAAAAAAAAATAAAAAATAATAATATATAAGGATTTTTATTAACTTTAAAGTAAAAGTAAATTTTATAAACTAGCGCTAGGTAAAGTCCTACTTAATATAAAGTAAAGAATTAGCTTATAAAATACGCGTAGTTAATAGCCACATAGTAATATTTTATAAAAAATATATACTTATAGTTTATACTAGAAATTTTGCGTGTAATATACGGCATTATTAGTAAAACTTTAAAGCTATTAATATTAATAATTATAATATAATTTTAGGATTCCCATGGCTACTAGCTATAATACCTATTTTAAATTAGTAAACTAATAATTAAACATACAGCCAGGAAGTAAAGTATAATTTTAAATACTTATAGTATATAATAATAATATAAGAATATACTATAAAAATTATTATAAAAGTTAAAGTACTTTTAGTATAAATTTTTAAATAAAAAAATTATATTATAATATACCTTAATAAGGCAAAGGTTAAAAAAATCCTATTACCTAAATAATATTGTAAATATATAAATATATTTTTTAAAATAAAAGCAAATATTCTTACATTTTATTAATTTTATAATTATATAATTAAATTATAACCTAGTACTAAGCCTTTAAATAAGTATATTTATTTATTATTTTTAAAAAAGCTTAAGGTCCTACATAAATATATTAAAAAAGCCCTTAAAA